TTCAAGTATCAGAGCCTTGAAGAGCTTATTTGCATGCAGGTAAGAAAACGGCAATGCAAACAATAAATTCAAAAATGGCCGCTTTATGTGAAACCCAATTAACAACAAAAAAAAGTTTGAATTTCTAAAAATTTGGATCCAATTTTTGCTGCTGTGCATGGACTTTTATTGTTTAGTGATAATTTGTGCTAAAGATGCAAAATCATTAGCTTTTACAGGTCATCTTAGTTCATTTCTGAACTTTTTTGAACCAAATTTGGGCTTCACAGGTGAATGTAAGGAGGCATATTTAGCTATCAGCACATTTCTTCAAATCCTAACAGTATATGTGCCACAGTTTGATAACCTGAATATTAACACTTATATAGCTGCAGCTTTAAAGAGTTTGCTGTGACACAGTTCTGTCTTTGGGAAGGAAAGCTCCCTGTTTGTTCTCTGGCAATATTAACTACATGATAACAACAAATATAACCAAATATAACATGGAAGTCAGCATGAGAAGACATTAAACATTTTCTCACAGGAAACCAGCAGAAAAGTAGAGAAGTAAGGGATGTGCAGAATTTAAAATAGAATGAATTTATATCAGTCTTAATCTAAATGATTAAAATTACGTTCACAGATCCTCTCTAATCCAATATGACTGAATTTTAGCAGTTTGCCTTCACAAGAAGTGCTTAAGATTTAAGTCACTTTAAATCAATTGATGTTGAATTATTATAAAAGATATATCAAAATCCATTGAAATGTGAGGGTGACAAAACGTGCACTAATCAAAAGGTCTGGAAGACACTTGCTGCCATGATAAATATATGCAAATTTTTAACTATGCAATCTGGCATTAACTAAGTTTTACAGCTAATGCATTTTATATAAAAATGTATTGTTAACAGACAATGCTTACTTTGATTTGATCAGCTTTTATGCAGGAACACCTTAGAATAAGGAAACTGCAGGACCCGATGATGTGAACATAAAGTTTTAGGGCCCTTTAACAGCACTGGTCATGTTTGCTAAGTGTTGAGTAGAGTGGCAGGATGTGGTTGCAGAGAGGTGGAAAGTCCAGGGTGAAAGCCAACAGGGGCCTGGGGGCGAAGCACGCCATGTGCTCATGCTCCAGTAAGCTGCACTTCACCAGAGGTTAAGTGGGTTTTAACATAACAGAAATATATGAGCAGGCAGGGAAGGATGGCCGTGTCATCTGACAGCTTCTCATGAATCCTAAACTCTCATTTTGATTTTGAAGCCTTCTTCGGGGCGAGGTTATTTCCCTAAGACACAGGGAGCAAAACAAACTGGTTGCTGCCTGTTAGATGAGGCTATACTCTGAGTAATCACTTGCTGAGACCTCTGGGACTGCAGGCAGACTCTCTGACTTGTGAGTCCATTTTACCCCTAGATACATGGTTCATGCCACTGACCAGGAGCTCTGCTTCAGCGCCCACACCATTCTCAGAGGAAGTGACCTCAATACATCCAATAACCCTGTTCATAGGAGCACAGCTGCTGCAGAAGACTGGAGATGCACTGACTTATTATTGTAGATACAGATAAAAGGGGACGATGTTAAAGGAAGGAAACTTTAAAATAAAATGGCTCTACAGAAACATAATCATTACAGATATATTTCTAATAACACACACAAAAAAAAGGATCTTTAAACTCAGCATTTGATATTAAACATGTTGGCGGATGCTACAAACTGTACAATAGCTGCTAGATTTATGGGTGAGCCAGAAGGTGTGATAAAGATTTGGCAACAGATGATGTTTGCATAAATGACACAAATTGTTGGTCTCAGTGATGTTGTGATTGTAGCACTCTGAGCTGCAGGAGCCGATCTGTGCTGATTACCTGGGCCTCACCGGGTGTTTGCGTGATTGTGTGAGATCTGCTCTTTGGCCACTGTGACTGTTGTTTTCCACCGAGATGCTAATCATGCAGCATGTGCTGGAGGCATGATTAAATGTCACCCCAACCCCCTCACACACACACTTGTTTCTGCTCTCCCTCACTGAGAACAAACCTGGATTACACTCAGCCTGAGGAAACTAGAGACATGTTCCTGAACAGCAGAACAACAGCGCCACCTACAGGTTTTTATCATGAAGTATCTGAAAAAGTACATTTTCTCACAGTTATATTGGAATAAGTTGACAAATGTTTGCCTCAAAAAGCATTCACAAAGTTTGATGTTTTTTTCCTATTTTTTCCATTATAAAACCAGACATTTCACTATACTTAGAAGTGAGTTTTCTGTTATTGCCACAGTTTTATTTTATGGATTTAGGTCTGGACTTTGCAGTTCGTACGCATAATTATGCTAATAAAATTAAGCTCTTTCTATTCAGCTTTGTTGTCCGTATTATTTTAAAGCATCCCTACAGTATATTTATATATTTTCATTGTAGACATGGTGAATTCAAGGTGATATAAAGTGAAAAGTTTAATGATGGACTCACCTGGGCACAGCCCCACCTACAGTTCCTCTCATGGACTCTAATTGGGTCTTTTTTACAGCTTTCATCTTGCTCCTTTTCCATTAATATCAGATTTGTTGAGTGAATGCCTCTTATTAATGCTCTCCTTGCCTTCTATTGCTTTGTAAGACATGTCCTCTAGGTCAACAGTTATCTTATTCACTTTTCATTCCCAAATTATGCACGCAATGGAGCTGACTGACATGATGAGAGGATCAGTGTTTTATAAAAAAAAATAAAAATACCATCAGTATGTGAATGTGAGCATAAATGACTGAAAAAAATAGCTATACAAACACAGACCATTCATTATTGGGTTGTCACATTTCATAACTTTCATTTAATTTACACAGCAATGCTCAATTTTTTGGTTAGGTAGGATGCACTTTGGAGATAAACTTGTCAAAAATATATGCATTAATGAATACAACTTGTGCATTTGTGAAAACCAGCAGCAGGGTTGGTTTTCCAAATTTTATAATTTAATTAGATTTTTTTTTTATTTTTTATTTTTTTAGAAAATTTGCATCAGGAAAGTAATTCCTCAATGCAATCTTTCAATTCAAAATGCCTCATTATCTGTAGAGGAAACAGCATTTAATGCATGAAATTAATATATTGTATATGTGTTATGTTCACAGAGCTGCTTTGGTTTGGAGTTTTTTGTTTCTGTTTTCTCCCCTTCATTTTCAGGGTGTGCCAGGCAGGTGAGGCTCCCAGCTGTTACTCATCAGCCACAATCAAGCAAGCAGTATTTAGAGGAGTGGATTCCCTGAGGCAGACGACAGATGGTTACCTATACCAGTGGTAACTGGGTCCCTCTTCAAGACTGCCAAGTTAAGTTGAACTTGTTCCGATAGTCTTACTTACCAGTCTTGTCTCTGTTTTTCTTTAGTTTTCCCCCTGCTGAAGGCTGGCTCCTGTTCCTCCCTCAACGGTGCTTTCCACTCCTCTCCAAGAGCTGTCTTTCAAGATCTGCAAAAGCTCAACTCACCTGCCTGTCCACCCTCCAACGCCTAAAGAACCTGGTAACTCCAAGGTCTTCACCCCCCCCTCTCTGTGGACACTGTTGCTCCCCCTCAACCTGTTTCCAAGCCCTGAGAAGTAAGTCTGGCTTAACTGTTCATCTCAACATCAGCTGGAACTCATACTGATCACCTGACCTGTTTTGCAGTGAGACACCGCTCTGGATTTTCCTGTTTTCTCTGCTTCCAGTTTGAACAATAAAAACCCTTAAAATAAACTCGGTTCTTCTGTCGTACGTACTGCTGCTACACCAGAGTCTTGAACCGAAATCATGTCAATATGCTACTCCTAGATTAAATTTAATCTCTATTATTTTATCATCTTATCCACTAAGTCTGAGCCAACCATCCTCACCAGGGCAGGCTGGGCCTGCAAGCACATACTGTTATTTAGCAAAGTGGAAACCTGTTCTAACCATAGCTCTACCTCTTTTCAATGATGTGTTTATTCACAAATCTCTTATGTAAAGACCATTAAAAAGCAAAACCAAACCTTACATGATGTGAAAAATGCTATAATTTGCTGCCATTCAGTGTCAAGTGTCACATTGCTGAAATGCAAATTTCTGATAATGATTCTTTTTTTTTTAAACATCACCTTTTCCTTACAAAGTACTTCTTGGTGTACCTCTGGTAAATCCATAAAGGAAGATTGTTTCTTTTTCAGAAACTAAGGTTTCTATTGACTAGCAATCGCCATAAAAAGTAAATTCATTGAGTATTAACAGTGGGGTTTCATGCTTATTTACAGAGGCGTAGCCAGAAATTTTTTATAAGGGTGGCCAGGCAATAATCAACGTACACTGAGGGGTGGCCGAAACGGGATAGGCACCAGAACCTCAGGGTCAATCTACTCTGTTCCAACAGGAAAATTAACGAGCACAAAGGCCATATTTTCTAAATGGAGATAAATTATATGTTCCTACAGCCTTTACTAAAAAATAGACATCTATTTAAACATCAATGCTTTCTATATAAAAGGTATACTGGTTAAAATTCTTTCAGGTTTGAGTTCTGGAGTCATTACTTACCTACTTTTATCAATAATCATTCTGTAAAAAATATATATTTACTATTATTATCTACATAAATTGATTCTTTAATAAGTTTGTATTAAAATAGTTATGATTTCACTGACACGTTATTTTTTTCTTTACCCCATATAACACAAAATCTAGTTCTGAAAAGGGCATTTATTCTGTACTTATCTTTAATGTTAGTATATTAATGTGCATAATTAACCACAGTGGTTTTGTTGTCAAGTAATTATGAATATATGAAAAATTAAAATGTTTGAAATATTTTACTTGAGAGTATTACTGCTGCCACCGTCTGTATTAGAGGGAAAATATTGGTAGGGGTGGCCACAGGGGCGGTCAGTGATTAGCTAAGGGGGGCCATGGCCACCCCTGGCCCCCCATCTAGCTCCTCCCCTGCTCATTTACAAACTTTTTTTTACATTTTAGGTTATAAAATTATAATACAGAAACAGGTATTTGATATAAAATGATTATTTATTGTCAGCGTCGAAATACACCAGTTGCAGAAACACCGAAGCATGAATATTCACACAAAGGTAATGACAAACAAAAATAAATGGGAATAAGAGACTTTCCAGTAAGGGTAAATTTACAGCATGAAAGAAAAGACAAAATGATGTACCTCATCAGTATTATGCATGGTCAGCACCATATTAGAAAGCCTGCTGTTACTCCTTTTATCATGGATACACAAAGTTGAATCAGGTTTAAACCAGACTTTACATCTCTGATGGTGTTTACAGTTCTATAATAGTACTCAGCAAAGTACAACAGACTTGCTTTTAATGTCAGGTAGTGAAGGGAAGTTCTTGATGGTAGAAAATAAGCACTATTTTTATGACCTGTAGAATTATTACTGACAGTTTGTATAGAGGGTCTGTTTGCTCTGTTTTAGCATTTTATATACCGTAATTGAACAGGAATTATATTTAGAAAACAGGTAAAAATAAACAGTATTCAGTCAGTATTTTTTTTATTATATCTTGTTTACACTGATGTTGGTACTGATTCATGATGGGGTTTGTAGAGTTGAAATGACTGAGGCCAGTTCTGTCATTAAAATCCAAATGTATAAAAAAAAATACATTTATAGGAAACCAAAAAAATACACAATACATCTGTATCAGAAAGTTTCATAGAATATTTCTCTAGAGATCATTTTATTAAAAAGAAACCCATCGTTTCATTTAATGTACTTACAGCTGCGTCATATCGATGAACTCAATTAAGGCAAAATGTGCTTTTTAAAGGAGTAACAGTTCAGAAAAACTACACCTTGTTTACCAGAACTTAAACCAGTGAGCCCTCCTCCATTATATTCTTCCTCTATATATATCCCATCAGATCATGCATTTGCTAGGGTAAAAAAGATTTTACAAAGCTGAACCATTTTAAGAGAATAGAAAACAAACCCATAAATTCACCCAAAACATGGTGATTTAGAAAAAGTATATAGTCACACTCACTGCATCTGTTTTATATTTTTTTCAACATTCCTGACACCTGAGCTGGCTTTGATGAGCTAAGATGTGGGGAAATGGCTGATACCAGGCTATTTTATTGGTTTAAATGGGGCAAAGCTGAAGGTGAATTAAAAAATATAAAAAACTTTGTACTTTTTGGTTGAAAAAAGGTAGGGTTTTTTTGTTGGGTCATCACAAAGCAAAATAGATCCCAGCCCTGTTTTATTGTATTACCTGTGAAATAAGATATTTTCATGCAGCCCTTGTAATGCAGTCACAGACCACTAGAGCAGTCCGAGTACCCCTTATTGTGAATCACTGATCTAAATTGAAACTGAAGAAAACTAAGTGCAGCATTTCGATTTTTTTGTAGACCATGAGGAAAAACAGCATTTCTTCCTCACTAACTCTCAGTCTTTTGATAGTCAGACAGTTTGATTTTCCAGGTGCATATGTTGTTTGTTTAATCTTTCCAGCTCTTTCTGAAGTTCGCTTGCTTCTGGTCGATCTTTTGGGTTGTTGCTCAGCAAAGATTTGATTACTATGCACTATAATGACAAAAAAAAAGACAATTAAACTTGTATAGCAATGAGGTTTCCATAAAAGCTTTTTTCTGTAAGAGGATTTTCAGTATAAATCAGGAGAGAATTCAGCATAATAATTTACCTCGAGGGGAAAAGCCTGGGAAAACTCTGTGGAAAGCTTGTTGTCTCTCACATCATCCCAAATCTAGTGGTTGCAGTTTATATAGCAAACAATAACAATGAATTAGATCTGTTTTTTGAGACATTGATCTGTTATGATCATTTAAGGGTAGAATGTTGTCAAGAAATGTAAACCACATTTTCCATTTTTTTAATTTAGATTAAAAATCTCTTAATAATCAACTCACCGTCATTTTTTCATGGAAGGTTGAGAATTTCCAAAGGAGTTCAAAGAAGATGAGTCCCAAAGCAAATATGTCCACTTTATGATCGTAACTCTTACTCTTCTGTTAAAACAAGAAAAGGTCTGTTTTATTTTAACAGTCTGAACATATGTGGTCTAGAGATGTACAGTACACCTGTTGCATGCATTAAAAGGAGATTTTAAAGAATGTTGTGTTGTGTTGGTTAATGATAAACTCATGAATCAAGAATTTACATCATCTGTTGGACTTCTTACATCAATTGATAGTTTTCATTGACTGGTAGTGGATCAAATGATTTTATTTTATTATCTTTATTTAATTATTTAATTTTCAATGCAACCACAACATTTACAGCCCTCGAACTGATCTCCGAACAGTAGAGTTTTTCTTCTTCGCCTTTGATGCCATTTCTATGAATGAACACCTTCTGACAAGAGTGGGAAATCCTAGCTTTCCTGCTTACATGATTATTAAGCAAATGTACATTTGAAACGTGTGCTCACTTAAGCACAGGTGTAATTAATAATATTTACGCAGATAAAATATGATCATTTACTGAAGTTTACTAAAGTTATGGTTGTTGAATCTGATGTGGCTAATTCGTAAAAGCTCACTGTAGTAGAAAAAGTAAGAAAAAATGTATAAGAAGACTACGAAAATGTTGCTAAGGCCCATTGGTGCATCAGAGATGGACAAGAAGCTGAGTACAAGGAGCTGGTGAACCGCTTTGTCGGAAGGTGCAGAAACAATCATATGATTGTATCACACCATGATGATGGTAGAAGTGGTTATTGAAGGACTATAAATACCTCATGAGTCATCTGGACAACATACTGGCAGCAGCACCAAGGGGAAAAATGTTATCTGCATGCCAGATTTAAAAAGAAATCACATATAGCACTGGACTGACAGTTATTCAATTGACATACCAGCCTCAAAAATGCCATACTAGTGAAATAGTGGAATATGACACCAAAATATGTGAAATACCATGAGAAAGGTAGGAACAAGACAGCAAAGCCCAAAACGAAAAAAGAGTAAAAAACAATTATTTCTAAAAAACAAAACAAAAAAAACTTATATATATTTTTAATAAAATGTGTAATTTAAATACTTGAACAGACAAATATGTGTCATTATTTTTTTCTTATTTCAATGCGAAACAAGTTCTTTATTTGTTTTATAAAACAAAACAGAAAAATGGAGAACAAGCAAAATATATAAAATAATTGATAAATTCATTTTTCAAAAATTCATTTTGGGCTCTTATTGCATCTCTTAATGAGCGTTTTAACAAATACTTCAGTCTGTGAGACACTGGTCACGTGAAAGCCGGCTTTATTTAATAAAAATGATATCAGCTGTTCTACCGCACAGTAGAGGTGTGCAAAATAATCGTCATGATGATGCATCGTGATTCTAATTTTCGTGATCTACTGCATCGATTCTTGACGCCAAGTATCGATTATTAATTTAAAGAAATGAATAAATAAAATTGCATGAATGGTTGGCGAACATCAACCAAAAACAAGTGTAATACAACTTCCAGTCCAGTAGATGTCGCTGCGGATGTGTTGACGCACGTTGCCTTGTGTCACAAGCATTTCCGGCTGCGGGATACTGCGCAGAGTCATTCAAAAACAAAACATTGAGGAGAAAATATTGCAATGCATTGCAATAATTCAAGTATCGTGATGCATCGTGATAGAATTGCATTGTGGCCTGTGAATCGTGTTTCGAATCGAATCGTCACTTCTTTGGCAATACCCACCCCTACCGCACAGTCTACTCTTTAATCCCAAATCCACCAAAAACCATCAATAATACATTTATTAATATATTTAAATTCATATGTTCAATCAAATGTTGGAGTCCTTAAAGAAAAAAGTTTAGCAAAATGTCCTCATACTGCCCATCAAAGACCACTACCTGTGCAGGAGGAATAATCCAGCTGGAAGAATAATATGATATTAAAGGCTTCCAATGTAGAACAATAAAACTCAGCAATTTGTGACAGGTTATAGGGGCTGCTCAGTGGAACAGTGGGTATCACTTCTGCCTTGCCTTGGGTAAGTGATTTTAGATTCTTCATTTTGGAGAAACTGCGGTACGATGTTAGAGGCTCCACGAAAAAGTTCTGTAGTATCTGGCAGCCAGTTTTGGACCATCTTTTTCAGTCCATGACTGACGCCGACGGCTGCTCGGTGGCGCAGTGGGTAGCACTGCTGCCTTGCAGCAAGAAGATTTAGGGTTTGATTCTCAGCCCAGGGTCTTTCTGCATATTCTCCCTGAGCATGCATGGGTTCTCTCCAGGTACTCTGGCTTCCTCCAACATTCTAAATACATGACTGTTAGGTTAATTGGCTTCTCTAAATTGTCCTTAGGGTAACCCATCACTAAATTAATGTATCTCCAGTGAGTATTGATAAAACCTTATAAAAACAGAGTTGGATAAAAAATGGTTTTAATGCTACAAACTTTTTTTTCTTTAAGTCATAAAATCAACACTTGTGTCAATTTTCAACTCATCATTTTACGGACCTGTTCAGGAGCCATGTAGCTTTTTGTTCCTCGTCCTTGTGTTCGTTCCATCACGTCCTCACTTTTGTCAACAGTGACGAGACCAAAGTCTCCAATCTTCACCTTCCCATCTTTTCCAAACATTATGTTTTCAGGCTGAGCAGTAAATAAAAAAAAAAAACAGAAGTAAGTGATTTAATTTATGATCAAACTTGCTGAATCAAAAAAAGTATTAATTGATTAAAACAATAATATTTATTAGATACAGATAAAACATAAAGAAAGTATAAAAAAAACTCAGTCAAGAGACTCAATTGACCTTCAAAATGTGAGAAACACAAAATATTAAAATAGACCTTTTGCTCCGATCCATGTACATATTTTTCATATAAAAAATTCCCCAAAAAGATGTTAGTTCTACACTCACCGGCCACTTTATTAGGTACACCTGTCCAACTGCTCGTTAACACTTAATTTTTAAGCAGCCAATCACATGGCGGCAACTCAGTGCATTTAGGCATGTAGACATGGTCAAGACAATCTCCTGCAGTTCAAACAGAGCATCAGTATGGGGAAGAAAGGTGATTTGAGTGACTTTGAACGTGGCATGATTGTTGGTGCCAGAAGGGCTGGTCTGAGTATTTCAGAAACTGCTGATCTACTGGAATTTTCACGCACAACCATCTCTAGGGTTTACAGAGAATGGTCCGAAAAAGAAAAAACATCCAGCGAGCAGCAGTTCTGTGGGCGGAAATGCCTTGTTGATGCCAGAGGTCAGAGGAGAATGGCCAGACTGGTTCGAGCTGATAGAAGGGCAACAGTGACTCAAATAACCACCCGTTACAACCAAGGTGGGCAGAAGAGCATCTCTGAACGCACAGTACGTCGAACTTTGAGGCAGATGGGCTACAGCAGCAGAAGACCACACCTTTCAGCTAAGAACAGGAAACTGAGGCTACAATTTGCACAAGCTCATCAAAATTGGACAATAGAAGATTGGAAAAATGTTGCCTGGTCTGATGAGTCTCGATTTCTGCAGCAACATTCGGATGGTAGGGTCAGAATTTGGCGTCTACAACATGAAAGCATGGATCCATCCTGCCTTGTATCAACGGTTCAGGCTGGTGGTGGTGGTGTCATGGTGTGGGGAATATTTTCTTGGCACTCTTTGGGCCCCTTGGTACCAATTGAGCATCGTTGCAACGCCACAGCCTACCTGAGTATTGTTGCTGACCATGTCCATCCCTTTATGACACCAATGTACCCAACTTCTTATGGCTACTTTCAGCAGGATAAAGCGCCATGTCATAAAGCTGGAATCATCTCAGACTGGTTTCTGGGGCAGTTCTGAACGCAAAAGGGGTTCCAACCCGTTACTAGCATGGGGTACCTAATAAAGTGGCCGGTGAGTGTATATGTTTACTCTAAAATATAAATACTAGCATATCTTTTTATAATTTATGGTAGATATTTTTTATAGTGGACAGGGTTTAAATGTAGATCAACACAAACCGTAAGAAAAGATGAAAAGAGAGAAACAGAAAAGAAAAAAAAGCAACATGTCTCGGAGTAATTCAATTCAATTCAGTTTATTTATATAGCACAATCTCACACATATCATCTTAAGGCACTTTACAGTTCACCAGATCATACAGTCAAATTGATTCAAAATTTTCTATCTAAGAAAAACTAGTTGATTGCATCGACTTATTGACTCAAATACAATCCCTCACACTAAGCATGCTTGTAGCGACAGTGGAGAGGAAAAACTCTCTTTTAACAGGAATAAACCTCCAGCAGAACCAGGCTCAGTGTAAGCGGCCATCTGCTGAGGCCGACTGGGGTTCAAGGAGACAGAAGCAGAGACACAAAAAGCAACTGTAAAAGGCGGCTCCATCCAGGAAACACACAGCCAGGCAGACGAGCTCCGAGTAGAAATATTTTATTTCCAAATTTATCCAAAAATTTAAATTTATAAAAATGAAGGTTCAGATCTTTCTAGGCTGAACCATTGAAGCTTCTCAAAAAAACAAAAACTTTTAAAAGCTCAAGCCTTACCTTCAGGTCTCTGTGAATGAGGTTGTTGTCATGAATGTATTTCACTCCAGTGACAATTTGCTTTGCAATAGGAAGACTTTCTGCTCCTCTCTGGGAGTGCTGTACCTCCTTCTCATTCATCTCTTTAATCCATTGTTTAAGAGTTGAGTTACAAAACTCCATCTTAATGAAGAGGTACTTTTCACATGTGATACTTGGGGGTTAAATGAGAAGAGGAAAATGTGATGTTACTGTTAGAAAATAAAAATAAAAATTAAACAAGGGGAGAAACAAAACATACTCTTTAAGTTTCCTTTGGATGATTTCCGGCAGCTTTTTGGAATCCTCAATCCAGCAGTGGAAGTATCTAACAATGTTTTCATGGTGGAGGTCTGATAATGCCTTCACTTCTCGAAAAGCTTTTCTAAATGAAAATAACAATACAAATAAAACCAGACTCACCGTTACCAATATTTCTGTATTTGTGCCCAGAGTAACAGTTCCTACTTACTCTGAATATGAGACGACCTTTACAGCATAATGTCTGTCCACCAGTTTCTCCTTTGCCTTGAAAACAGAACCATAACCTCCTTTACCAAGGAAAGTAGGGGTTTCAAAGTCTGATGTGACTCTGTAGACATTGAGCAACTAACTTAGAAACAGAGAAATGCATTGAACCTGAATATTAATAAAGAAAATGTTCAACTTTACCTTGACTCTACTGGTGGGGTACTTGCATTTGCAGTTATACGGTTTTCCACATCATTCTAAAAAACATTTAAAACACTTTGAAGCACTCTGTTAATTTCAAATATAAAAACTGGTATGTATATATATATATATATATATATATATATATATATATATATATATATATATATATATATATATGCATACACACCTGGCGAGATACATACTTTTGGGTCACCACTCTGCTCTCTACATGCGGTACATCACCATTCACACCTGGCCGCTTCCCCGCCCCTCCCAGCAGAGTTTGCATAGGGAAACTATAAATCTACCGCCCTTGCCACGGACACTGTGCTCAGTCTGAATGCACCTTAAGATGTGAATTGAGTTAGGTTAGTATTAAGACTTAGCTATCAATCAGTAATGGTTAGGTTAAGGGGAATGGTTAGGCTGTAGCAATGAATGGGAGTCAATGGAAAGTCCCTACAAGGATAGAGATGTGATTGTGTGTGTGTGTATAATTCTATCTCTTACATGTTCAGCCGAATGATCGGATGGATCTAGTGCCTCGTTCTGCGACACCTTAGGAGGCTCTCTTAAAGACAACAGTGATAAGGATAAGTGTTGTATAGCATTCCTAATAAACTCTACATTCCTCAAGGTTATTTATTGGAATCCTTTAAAATGGAGTTATGCAGAAATATTTACCTGCAGGTGACATGGGTCACAGCAGCCAGTTTTAATAACAGGGAAGGTATTGAAATAGAAAACTCTTTTTCTATATGTCAAAACATATACGAGCATATAAAAGCTTACATAAGAACCTGTAATGTTCAATCTTTTCACATCCAAGAATACATAACTACTAATTTTTAAATTAACGAATCAGTAATTGGGTATTCTGAAAAATCACAGAGGATGTTGTTAGTATACCAATACTGTTCAGTTCTGAAGACAGTAAAAATGTAAATAACCTTCTTCTAAAGAGAGATATAAATATAACTAGTGTTTATTTACAAGTAAAGCTTTGCATGTGGTTGTCGGATAATATGCCAAAACTAAGCTCTTGAATCAGCAATGGCTGACAAATAGCTTTTGAAATATGACAATTTGCTGATTAGCAATCCACACATCTCCATAAGTAAACAACCACAACACAAAACAACAAACCTCTTGGGACTTACTGCATGTTGGCCGATGACCCAATGCGTCCAGATCCACTTTTTCTAAACATTTTCTGGAAGTAGACAGAATCTTAAATACAAACTAAAAAAAGTTGTTTTTTACTGGAAATTTTGGAGAGAATTTTTAAATACATATTCACCCCAAGGAACTACTTGTATATATTGGGAAGAAAGATGGCTCCCTCTGTCCCTGTATTGATTATAGGGGGCTTAATAACATTTTCGGTGAAGAAATCCTATCTCCATAATGAACACCGCGTTTGATCAGGTCCTAGGAGCTAAGGTTTTCACTAAGTTGGACCTTCGTAATGCCTACCATTTGGTCCGTATAAAGGAGGGTGATGAATGGAAAAAAGCGTTCAATACGCCTACCGGCCATTATGAATATCGGGTCATGCCCTTTGGTCTTACCAACCCCCCAGCAGTTTTCCAAAATCTGGTCAATGAGGTTCTCAGGGACATGATTGGCCACTTCGTGTTTGTTTATCTGGACGACATCCACATCTATTCCAAAAACCTCACCCTTCACAAACAACATGTCCGCTCCGTTCTTCTACGCCTCCTACAGAATCAGCTTTACGTCAAAGCAGAGAAATGTGCATTCCACACTGAATCTACCTCCTTCCCTGGCTTTGTTTTGTCCCCTGGACAGATTGCATTTGACCCAGCTAAGGTTCGAGCAGTCACCAAGTGGCCCACCCCGGTTGACTGTAAGCAGCTCCAGAGGTTTGTGGGGTTCGCTAACTTTTACAGGAGGTTTATTATCAACTACAGTCAGGTCGCTTCTCCACTCCATGCTCTCACATCTAGCAAGGCCAGATTTGTTTGGAGTGAGCAGGCAGAAATGGCCTTCAAATGCCTGAAGGAACGGTTCACCTCAGCACCTATCCTCGTTTCCCCCGACCCTGAGAGGCAATTCATCGTGGAGGTGGATGCCTCTAGGTTCAGGTAGGGGCTGTCCTCAGCTAGGAGTCTGGTGATGGCCGCATTCACCCCTGTGCTTTCTTTTCCAGGAAGTTGTCAAAGTCCGAGCAGAATTATGATGTGGGCAACTGGGAGCTCTTGGCTGTTAAGCTGGCCCTTGAGAAATGGAGGCACTGGCTCGAGGGCTCCAAGTTTCCATTCTTGGTCTGGACTGACCACCGCAACCTGGAATATTTAAAGACTGCTACGAGACTCAACCCTAGACAGGCCAGGTGGGCGTTGTTTTTCAGTCCTTTCAACTTCACCCTTTCCTACAGGCCGAGGTCCAAGAACATCAAGCCCGATGCCTTGTCCAGGATTTTCGAGGAAAAGGAAGAGGACAACGACCATGAACGGGGGTTCATCCTGCCAGACATAGTTAGGTGTGCTGTTTCCGGCTTCGGGCTCGAAAGGGAGGTAAGGGACTCTCTAGGGTCTGTCCAGATACCCGAGGCCTGTCCTAAGGACAGGCTCTTTGTCCCACTCCACCTCAGACCCAGAGTCATTGAATTCTGTCACTGCTCTCGCCTTTTTGGTCATCCTGGCATCAACAAAACCCTTTGGCTCATCCGATCTCAGTTTTGGTGGCCTTCTCTGGCCAAAGACGTCAGAGAGTTTGTCTCTGCCTGTTCTCCCTGCAACCAGGCTAAGGCTTCCCGTCGCCCCCCTTCTGGACTGCTTCGACCTCTGCCCATCCCTTCTCGGCCTTGGTCCAGCCTTTCTATAGACTTCATCAATGGTCTCCCCAACGTTTTTATGTATATACAATATAAATATCAATTTGTATTTGATATGTCTGGATTTAGGGAACTCAAACAATGAGCAGTGATGTTGCAGCACAGCTAGAGAGAGAAGTGTCTGAACCTTCAGGGCTTCAGGTGAGGGTTTTTTTGTCTTGTTTTTTTTCAGTAGGAGTAATTGGATTCTGTGATCTCTTTTGAACCTCACAAATGATGCCACATGGATTTTAATATAGTTTCCCTGATTAACATGTTTGTTTGGTTGCCTGTTATCTCCACTTCACATGTATTTAGTAAGAAATGCGTTTGCAATGTTATGATAAAATTAGGGCAGAAACTAACAATTATTTTGCAAATAATTGACAGATTAGTCTGTCGTTCATTTTTTTGATGAATCGATTAATTGGATACCCAAAGGTTCTTTAAAGAAGATTATTAATGACATTAAACCAGGTGAAACTAAAATATTTCTTCTTGAGGAGTTTGGGATGGAGAATATTGACATTTTTTATTTTTTTTTTATCTTATATGCAAAATGTTTATATATATATATTTTTTTTTTTTACAATTTTGGTATAATTACTGATCTAAGTCGGTCACTCTGTCGGCCAAAGGCACATTTCACAATTATTTTATGTTTTAGAGTCTCTATACTCCAGCTAATTATGAATTACTAAATTAGTAGATGAATATTCAAATAATCAATTAATACGATTCATTTTTTCAGCCCCAGATAAAATACATGAAATGGGCGACACAGAGTAACTACAGCCCAGATGTTCAACTTTTATAGTGAAGTTAATATTCTAATGAATGTATTATTTTTGCCTGATACAGAGAGAGCATAGTAGATAAAAATATAAGAGTGGGGTTTACCTCTGCACAATTCTATATCTTCAAAGGAAAATACTGTATTTACCTTCTCTCTTAGTCATTCAAATGAAACCATTTTCAAAGTGGAAAACAGTCCTAATTCCACATTCATTCACAGCATCTAGTGAGTGTAGTGCTTATAAAATATTTTATCAATGTAGCAAAATGCTGCTTTTCTCTTTAAACAATGAATTCCTCTCATCAGTACTGATGCTCATGACAAGCATAAAAAAGGGCATGCATATTGCATAGCACCAATGACACCAGACCAATAGTGTCCCTACCAAAGTTCAAATCAAACCTACGCCCTTGGGTAAGAGTATATTTTTTCTTTGGTAATTTGTCGACACCTCTATGCTTCATACTCTTGGGTACGATTTCTGTATGTTGTATTCTGAAATCTTAATTAACATATATAAAAAAAATTAAAAATGAGAGGTTGTTTACTCTGTGGTCATTCTTTAGACATTTATATCTACCAGTAAGAAAAAAAACCCAACATAATAATCAAATACCCAGCCGGCCTCAGCAGACGGCTGCTCACTCTAGTCTGATTTTGTTGAAGGTTTCTTCCTGTTAAAAGGTTGTTTTCCTCTTAACTGTCGCTGAATGCATGCTTAAAGGAGAAGTTCGGTTTTTAACACTTTTAGCCCATTTTCTGTAGTGTCCAGGATGAAATCGAATGATCGACACCAAAATTTTGACAATTGCTCCTGTCTCTGCTTTTTGGCTCATTTAGAATCCACCCCTGGCTGCTTTAGAATGGCTTCCATAGTGCATGTCCGATAATGTCCTTAAAACAACCTTAAACGTTCTTTTTTTTAAATATGCTACTCACCGGGTCGTCAGCGCTGTTCAATGACGTTCCAAAAAAAGTTTCGTGAAGAAAAAACGTCCCTGTAGTGTTTTATTTAGCATTTTGTAAATCCCATTGAGTTCTGTTGGAATAGTCAATATTACCCTGCCACCGGAAACGGAAATGGGGCCTGTTTACACAGTTGTAGTCTTTTCACTTCACTCTGTGTACTCCGACGTCGAGGTGCTAACGTCTCTGTTAAACACTTAAAAAAACTCTGAAAATGGAATACGAAAGGTGGATTCTTGATTCTTGACGTCGGAGTACACAGAGTGAAGCGAAAAGACTACAACTGTGTAAACAGGCCCCATTTCCGTTTCCGGTGGCAGCGGAATATTGACTATTCCAACAGAACTCAATGGGATTTACAAAATGCTAAATAAAACACTAAAGGAACGTTTTTTCTTTACGAAACTTTTTTGGAACGTCATTGAACAGTGCTGACGACCCGGTGAGTAGCATATTTTAAAAAAAGAACGTTTAAGGTTGTTTTAAGGATATTATCGGACATGCTCTATGGAAGCCATTCTGAAGCAGCCAGGGGTGGATTCTAAATGAGCCAAAAAGCAGAGACAGGACCAATTGTCAAAATTTTGGTGTCGATCATTCGATTTCATCCTGGACACTACAGAAAATGGGCTAAAAGTGTTAAAAACCGAACTTCTCCTTTAATCTCAGGGATTGCTGCAGAGTCAACAACACAATGCAAGGTAATGTCTTCTTTTGCAACATGCTCATCTAGGTGAAGTGACTCCTGCAGTCAATGAATCAATGCAAACAGCTTGGTTACCTAGATGGAAAACTTCTAACCAGTTTCTCTATGATTTGATTGAAACCACTCTGTAAACCTCCATGAGATTAAATGGGCCAAAAATGTTCTGGCTTGGTTTTACCGTGTGATATGGTGCACAGTCTTAAGTAACTATTAAGAAAGTAAACTACTGTTTTAGCGATCACACTTTTTAGACTACGATGGAACAAACCTGGGATTCGGCAGGGTTTGAATAATCACAAAATATTATAGAATCACTTGAACTCGTCTGCATGTTCTGTGGTGATGAGTCAGTGAAGTCCCTGAGAGAAGAGAGATAGACATCAACACTTATGCATGAGAACGGTTTGAGTTGTTTTAGCTCTAAATCACTGCCGTAACTTTCTGAAGGACTGGTGTGGACATGTCCCCACCTATTTAGAAATGGGCGGGGACAGTTCCCACCAATAATTTGTACATTTGTGTTCGGCTCATTTACTTTAGCCAAGAACAGTAAGCTCAGGATGCACCTTAAAGGAACCAGACTATCTGTACATTATACTACATACTTTTTCACTTTTACTTGAGTAAAGAGGTCAAAGATGTCAACTTTTACCAGATTGTTTATAGATACTGCAGTATCTATACTTCTACTTAAGTAACAAATGTAGGGCTGCAACTAACGATTATTTTGAAAATCGATGAATCGGCCGATTATTTTTTCGATTAATCGATGAATCGGACACAAAATATTTTTTTTATATTAACCTCTTTATTACAAAATAAACATTTTAGACAGAACAAACAAGCACACAAGTACAGGTTTCTCATTAACTGCACTGGTGCAATATGAAAAATAAATGTTTGTGTTAAAACTACGCAAACTTACATGAGAAATGTAGCTGTACATCCACAAAATATAGGGTACTTTGTTTCATAAAGCGCAAAAAGAGACAGGCATTTTTGTTTTTTAAAGCCCCTAAGGGGTTCAAACAATTGGTCCCCCCATTTCAACAAATGAGGTTTTTTTAGACTAGAAGAGTTCTGCCTTTCAAGACAGGAAAGTACAGCAGTTAAAGTTGCTACTTGAGAAAATACTAAACCATAGAGATAAAAATAGCCCTGTGATTCAAATTATAAATTGTATTTGGAATAAAAATGAGAGAACTAGGGGTGCTAAAAAACACATCCTCCAAAGACAGATATTTACATGGAAATGTGGCAGATAATTAATTGACATATTACTGATTTTGAGGGATTTTATTCTGCTTTACTTCCATAAATTGCAGGATCTTCTTTACTTTATCTTTGCCAGAAGATTTAAACTTTAAAAGCCTTGCCCTCATAATTTGCAAGTTAATTTATTTATAAAGAAAATATAAACGCTGCTTAAGCTAATTCAAATGAAATTAAAAGTAAAATAAGAAGCCAACCTTATCACTGTCTGTAACCTACTAACAAGCTAAGGAAAGCATCAGATGAGCTACCTGTAACTTACGTTTCCCCACTTTAAAATGAAACAAACATGGTTACTCATCCTGCTGATCAGCTCTCTTCACTGCCATTGAAGGCTCCAACATGTTTTCTTTTCAGGTGCTGCGTCATAACAGTGGTGCTTCCGTGCCATGTTCATTTGTTTTTACAAAAGTTGCATGTTACGACTTTTTTCACTTTACAAAGCGCAGGCTATTTTAATTATTGTGATCAATTTGCGCCGTCAATCCCGGGGCATGCGCGCTTCATTTGCAGTCTGGACGCTGAGGGTAAACTCCTCACTAAAATCCTGCGGCTCTGACTGCAGCGCTGAGAGGGATTCCTGTGGGAGAGGGAGAAAGGGGTTGGGATGGGGGAGGCGCCCCACGGCAGCAGCTGCCGCTGGAGGATAAGAGTAGGAACGATACATGCTTTCACGTAAGAGTCTCCAAAAGCCGCCAGTGACACCGTAAAAAGTCGCCAGATTTGTCGCTAGTCGCTTTTTAAAAAAATAGTCGCTGGAGGGGTCTGAAAAGTCGCTGAGTTGGCAACACTGCAACTGCGGCGCTGACTCGCTCCGCCATATTTTTTTTTCTTCCCCGGGATGACGGCGGTGGCGGATGACGCATTAATCGCGCGACACAACTAATCGATGATTAAATTCGTTGCCAACGCTTTTAAAAGTCGATTTTTATCGATTTTATCAATTCGTTGTTGCAGCCCTAAACAAATGTGTGTAGTTTTGACGCCACTGCCTACATCTAACTTCCCTAGGGCTCAGTAATGCACTTCTGAATTGAATATAACTAGATTGATAGATGCCATTGCAGAGCTTACAGAGTTGATTTATAATGTCTAATTATCTAATTTATTGTTGAATATTAACTAAAAACCTAATCTGAGGAACTCAAAGGGTCTGATCTTCCAAAGACTTATGTGTAGTGAAGGTAGGGCTGTAGGTAATGATTATTTTACTAACTGATTATTCTCTAGATTTTTTAGATGACTGATCAAGAGCTCAGAAACAAGGTTGCCAAATTTGAAAAATGACTGACTCAGTTACTTAGGCTTATTTTATGAGTAATATAAATACATGACAAAAATACACAGGAGTTGCATCATGTTATGTCAACAATAGATTTCTAGTTGCACTGTAGCTTTTTGAAACAAAACATGTACAAAGATTTAGGCCCCTATTAAACAGTCCACTTATACAGTGATTTACCCACCTTTGCTGACCTGAAGAATCTCCAACCTTCAAATAAAACAAAAAATCAATATAATCAACAAACTTGAATTCAGTTCTGTTCTCAGTTCAGAAAAAGCTGAATGGATATTCAAACTTCAGTGAACCAAGATTTTATTGTCTTAAAAAAAAAATCTGAAGTTGTAATCTGTATTGTCATTATACTCTGGGAAAAAAACTGTTTAGGTTAAATAAACAAACAAACATGATTACTGTATGTAGATTTCTGCACTGCTTACCTGTCTAGATTGATCAGCATTTATTCTTTCATATGCCACTTTGGCAGCTTTCTCCTTTGCTTTTCTTTTAGTTTTTCCACAAACATCTGGGTATTCCGTGTCACCAACTATAAACTTACAATAACTAAAAAATGTTTATGGTTTATGGGTACATAGCTGTAAACTGGTATGTAGAGATTAATCAGTGCATGAACATGTTAGACTCACTGTATGGCATTTTGGGGTCCAGGCCGTATCGTTTCCACTGGTCTTATATGCATCCTGTTTTTTTGACCATACTCATTAAGCCAACCTATGTAGTTGATAGTTTGACTAACAAGGGGAGTGGCATTTGCTGAGTTTTCCGTCTGCAAAGATATTAGGAAGTTAGGGACTTACACACTGTTTGCATTCTCTTAAGCTTTTTTGTTTAGCAGAAAAAGGGGATCTTACTGTATCCGGAGGTTGGTTCTCACGCAGCAACTTCAGAGCGTTTTCAGCTGCTGCCAGCTTGGCATCCTTCTTTTTCTTTCCTACACCCTTTGGGTAAGGTTTCCCATCGAGGACGACTCTCATAGAGAATCTTTAAAAGAAATTGTCAAAATTAGTTCATTAATCTTTCTCCTGTTATTTTCACACTATTATTTTAGTGCATTAAAGGGCAGTATTATTTTAAAAAATTACATTGCAATGGGGCAGCACAATTTTTACTTTTTTTTTAAACCAAAATTATGATTTTCTTCAGTTTTAGCAGAACTGATTACTGCAACAGTATCTTCACAGGTCCGCCTAAGAAAATTCAATCAGATAGCTGAAGTTGATCTGGAATCCTGCTGGGGGCGTCCTCACTAAAAGTCAGAAAGTGCACTGAAAAAAATAATGCAACCGTTTTTGGCATTTACTTAATCATATTTAGTTACTTTAACACAACTATTTAATGTCCTACTCTGCAAACATCAATTATGTTAAAGTAACTAAATATGATTAAGTAAATGCCAAAAATTGTTGCATTTATTTTTTCAGCAGCCCATACATTGGCTCCCCATATCCCAGGGAATAGACTTGAAAATACTCCTGTTAGTATATAAATCACTGTACTTAACACTAAAATACTCTACCGTTCAAAATTTTGGAGTCACAGTGAAAAGTCCTTATTTTTGAAGGAAAAGCACTGTACTTTTCAATGAAGATAACTTTAAACTAGTCTTAACTTTGAAGAAATACACTCTATACATTGCTAATGTGGTAAATGACTATTCTAGCAGCAAATGTCTGGTTTTTGGTGCAATATCTACATAGGTGTATAGAGGCCCATTTCCAGCAACTATCACTCCAGTGTTCTAATGGTACAATGTGTTTGCTCATTGGCTCAGAAGGCTAATTGATGATTAGAAAACCCTTGTGCAATCATGTTCACACATCTGAAAACAGTTTAGCTCGTTACAGAAGCTACAAAATGATAAGAAAAAGAGAACTTTCATCTGAAACTTGACAGTCTATTCTTGTTCTTAGAAATGAAGGCTATTCCATGCGAGAAATTGCTAAGAGATTGAAGATTTCCTATAACGGTGTGTACTACTCCCTTCAGTGGACAGCACAAACAGGCTCTAACCAGAGTAGAAAAAGAAGTGAGAGGCCGCGTTGCACAACTGAGCAAGAAGATAAGTACATTAGAGTCTCTAGTTTGAGAAACAGATGCCTCACAGGTCCCCAACTGACATCTTCATTAAATAGTACCCGCAAAACACCAGTGTCAGCATCTACAGTGAAGAGGCGGCTGCGGGATTCTGGGCTTCAGGGCAGAGTGGCAAAGAAAAAGCCATATCTTAGATTGGCCAATAAAAGAAAAAGATTAAGATGAACACAGACATTGGACAAAGGAAGACTGGAAAAAAGTTTTGTGGACAGATGAATCCAAGTTTGAGGTGTTTGGATCACAAAGAAGACCGTTTTTGAGACGCAGAACAAATGAAAAGATGCTGGAAGAATGCCTGACGCCATCTGTTAAGAACGGTGGAGGTAATGTGATGGTCTGGGGTTGCTTTGGTGCTGGTAAGATGGGAGATGTGTACAGGGTAAAAGGGATTCTGAGTAAGGAAGGCTATCACTCCATTTTGCAACGCCATGCCATACCCAGTGCACAACGCTTGATTGGAGCCAATTTCATCCTACAACAGGACAATGACCCTAAACACACCTCCAAATTGTGCAAGAACTATTTAGAGCAGAAGCAGGCAGCTGATATTCTATCGGTAATGGAGTGGCCAGCGCAGTCACCAGATCTGAACCCCATTGAGCTGTTGTAGGAGCAGCTTGACTGTATGGTACGCAAGAAGTGCCCATCCAACAAATCCAACTCGTGGGAGCTGCTTCTGGAAGCGTGGGGTGCAATTTCTCCAGATTACCTCAACAAATTAACAGCTAGAATGCTAAAGGTCTGCAACGCTGTAATTGCTGAAAATGGAGGATTCTTTGATGAAAGCAAAGTTTGATGTAAAAAAAAAAAAATGTTATTTCAAATACAAATCATTATTTCTAACCTTGTCAATGTCTTGAATCTATTTTCATTTCACAACGTATGGTGGTGAATAAGTGTGACTTTTCAGAAAAACATAAAATTGTTTGGGTGACCCCAAACTTTGGAACGGTAGTTTATATTACATACTTGCCAGTGTATCCACCACCCAGAAAACTCAGGTATTCTTTTGATAGTTATGTTGCCTCACTAATCTAGAATAAACTCCCAGAAAACAGTAGAAAAATCTGCATGGTATGCTACTGAAATGTGCTACATAAATAAACTTGCTTGCACAATGTTTTACTTTTGACACACTTTAAATGCCACTTTTTATGGCTCACATTCATCCGCTGCCACTCTTTCATAAACGGCAAGTATGTGGAGAGCAACACTAATGGTTATCCTGTAGTCAGGTTCTTTAATCTTCAGCTCATTATCTTTGCAGCTCCTTTAAAGTTAAAATGGGCTACCTGGGTTTGCTTTAATAAATGTTTTAAATAACTCCATTTAGTTTATCTATATAGCAGCATTTAAAAAAAATATACCATCTCAAAGTACTTTGCAGAGTCACAATTTGAATGGATTCCATAGATTGTTTGTATTATGTAAAGTTTTCTATCTAAGGAAACCCAGCAGATTGCAAAGAGTTGTCGATTTGCATCATTCACTCCTCCTAGATGTTATCACCTGCATTCAATTCAATTCAATTCAGTTTATTTATATAGCGCCAAATTCACAACACATGTCATCTCAAGGCACTTCACAGTTCAACCAGATCATAAAGTCAAATTGATACAAAGTTCTCCATCTAAGGAAAACCAGTTGATTGCATCGACTCATTGACTCAATACAATCCCTCACACTAAGCATGCTTGTAGCGACAGTGGAGAGGAAAAACTCCCTTTAAACAGGAAGAAACCTCCAGCAGAACCAGGCTCAGTGTGAGCGGCCATCTGCCGAGGCCGACTGGGTTCAAGAAGACGGAAGCAGAGACACAAAAGCAGCTGTAATAGGCGGCCCCGTCCAGGAAACACGCAGCCAGGCAGACGAGCTCCGAGCCAGCTCCCATGTCAGAGGACGAAGAAAGCACATCCACCCAGTCACAGCACAGCTGATGTTTCTTTCCAGGATGACGTCACAGCCAAACAGGAACAGACAAGGCAAAGCTACTCTGAGGAAAAGCAGATAGAGCAGAAGGTTAGAGATTGAACTAACAGATTCTGCAGAATAGGAGAACAGAGAGAGAATGAAGCAGAATGATGAAATGGGGGTCCCTATGTCCTCCAGCAGTCTAAGCCTATAGCAGCATAACTATAGAGATAGCTCAGGATAACCTGAGCCACTCTAACTATAAGCTTTATCAAAAAGGAAAGTTTTAAGCCTAGCCTTAAAAGTAGACAGGGTGTCTGCCTCACGGACTAAAACTGGTAGTTGGTTCCACAGGAGAGGAGCCTGATAACTAAAAGATCTGCCTCCCATTCTACTTTTAGAAATTCTAGGAACCACTAGTAAACCTGCAGATTGAGAGCGAAGTGCTCTGTTAGGAACATAAGGAACAATCAGATCTCTGATATAAGATGGAGCTTGGCCATTTAAGGCTTTATATGTGAGAAGGAGGATTTTAAATTCTATTCTTGATTTAACAGGAAGCCAATGAAGAGAAGCCAGGATAGGAGAGATGTGATCTCTCTTTTTAATTTTCATCAGAACTCTGGCTGCAGCATTTTGGATCAGCTGAAGACTCTTAACTACAGTTTGTGGACTTCCTGATAGTAAAGAATTACAATAGTCCAGCCTTGAAGTAACAAATGCATGGACTAGTTTCTCAGCATCACCCCTGGACAGGAGATTTCTAATTTTTGCAATGTTCCTCAGATGAAAGAAGGAAATTCTAGAAACCTCTTTGATATGGGATTTAAATGACAGGTCCTGATCAAAAACAACACCAAGATTTTTTACTTTATTATCTGAAATCAGTTTAATCCCATCCAAATGAAGTGACTGACTAATCAGCTTATTTTTCAAAGACTCTGGTCCAAAGACTATAACTTCTGTTTTGTCTGCATTCAGAAGCAGAAAGTTAAGAGTCATCCAGGTTTTTATGTCTTCAAGACATGCCTGTAATCTATGTAATGGGTTAGCTTCATCTGGATTTATAGACAGATATAGCTGGGTATCATCAGCATAACAGTGAAAATTAATCCCATGCTGTCTAATAATTCTACCAATTGGGAGCATGTATAAAGTAAATAGAATTGGTCCTAGCACTGATCCCTGTGGTACTCCACAGGTAACCTTTGAGCATGTTGAAGATCTATCATTAACATGAACAAACTGAAATCGATCAGATAGATAAGATTTAAACCAGTCTAATGCTGTTCCTTTAATTCCAACAAAATGTTCAAGTCTTTCTAAAAGAATATTATGGTCAACTGTATCAAATGCAGCACTAAGATCCAACAGGACGAGCACAGATACAAGTCCATTATCTGAGGCCATGAGAATATCATTAGTGACTTTCACCAGAGCTGTTTCAGTGCTATGATGAGCTCTAAAGCCAGACTGAAACTCTTCAAAAAGTTCATTATGGTGTAAGTGATCGCAAACTTGCTTGGCAACTACTTTCTCAAGAATTTTGGATAAGAAAGGAAGATTGGATATAGGTCTATAATTAACCAAGTCATCTGGGTCAAGAGACGGTTTCTTAAGCAGAGGTTTAATTACAGCAACCTTAAAAGCTTTAGGTACATATCCCTGAAACAGAGATAAATTAATCACATCTAAAATGGAGGAGGAGATCAAAGGGAATGCCTCCTTAAATAACCTGGTTGGAACTGGATCTAACATACAAGTTGAAGGCTTAGATGAAGACAATAATTTTGCTAATTCAGAGAGTTCAACTGGATCAAAGCAGTCTAAACCCGGTTCAGATTCCATGACTACCTCAGGTACAATCGCGGATAGAGGAGTGCTTATGATCTTATTTTTAATAAGATCAATCTTATTTATAAAGAATCCCATAAAATCATTGCTGCTAAGAGCAGGTGGAATGGACGGTTCAACAGAGCTATGGCTCTGGGTGAGTTTGGCAACTGTATTAAAAAGAAATCTAGGATTATTCATTGAAACTCTAAATAATCCCTCAGCAAGCATGTGAGTCAACCTAAACCAGATGAGAAGCAGGCTCATTGGGAGAGGCTTAGTGCCACACCTGACTAGAGGTTTAAGCAAACACAGCAGAGAGACAAAAGAAACATACAGCAACCAGAAAGATTTCCTATATTCAACAAGAATAAAAGTGTAATCACAGCAGCTTCTAATGTGGGTTCATTTAGCAGAGAAAAGGAGCTCTGAGAAAGTATTCAGGACTCAAAGATGAAAGAGAGCACAAACTGTGCAGATACTCACAGATGCTCAGAAAAAAGTCTATTAGTCTATGAGTATGATAAAGTTACTATAACTTCTAAAAGACAGTAGATCACCAATAGGTAGAGAAGATAAAGTCCTTATTAAACTCTGAGGCAGTGGGTCCCTGGGCAAGACCCTTAACCCTCACACTGCTCCCCAAGGAGATGGGTTAGATGCAGAGGTAAATTTCTATCATTCTTAGCATTATCATTATTATTATAAACAGAGAAATGAGCATAAAGCAAATCACCAGGGATAGAGCTAGATTGGGGGCCAGGGGTGGCCATGGCCGCCCTTAGCCAATCATTGGCCACCCCTGTAGCCACCCCTACCATATTTTCCCTCTAATAGAGATGGTGGCAGCAGTAATACTCTGAAGGGGAATGTTCAAACTTATTAAACATTTAAAATTTTCATATATATTAAAAAACTACTTGACAACAGAAACCCTGTGGTTAATTATGCACATCAATTTACAAACATTAACGATGATAGATTCAGAATTCATGCTCTTTTCAGAACTAAATTTTGAATTATTTGGGGTAAAGATAAAATTATGTGGCCTGGGTGCCATTCCGAACTTAGTCCCGCCCACAACGTTTGAGGTCGGGAAGTTCGGTCTGGCATTGCTCAGTAGTAGCGCGAGTATGCTCGCACAATATCTGGCGGGCCAATCAAATTGTCAGGGGGGGCTTTATACGATGATGGACAGATGATCAACAGTAACGTAATCAACCACGCGACCAAAGCGCGCTTGGGTGACAACAACAATGGCTGCCGCTGGAGAGTTTATGTAAGTAGATTCTGCTATTAGGTCTGTTGTAGAAGATATCGACAGCAAATTAATTTTAAAAGAGGAACAGAGAAACGCGATCAAGGCTCATCTTCTTATTCTAGGCGTGCAACTGTACGCTTTGATTTTTGTTGACAACAACTATGCCTCGCTTAACATACGTCACGCACTCCGTTGCTTTTATTGGATGTAGGTCTATCCAATTGAGTGCAGAGGCATTTTTTTTCCTGGTTCGTTCGAAACACGCCCCATAATCACAGCTCTATGGAGCAGTATCAGACTCATATTCTGACTAGAATTGAGTAGGACTACGTCAGGCTAAAAATTCTGTGCTTCTGCAAGTCATCTACGAGTCTTCCGTGAAATCATAGATAAATAACTACTCAAATAATAACACAAAAATTCATTAATTTTGGAATTAGTAGATTTAAATATCTTTTTTTTTTTTTTTTTTGCAGACTGATTATTGATAAAATAGGCCATGACAAGGTAAAATATGTTCGCCTCAGAACTCAACCTGAAAGAATTTTGTCCACTATACCTTTTATTTACACAGCGTAGATGTTTAAATATATGTGTCTATTTGTTAGCAAAGGCTGTAGGAAAGCATAGTTTGTCTTTAATTAGAAAATATGGATGTTGTGCTCGTTCTTGTTGGAACATGGTAGATTGACCCTGAGGTTCTGGTGCCTTTCGGCCACCACTCAATGTACTTTGGTTATTGACTGGGCCCCCCTATTAGGATTTTCTGGCTACGCCTCTGCAAATCAAACAGGAGGAACTAATCATCTAAAGCAGACACTTTAGAAAAAACAATATTTTTGAAAAACTATTTGTAAGAAAAACAAATACTAACAAGCGCTTCCAGAAAAAAAAAAAAAGTTCTTCTTCACATAATCTAACAAGGTTACAAAGGCGCTTCCTCATGAGTTTAGTTTACTACTTTCTATAAAAAACACAAAGTAGACTTCATGTATTAAAGGAACAAAAACATAATTTAATTATAAGAGAGTACAATCCCGCTACAATAAGTTATAATGAATAACTATATCAGTTCTGACTGGACTGGTTCTCTCTGACAGAAACATTATAAACACTCACTGTCTGTTATTGTCGGGGCCCTCAAAGCCCAGGTCTTCATAAATCAGCTTCAAACTCAGTTTCTGCGAATAGTCGTTGAGAATAGAAACAGGGTTTCCAGTATTTGTGAGGGCCATGGCGCACAGGAGCGCAGCGCAGCGCAGCTCTGGCTCCGCAGCGTCGAACTGTTCAAGCCCAGTTTCGATTCAGCGGGATGTACTTGGCAGCCCCCGTTAACTTCCGGCTAAGCGTGGTGTCGGAATCCATTTCCTGTTTTGTTAGCAAGACTACTGGATGATCCTGGACGATCCAAGGTTTAGTTCTGTTTCAGACCATTTTCGTATTTGTTTAGTTAGCTTGGGTGATTTTCAAGATACTAATTTAGTTGTGAAATGATTCAAATGTGAACATTATAAACGTTTCCCTGTTTCGTGTTCACTTCCCCCTAGTGACTGAATTGAGCATTGTGGTAATTTATTTTTCCCCTTCTAAAGTTTGTTAATAAAGGCCACAATTAATGAAATACTAAATTCTTAGCATCCTTCTTTTGCAAGACATCGTAGCAAAACATGTTTTTTAAAAAAGCTCTTAAAAGCTACTTAATCCACAGCTTGGTGATGTTAGAACAGAATTACCTAAATGAAGAGTGTACAAAATCATTAAACTATACATCAAATAATAAAATAACAAAGCACATATTATTTGGTTTTACATTAATTCCAGTGTATCAATATGAAAGTAGAATTCACCTGTGTGAAAACAATAAAGGAAGAGACATTAAAAACTTTTAGAATATGAAATACTGATCAGGGCCGGGTTATTATGAAACATATTGATCTGTCATCTCAGTAAAATTTTGAGATCAAAATTTTCAGCCGCTTCACTGAAAGGGGGGTTGTGAAGTGATTTAAAGTACAATTATTTCAATGATTTATAAATGTATCAAGTAGGCTGGATTAGTGTGGGATTAAAGACTTTTACTTCTTAAAAATAGATAAATAAAATAGCATAAAAAAGGAGACCTTTCAGTGGCTGTTGTTATATAACATGTCGATTTGACCATTTTGAATTTGTAAACCGTGCCCAGCTGGAGCCCACCTATTGCCCATGCTTGGTCTAGCCCAGTGGTTCCCAAAGTGTGGGGCGCGCCCCCTAGGGGGGGCGCAATGCCATTGCAGGGGGGGCGCGGGAAGCGGTATGGATGAATGAAGAAAAAAAAACAAAAAAAAACAGCGCTTGCTTGACTGAGCATAATGGACAGTTGTGACACTGCAACCCAGATTTGAGAAGATCTACAGCAACAAGCAGGTTCACTACAGCCACTGAAAAGATGGGAGGATTAAAGTACAAAGAAAAAACTCTCAGGGAGCTGTTAAATGTTTTCACTCCATTTTGCACAGAGGCTTTTTTAATGTATAGATTATAGCAAAGTTAAATATTGTTACAAATAAAATAAAAAAGAAATATGTTTAAAATAACACAGACAACAAAGAATCCTCTTCTAATCTACATTATAGAACTATGAAAAAAATACAGTTACACAAAAGTATTCCACTGTAAAGATGGTGTAGTTTGTTTTGTTGCAACCTGAAGTGTGAAATAAACTTCAGTGGAGTTTGAAAACAAAATATGTGTATAGATTTATTATATCTGGTTGAACGATGTGTGTGCCCAGTTTATTCTTTTTTTTGTTTTTTGTTTTTGTTTTTTGGGGTCGGGGGGATGGGGGGGCGTGGAAATTTTATTGTAATCCAAAGGGGGGCCAAGAAGAAAATCTTTGGGAACCACTGGTCTAGCCCATCTACTGCCCATATGACTCATGTGGGCAGTAGATGGGCTGCCCACATGGCTCCCAGCAAGAGAGCCCACCCTGAGCCCAAGTCCAGCTGAAGCCCATCTATGCCCAGGTGAAGCCCATATGGGCCCCACCTGGACGTGCTTGCTGGGAAAATAAAAAGAGCTTAAAATCAAAAACGGGGTTACAAAATATCACTAAAATATGTAAAGTAGGTTTACAAAATGTAAGTGTACAAAAATAAAATGAGTAAAACTCCATCATGAAATACCTAAATCAATCCAGAAGTAAATAAATGGTTTTGTAGATTCAAACCGTTTGTTTTTAAATGCTTCTCTAGTAGGTGATCAGTTAAATTGTTAGCATGGAGAGATCTCAGATTTTTATTTACATTTTAAATGTCTCATATTTATGAAAGTTTTTTGCATTCACCAAACAAAATAAAATTAGACATAGGTAGCTCATGTAATCATGACTTAAGATCTTGTGATTACAAGATAAGATGTCACGATTACGAGTTTGCCTTTTAATTAGAGATGCACATTTGTGTAGTTTGTAGCACTGTAGCTTTACAGAAACAAGGTTCCAGCACGGGAGTCTTTCATTGAGTTTGCATGTTCTTAATAAACAACAATAAATTACAATAAATTGTAATTTGTGCCACTTAATATTGTTTTTTTTTTTAAACCACTGAAGTTGTGGTCAATTCATAATTTTATCAACAATATGGTTCAAATGATTCATGTACATCAAAATAAAAGACATTTATGTGCATAAATAGTGTACATACATTTCCCACTGATGCTGATGGCATATAAGAGTATAGTTGCCGACAAGGGAAAATGAGCAGCTAAAGGTCAAACTAGAATACAAAATAAAATATATAAATGAAAAACACAACATAAACAACACCAAAAGAAAATGTTGCAAATAAAAAGAAATTACAATTACAGAAAATGCACAATAGCCTTCAACTAAAAACAAGAATGTAAAAGAAAAATGCTAAAGAACCACCACTAAAGAACCACCTGTAAAGGCTTTAAAAAGATGTCAGAGGAAAAAAAACGAATTTTATTTTTTTTCTTAATGTTATAGACAAATATTCGCCTGGATGTCCCATCTGACTTGGTCCTCGACTTCCCTCCACTGGTCTAGCGTATTTCCAATTTATAGAGCTCGTCAGCAGCTTTTCTAAACTTTTGTGTTTTTTACTGAAAGCATTGTTTCCTTTGTATTTGCTTGGGTGGTTGTAAGGGTTCTTTCTGTTATTGCAGATGTTTTTCAATGCATTTGTACTTTATGTTTGCAGTATTCATGCCTGTGGCATGTTTTGCCATTGGTTAACATTCCTCCATCTTTGCACCGGTTGTTAGAAATTTGAATTTCTTGTCAATATTTAACTCCTTACTTTCAACAATAGAAAGCAACAGGCAGGCAATTCTTGTGGGTCTGTTAAAAGGAAAACTAGCTTTTTGAGAGTTCAAACGTGTTGAGAACTGAACTGCTAATGTGAAGGCATATTTTTCTTTGGCCTATTTGTGAGATGAAAGGTTTTGAGTGTGCCTGCCTGAATATGAGTGAGTTCAGAGATATCCTGTAGCAGCCTCTATGCTGTAATGTTTAAGGTAAGGGGACAGAAAGCAGATGCATCCCTACTCTAAACAAGGGTAAAGGGAAAGTCATGAGAGATTAGAATTTGTTCTCACAGTCGCCTCCATGTTGTGAACGGTGACCTGTTCTCGGTGTTTATCTGGCTAAAATTGAATTTTAAAGTGTTTTTTCTTGGGAATAACCAAATGTTCAAGTGTGAGAAATTTACCTTGTGCAGGGGTGGGTTCGTTCCACTGTGGGGAGAGTGTGTGTGTGATTTTGTAAGGTATAAATGTATATACTTCAATCAGAGAGCTCTATCTCTCCGTCTGAGGAAGTTAAATACATTTGAACATTATTTCTTGCAAGAAATGCCTCTGCCTCAGCTTCCTAACTTCACACCAATCAGTCCAAAATTGTACTTCTGGTTCTTCCACGTCCCAATTTTTACCACTTCAGAATGTTTTCTCATGTGTATAACTTGGTAATAAAATCAAATACATAGACATTAAAAGGGAGATTATATAAGTACTTGCATTTAAAACTCGCTTAAACCAAATCAATTAGCTCAAGCATTTAGAAATATATTTGAATGTACAAGTAGTTTTACAGTAACTGTAAAAGAAAATAAAACAGAGCTGGTAGCTAATAGAAAAGGTGAATCTTTCCAACCATAAAGTAAACACAGTTTTACTGTCAGGCATTTTGGTTTTAAGTTCTGCAAGCAAGCAGATGTGCTTTTCTGAATCAGTTTTTATGTTACTTGCTTCAGGTTGTTCTTCTGGTTTACTATACAGCATTGAGTTTATCATTTGGCTCTGGAAGTAAAAACTAAATACATGTTCGGATTTGTTGAATTCCCATGGATATAAATAGTTTAAAGCCAGTTGTGACCTTTTTGAAATACAGGATTCCTTAACATTTTCTACGGTGCAATCTTTCATTTTTCTTGCAGATTTTGACAAAGAAGATGCTTATTTAAAAATCTTTCACTCTGATATTAAACCAGTTTTTTGATACATTCTCAAGAAGTTTGTATACATTGACTTGCTATTTGTTAGAAATGCCTCATTAACTAGATGACTCAGGTCAACCTTTCTGTGTTTACCTTTTTTTAATTTAACCAATAGAATTAGGTTAAATGCTACTTTACTTACTACCTTTTAACTTTAGGCAGCCTCAAATTCAGGTTAAAATGAACCTGAACCCTTAACCTTATTATGACTAGTATACAAAGATCGATATAAATTTGATTTTGTGCAGTACAATGGGCTCTATGCACAGCTCCACTACTTCCTGAATTTAAAGCAGCTCCTTTGTTTCCTGTCTTTCATTACTGGACGGACTGATTAATCCAGGTGTGTCTGGCCAGTTACTTAGGTCATACACACCTGGATTAATCAGTGCATCCAATCATGAAAGACAGGAAACAAAGGAGCTGCTTTAAATTCAGGAAGTAGTTGAGCTGTGCATAGAGCCCATTGAATGTGTCTAGAAATTATACCCATGTATGATTCAAACTTGAGGGATTTTGTTATTGATATATAATTTGATTTCTTATGTTTACATTATGTGATGAGGCAGCAGTTTGTTAAAAGTGTTGCAGCAGAAAGGTGTGCCGAAAAATAAAAAGCATCAGTGAGATAATGCTTTGGAAAGGTATGATTTGATCATCTAGGACCTCAGAGTCGAAAGGCATAAAAAATCTGAGTGTACGTGAAACTTTCTCAGAACCTGAAAGTCAAGAATGTAATGAATTAAAGTGAACAAAAATAGGTTTATTTCTCTTCATATTTATGAAATTGATCAAATAGATTTTTAGTCTGATTTATTGTCTGACTCATATTTACAGAGTTGTATGAAAAAGTGTCTATTCTGATTTATTTCCTTTTGTGCGTGTTTGTCACACTTAGGCACATCACAACATCAAACGAAATGCAGTTTTTAAATGGTTTTAATAATTAATGCAGAAAAAAAACATCTAAAAGGCCTTATGTGAAAAAGTGACTGCTCGTCATGTTGAAACAATGCTTAACAGGGAATTATGACACCACTTTCTCTGGACACATCCAGGTCTGATTACTGCCACACCTGTAGTCAAATAAAAAAAATTACAAACACAATGAAGTTGACCAAAACATCTTTCAAAGCTAGACATCATGCTTAGATGTCAGTAACCAAAAAGAAAAAGAAAAAATCAGGAGGAAATGTAATAGGAATTAAAATAATTTTAAACTTAAAAAATTGTTTTTTAAGAAAAAAGGTTGGTCAAAAAAAATTAAACCTGAAAAATAAAGGTGTGTCCAAAAAAAACTACTTATCAGATTGAAGTTTTTTTTTTTTTTTTACTTTTATTTTCTTTTTTGTATTTGCAGATTTTTGTTTGGCTTCAAAGTTATGGTAAATGGCCTTTACTTATATAGTCAAGTCAAAAGACTTGACCAAAGCGCTTTACACTACATTCAGTCTTTCACCCATTTAACGCACACACTCACACTGATGGTGACAAACTAGATTGTAGCCACACTGCCCTGGGGTTCACTGACAGAAGAGAGGCTGCTGTGCACTGACGCCACCGGCTCCCTGACCACCATCAGTAGGCGGGTGAAGTATCCTGGCCTCTTAGGGAGAGCCACTACACCATATGCAGAAAACTAATTTCTCCCACTTATATCCAGGATCTTGTTCTTTCGGTCATGACCCAAAGCTCCTAACCATAGATGAGGGTACAGTAGGAACGTAGACTGAACTGTAAATCGAGAGCTTTTCCTTTTGACTCGGGTTTCTCTTTATCACAGCAGGCCAGCACAGCGCACTGAATCTGCTTCACCGCAGATTCAGTAAAAATCTGCCCCTCGATCTCGCGCTCCATCATTCCCTCATTCGTGAGCATACCCTAAGATACTTAAACTCATCCGATTGGTCTAGGACTTCCTCCCTGACCCGGAGAAGGCACCCTACCCTTTTCTGGCTCAATATACAAGATTCAATATACACATTTTCATTAATGTTTTTTTTTTGTACATTTAAAAAAAAAGAGCAGCTGGTTGTATTATTTTACATGACATTAAGTTGTATAATGTTGACAAATTCACTTGAGACACAATGTGCTTTTCAGAGGTCTAACGATTTATCAAATCCACAGCTTGCTTTCTGGCATCCAACACCCAAGAAGTCATGATTCTTTTCCCTTCTGTGTGATCACAGTACCACCAAGAGATAAACAATTGATTTGGGGAACACAGTTAACAAAGCTGAACCATTTGCAGTTAAGAATAAAAAGCAGCTATTAAATCAACATCACCCATAGCATGGTTATTTAGATCAGGCATGATTCAAATTGTAATGTTAGACACATTTGAAAATCCTAATAGAAGAAAATGTTCCATTTTCTGGTCTGAAGTTTTTCCCCTTTTGCATTGCTTAAGAAGAAAAATTACAGAAAAGTGTTGACATGCATCATACAACTTGACTGTTGCATGTTGACTTTGCTTGCAGATCATGGAAAAATATCTCTTCCATCTGCCTAACTAAATTCCAGATATTCAGACACTGTGATTCTCCAGGTACGGATGTGGTTGGCCTAATTCTTCCAATTTATCCTTCACCTGGCTTGCTTCAAGTCGCTCATTTGGGTCCTCGCAGAGCAAAGATTTGATTATTTTGCACTGAAAAAAATAAGGACAATAATAATAATTAAAATTTTCTAATAATGAGCATTTTTTACATAAATTATCACAGATTGAAAATTATATTTACCTCAAAAGGAAAAGTCTGAGAAAAGTCTTCGGGTAGCGACTTATTTTTTGCATTTCTCAGAAGCTAATGGTCCATGAAAATATAAAATAATACAATTATTAATAAGAAATATGAACATTTCTGTGTTATATTTGAAAGAAAAAGTGTAAAAAATGAGTTAAACCACATTTTAAGAAATTTTTAAATTTAGATTTGCAATTGATCTCTTAATAAATGACTCACCACTGATCTTTCATGGCCAAATGACATTTTCCAAAGCAGCTCAAAGAAGATCAGTCCCAAAGCAAACATGTCCACCTTACGATCATATCTCCTAGTATTCTGTAAAAAAAAAAAAAAAAAAACTAAAATGTTTTGTGATGAAATCAAACTCATCTAACAGGTCAACTTTAAATCAGAGCAATCTTTCTGAAGGGTACTCCAAACAGCCTTTTTTGACCATCCATTTTTTGTGAAGATAAGCTGTTTATTACAGGGTACTAATGTGCTGTTGATGAAAGAAAGCAGAAAATCCCCCTAAACTCCTGGCTTACAGTACGAATAAATGAAAAGTAAAGTATTTGTTGTGTCCTTTTTCATGTGCATGAGTGCATATGTAGAAATAAGCAAGTTCGTTTTGACTGGGTGTATGTCAGTGCCGGTTTATCATTTGCAAATGTGGTGGGGACAGTAGATTATTTCTTTTTTTAAAGTTTATAGATTATAAGTTAAGTTTTGTGCATTTTTTCCTGCAAGAAAGATAGTCAGAAATGAGCTGATATTTTCTGTGACCTATTTAAAAATGACATTGCGGATTGTAGTGATTTTGAGCTTTGGTGATTTTACATAAACAGAACCCTCAGTTTCATTTAGTGTGATAAATATAGTTGAGAAATCAGATTAAGATATATTGAGTATAATAATTGTATATGAAATATATATATTAAAGTAGAGTTAATTTGCCAACATGATCTATACAACTGATAGAGATGTTTATTTTGTTTGTATTTTATAGCTATACGTTTCAGCTCTTTAAACTTAAATAATCACTAGAATGTCCCCTTTACAGACTGGTGACTTCAAATACAAACTTTTCTGAACTTGTAAAAGATATTTTGGTTTTTCTTTTTCTAAATACTAAAATCAACCTCTGTGCCAGTTTTCAGCACATCGTTTAACTGACCTGTTCAGGAGCCATGTAGGTTTCTGTTCCAATGTCTTTCGTTCGTTCCATCAGTTCCTCACTTTGGTCAATAGTGATGAGACCGAAGTCTCCAATCTTCACCTTGCCATCTTTTCCAAACATTATGTTGTCAGGCTGAGCAGTAAAAAAACAACAAAAAGAGATTGAATCTATCATCAAACTTCACGGGTCAGACATGTGATCCTTCATTTAAACTAAAGTAAATGTTATTGAATACAGAAAAAAACCTGGCAAAGTTCGAAGAGAGACTAGAGACTCTAACAGCCATCTGATGCTGAAGACAAAAACCTTTATTTTGTCTCGAATATGATAAAAAGCTTTAAAGAGCTTTTTATCATATTCTAGACAAAGTGAACATAATGAAGTTTGCTTCAAACTAAAGACAATTTTTTCCAGACAAAAAATCACTTTTCCATGGATAACTTTCCAAAGTTCTGTCTAATAAGTTCATTCTAATATATATGTGTTCTCCATGAATTAATGGCAGATATTTGTATGGATCGAATTTGTGTTGCTTCGGTGTGTAAGTTTGCCAAAACAATGTCTGATCTGACCAGTGATGAAATGTTTAGCCACATGTCATCATTCCGCCGCTAGTTGTCTTGGTGGTGCCCTGAAAATGATGTGGGCTACACTGATAACTGGCAATCTTTTGGGGAAAACCTGGTCTGATTTGTAGAGACGGAATCCATCCCACGATGGATAGTGCAGCTCTTCATTCTAGGAATCTGGCTGAATTTATTAGTCCTCCAAAACCTTGAAAAACCCAGGGTGCAGACCAGGAAGCAGAGTCGTAGTTAGACAAATCTATCTGCAGCTTCTCTACAGTTACCCACACATTACTCTATCCAGACAGTTTTTCCCCATGACCAAATAAATTAGAAAATAACTCTAAATGAGTAAATCACAATAATCTAATTAAAATAAAAATGAATCCAATAGGGGAAAAAGTCAAACAATTACATGTTGTTTATGTAACATAAGAACTTTCTTCAAAATGTCTGTTAGTTAATGACTTGATTTGTGATACTCAAATTGATTTCTGTTATCTTATGGAAACTTTGCCACAGCAAGAGGATTATGTGACCATAAATGAGGCAACTCCTTCTAGCTATTTAAATCTTAACATACCAAGAAATGATGGGCTAGGGAGTTGCAATAATCTTTCAGTTTAATGTACTGATAATTCCAAAGCCAGTTAATAAATAGAACTCTTTTAAACATTTAACCGTTAGTTTCCCTCATCCAAATTTTGTAGCTTTGTATCGTCCACCTGGTCCTTACTCTTTAGATTAATTCTAAGAGTTCTAAGTGGCTTAAATGCAGCTTTTAATACTATCTTAGACTCAATTGGCTTTGTTCAAAATGTGAATAATCCCACAGATTCTCGTCTTCATACTTTGGACCTTGTCCTGATATATAGCATTACATTCTAAGGAACACAGTACATATATGTACTGTACATATATAAGGAACACATATATATATATGGTGCATTTGAAGGATAACTATTTCCGACATAAAGAATGGAAGGAAGGAGAAAAAAGAGTAATGGTAGTGGGAGAAAAAAGAGGGGATAATAAAACCAGGACACAAGGATGCAAGACAAGAAAGCAAGCCTTAAGGCAAATGGACAAAAGAAAGAAGGGATGAACAAGTGCAAGCAAGAAATTAGGAAATACACATTTAGATGATGGATTGGGGAATGATGTCTTGAAGAACAAATGAAGAAGAAATTACAGATTTGTTGTCTAAAAGCTCAAGCCTCACCTTCAGATCTCTGTGAATGAGGTTGTTGTGGTGAATGTATGCCACTCCAGTGACAATTTGCTTTGCAATAGGAAGACTGTCTGCTCCTCTTTGGGAGTACTGTACTTCATTCTCATTCATCACTTTAATCCATTGTGTAAGAGTTGAGTTACATAATTCCATCTTAATGAAGAGGTACTGTTTACATTGGATACTGGAAATTTAAAAAAAGAGAGGAAAATGTGATTATAACGATAGTCTGTAGGAGGAATTTTATTAATTGAAACAAGGGGAGAATACAACATACCGCTTTAGTTTCTTTTTGAGGAATTCCTGTTGCACCTTAGAATCCTCAATCCAGCAGTGGTAGTATCTAACAATGTTTTCATGTTGGAGTTCCGATAACGTCTTCACTTCACGCAAAGCTTTTCTACATAACATCAATCAAAATGCATCCATTGTAAAGTTCAAGCATTTGTCCTGAATTGCCCAAATAAGCACTCCATACTTACTCTGAGTCTGAAGCAGAGACAATCTTTACGGCATAATCCATGTCCAACAGTTTCTCCTTTACTTTGAAAACGGCACCATAACCTCCTTTACCAAGAACCGAAATGAATTCAAAGTCTGAAGTGAATCTGTAAACATTAAGCAAGTAGCTTAGACACAAAGAAAATGCATTGAGCCTGAATATTATTATTAATAAATGCTTGCAGTACAAATGTACCTTGACTCAACTGATGGGGTACTTGCATTTCCAATTATATGGTTTTCCTCATCTTTCTAAAAAACACAAAAAGCCTTGACTGTATTCATTATAAATATAAAAGCTATTTGCTTTATACACTGCTTACTCTTCCTGCATTATATTATAAAAATTAAACATTGGTAACAAAAGTTAATAGGTTTCAGTTTAAACAAAAATAAACTTTTATTAACAAATCAAATAAAACATTAGCAATGGAGAGCAAAATAAGGATGCATAAATGTTTGTGCTTCATATGATCTCAAGGTATGGTTGCTCAATGCACCGACAAATGCCTTGCTAAACAAGAAAAAAAATGTGGTTAATAACTGTGGTAGTAATCAAACTCAAAGTTTACATTTTTTAGGCTATATTGGAACAAACCTGGGCACTGAAGGGGTTTGAGGAATCAGTGAATATTATGGATTGACTTGGAGTCATCTGCATGCTCTGCAGTGAGGAATCAGCTGATTCCCTGGAAAAGAAGTCAAACAAGCATGTTTACATATATCATAGCATTTAGCTCTACACTCCAGTTTATATCAGGAGGTGCCTTACTCTGTGGCTGATTGTGAAAATGATGTTTCATCCTCAGACGTTGATGTGACAGAAACCTGAAAATGAGTGAAGAATGTTTTAGTTTGCCATCAGCCTGAGCTTAAAGGAATAGTACACCCAAAACATGATTAGCCTTCATTTTCTACTCACCCCCATGCTGAACAACACTCTGGAGTACTTTTTTGATATCTCAAATGCATCTGGAGATCTGGGAGGCTTCTTGCTGTCTGCTGACATTCAAATAATGGAGGTCTATGGCGCCCGAGGCAGAAAGGTCCATAAAAGTCCACAAAAAACGTGTCAATATTCCTCCATACTGCTCGTCCAATGTATTCCAAGTGTCCTCAGTGGGTAGCGTCCATAATTTACTCGAAACGAAATAATTTAGAATGTTTTTAGAGCATAAACAGTAGTGTATAGGATTTCCTAAAAGCGCGTGCCTGCGAGTTCACGACGCTACGGAAACCGCGGCAGACCAAACCAGATGAAAGTGCGCATTCAGCTCGGCAAAGAACTCATGCTCTTCCTCAACACTGAAGTCCTCAGACATTTTTCTTTCGTTGTTTCTTTCTTTGCACAGGTAAACAGCACATTTCTTCTTCTACGCTTGCATTATCGGCACAGCAGACGCTGAATGCGCACTTTCATCTGGTTTGGTCTGCCGCGGTTTCCGTAGCGTCGTGAACTCGCAGGCACGCGCTTTTAGGAAATCCTATACACTACTGTTTATGCTCTAAAAACATTCTAAATTATTTCGTTTCGAGTAAATTATGGACGCTACCCACTCAGGACACTTGGAATACATTGGACGAGCAGTATGGAGGAATATTGACACGTTTTTTGTGGACTTTTATGGACCTTTCTGCCTCGGGCACCATAGACCTCCATTATTTGAATGTCAGCAGACAGCAAGAAGCCTCCCAGATCTCCAGATGCATTTGAGATATCAAAAAAGTACTCCAGAGTGTTGTTCAGCATGGGGGTGAGTAGAAAATGAAGGCTAATCATGTTTTGGGTGTACTATTCCTTTAATATTGGAGAAATAGAACATCAGCTACCTTGCTGTTGAAATCCGACTGCTTCTGAAGTTCAGGCCAAGCCGCCTTAGCTGCATTCTGTCTGGCTTCTTTGGCTGTCTTACCCTCAGCAACAGGGTAGTCCTTTGTGTTGATCTTCAATTTATAAAAAAATCTGTATTGAAAGAAAAATTATCTTATTTTCTGATATTAAGTTTTCTATTAGTAAATATTACAGGAGAATATTCATAGCCAAAACGTTTCCAAATGAGAAGATTCTTGCCGAGGGTTATGAGGAGGTCCCCTTCTTTCTACTTCAATGTATGTGTGAGAGCAGTTTGTCTGCTGACAGTAGCTGTTGATGATTCCAATAAAGTTTGTCTCCATAAGGCTGTGATCTTCTGAGTTCGTATTCTGGCTTTTTGTCGTAGGGCTGTGACAGAAAACACATTATGTCGGAGACAACTTAACTAAACCATAGGGGAAGGAATAACTACTGTTATCATTGAGATGCCATCATCAACAATTCAGAGAAACAATTCAAAAACCTTAAATTTGACAACTTATGGTCAACACATAATTGAGTGAAAAAGATAGGAAATACCATGGATGTATCGCAGGTCCATTACGGGCAACACAGGTCGACTAACCTTGCACAGACTCTAAAACTATTCAAAATGATCACTCTACCTACGTTTTTTAGACTGTGTGAGGAAGCCTGAGTACCAGGAGAGAACAGACAGAAGCATTTGGAGAACATGGCAACTCTGTGCAGAAGATCCCAGACACCGATTTCAACCAATGAGTGCAAACTCTGCCATAAACCAGAAGGAACCAGATGGAGGAGGGAAAGCAGCTGATGGAAAGCTACCAGTCAGGCAATGGACCAATGGGAATGGATATCAGAAGTTCAAATAATTGCAAAATTCTTTTTTAACTTTTAAGGCAAAGTATTGATGAGCAAATGTAAATGTTAAGAGCCTGGGTCTCACACTTTGGAACATTATGTGATAGAGGTAGACTGATACATCAGCTGGCTGAAATCTTTGTGCTTTTTCTCTAGGGTTGTCAAAAGTATCGAAACTCAAAAAAGTATCGATACCAAAATGTTGTATCCGGATACAATACTCATTTTTAAAAGTATCGATACAGTGCCACCACCAGTGGCACCTAAGCAGTCATTCATCTAAAGTGCAGAATAGAGGAAAATGCACAATCAGAACACTGTGTGATTGAATAATTCTGTGCACTTTTCAGTTTCAGACTTTTTTTTTTTTGTAAGAGGTGCAGCTGCTGAGAATTATTTTTGTTTTTTAACCAGTTTGGCTAGTGTCATTGTTATGTGTGCAAAGCATAACCAAGGAAGGAACACTTAATTTTAAATTTATAAGTTTTTTATCAAGCTTGCTTAATATTGTACACAGCATACAACCGTTATTGTATTTATTTATTGTATTATATTTATTAATGAAAATTTTCTGTAGAATTTTGGAGTCTTTGTTTTTTTCCTTGTGGTATCGAAAATGGTATCGAGTATCGAATATTTTCCTTAGTATCGGTATCGAGTTGAAAAGTTTAGTATCGTGACAACCCTATTTTTCTCTGGTACTTGTTTTAGCCAATGCGTGCATGCATTTACAGATTAACTGGTGCATTCAGCAGCTATGCATGCAATCATGTCAAGCATGTTTATTGCAATCCACTGTTTAAGTTTTGTTGAATATATATATATATATATATATATATATATATATATATATATATATATTCATATATATATATATATATATATATATATATATATATATATATATATATATATATATATATATATATATAGATATATATATATTTTTTTCTTTTTCTAAATTGAGAAATATGTGATGTTATCACTGTGTTATTTTTACCATGTAAACAGTGAATGAAAAAGGAATGTTACTGTAAAAAATAAATTAAAATCAGCCTAAAAAAATCTGCAACACATATCAGAACTTGTTTAGACTGTCAAAATTATTGGTATCGGCTTGAAGAAAAAAAACAAAAAAAGTCGATCTCTACTACTTGAATATAAAGCACCCTCCCTACGACACTTCACAGACAAAATTACCTTTTTTTTTTTTTACATTTGTTTCATTTTACGAAGAAATCATTATCATATTAATTCACTATTCAAATTTTCTTCTATGACTTCTTTATTTTACAAAGAAGTCATAGAAATGTTTTAAGGCTTTATTAAAAAAGGTTATGCATTAAGCAGTATGCTCACCTGATATTAGTTAGGTTTTTATTGAACATCTGATTTTGCTGAGCTGGAAAATCTCCAACCTTTAACCAAAAATAACATTGTTAAAAAATAGGAATACAGTTTGCCAAATATACATTTGTTAACAGAGAAATAAGCAAAGTAAGAAGTTTACTGGTTTATAGCAATGTAGTGAAAAACAGAGCCTATTGGGTGAATAGGGTTAAGAGTTAACATCTGAAGAAAGAGTAAAGTCACGTTAAACTCAAACACTTGAACTGCTTTAAAGATTTTAAGATGCATATTAAAAATTAATTAAGCTAAATTCAACACAACAGTATCTATAAAAATGTACTCATTTCCACAAATTACCATTTTTGTTTTTCTGGATTCGAAAGATCAGAACAAACCTGTGGATTTGAGGAGACTGAAGAAGATGTTGAGTCACCTAAACTCAACTGCATGCTCTGCAGTGACGAATCAGCAGAGTCCCTAAAAGAAGAGACACAAGTATGTCCAAACGAGTATAATTATATTATTCATTATTTAAGGCAGTTTCTATCTTGAGGTGCCTTACACTGTGGCTGATTGTGAAAATGTTTCGTCTTCAGACGCCGTTGATCTAACAGACACCTGAAAATGAGTGAAGAATGCTTTAGTTCACCATCAGCCTGAGCTTAATATAGGAGAATTAGAACTTCAGCTACCTTGCTGTTGAAATCCGACTGCTCCTGGAGTGCAGACCAAGCCTCCTTAGCTGCATTCTGTCTGGCTTCTTTGGCTGTCTTACCCTCAGCAACAGGGTAGTCCTTTGTGTCGATCTTTAATTTGTAGAAAAATCTGTATTGAAAGGAAAAATATCTTATTTTCTGATATTAAGTTTTCTATTAGTAAATATTACAGGAGAATATTCATAGCCAAAACGTTTCCAAATGAGAAGATTCTTGCCGAGGGTTATGAGGAGGTCCCCTTCTTTCTACTTCTATGTATGTGTGAGAGCAGTTTGTCTTCTGACAGTAGTGGTTGATGATTCCAATGTAGTTTGTCTCTTCTTTACTTATACTCAGGCTTGATGTCTTGTCACTGTGATAGAAAATATTCCATATAGATCAAAGAAACCTTAACTAAACAGCAGGCATTTATTAAAGGCCATTTTTTAATTTACTCACCAGATGTCGGCTACGCTTTCAGCTAACACCTGGCCCTGTTGACGGGGGGAATCTCCAGCCTTGATAAAAAGTTAGGATAAAAATGAGACGAAAAATGCCTTGTACTTTTTAAGCAATTTATTAAGTCAGGTGACTCCAAACCTTACATCAAGATTATTAACAACACTAATAACTCATTGCAAAGGGATAAGATTTAGCTGGAATCATCAGGTATTGATTGTTTTTTTACTTCAATAGATGCCCAGCTATTTTATTCCACAGAACTGACAGATTATCTAATGCGAAATTTTATTCATGCCAAGATGTTAGGTTTATTCAATTATGATTATAAAATTAAAGGAATAGTATACCCAAAACATGATTAGCCTTCATTTTCTACTCACCCCCATGCTGAACAACACTCTGGAGTACTTTTTTGATATCTCAAATGCATCTGGAGATCTGGGAGGCTTCTTGCTGTCTGCTGACATTCAAATAATGGAGGTGCCCAGCGCCCGAGGCAGAAAGGTCCATAAAAGTCCACAAAAAACGTGTCAATATTCCTCCATACTGCTCATCCAATGTATTCCAAGTGTCCTGAGTGGGTAGCATCCAGAATTTACTCGAAACGAAGTCATTTAGAATGTTTTTAGAGCATAAACAGTAGTGTATAGGATTTCCTGAAAGCGCGCACATGCGCGCTCACGACGCTACGGAAGCCGGCAGACCAAACCAGCGCATTCAGCTCAGCAAAGAACTCATGCTCTCCCTCAACACTGAAGTCCTCAGACATTTTTCTTTCGTTGTTTCTTTCTTTGCACAGGTAAACAGCACATTTCTTCTTCTACGCTTGCATTATTGGCAGAGCAGACGCTGAATGCGCACTTTCATGGTTTGGTCTGCCGGCTTCCGTAGCGTCGTGAACGCGCAGGTGCGCGCTTTCAGGAAATCCTATACACTACTGTTTATGCTCTAAAAACATTCTAAATGACTTCGTTTCGAGTAAATTCTGGGTGCTACCCACTCAGGACACTTGGAATACATTGGACGAGCAGTATGGAGGAATATTGACACGTTTTTTGTGGACTTTTATGGACCTTTCTGTCTCGGGCACCATAGACCTCCATTATTTGAATGTCAGCAGACAGCAAGAAGCCTCCCAGATCTCCAGATGCATTTGAGATATCAAAAAAGTACTCCAGAGTGTTGTTCAGCATGGGGGTGAGTAGAAAATGAAGGCTAATCATGTTTTGGGTGTACTATTCCTTTAATGTGTGTTCATATGAAACATTGTAAAAATTAGATGCTCCACTCTGTCTTATGATTCAGTCAAGAGGAGAGCATCCTACAGTATCTTATGACCTGATCAACTGTCCTGTCTGAACAATACTCTGTTTGTAACCATGTGTTATGTTCTGTTAATAAAAGATGACTGCAAGGAGGGGGGTCAGAGAGAGAGTAGAGAGTTGGGTGCAGCTCTGTCTCTCCTCCTGCAGGAAGCTGTTTGAAAATCCCTTACTGTGTATTTCAGTTCTTCTTTTACAAACCTACATTTTTGGACCTAAAACAAGATATCAGTTAAAGGTAATTAAATATATGCAAAGTATGGTGTTTCTCACACAGAAAAGAGGAATCTTACTGTGTCCTGATGCTGTTCCTTAAGCAAACATTCCAGAGCATTTTGGGCTGCAGCTCGCCTGGCGTCCTTCTTTGAGTTCCCTTTACCACAAGGGTAGGTCTTACCTGCAAGAACAACTTCCTGGGTAAATCTGTGAGAAAAGAATGGCCAAAAATGAAATATTTTTTTTCTTCAAACTATTAAAAAAATTTATTTGCTAATGTTCTTATCTATCTAATCAAATCAAGAAAAAATACAGTTATTTAAAAAAAATTGACAAAATTATGTTTAAATTTTTGGATTGTATGTTTTCAGAATAGGGGCCATAACAGGGGCAAGGACCAGCTCTACTGGGGCACTGGCCCCCGTTGGCCGCTGTGTAGAACCACCCATGCTTTACAGCTTTATTTCCACTATTATTTAAAGAGCTGTTATGTAATTTTCTAATGATACTGCACCCTGTGGCCAAAGCACAGAACTTACTTAACAGCGCAATTTTATTTTTTACTTTTTTTCATGTTACCTATTGAATTGCCGTATGAGTCGAGCTGGATGCATCTGAGTATCTACAAAATCCATCTTAAACTTAATGCTTTGATATTTTGAGAGGTCAGACTTGCCAGCGTGGGAACTTCTGACCCAAAGTAAATACAGGAAAATATTCTACAGGCTTAAAGATGCATCTGCGCTGTACTCTGAACCACTGAAGTGTCAGTATTTTAAAGGTATTTTTCAGTAAAAATGTATACAATGTCTCTTTAAAAAGTAATGTGTTGCTCTTTAAGCTTTAAAATGCACCAATGATTGTTTTCTTGCTGACTACCTTTGTTTAAAAAGCCTGACATGTTGACAGGGGTGTTGTACGGGGGGGAAGTAAGGAAGATTCTAAGGGCCCTTGACTCAAGGGGGCCCAAAAAGAAGTAAACATAGGTAATTTTTTCAAAATACAAAACCTGTTTTCATTCCATGTGTACATAGATACTTAAAATGTTTTTGTTCTAAATAAGCTCTTGTTATCTTGAGAGGATGAGTTGTAATGTAAAGTTTAAAGTTAATGTATATTTAACTTTTTTCGTGTGAGGATAATTTTCCTTCGTTGAAACTGTAAGGTAAAAATTACACTGAAAATGTAAATATTGCTCTTTATATTGATCTTTATAGCAGTTTTACAGCTTTCTTCAATTTTTTTTGTGGGTCAATATCAATGTCTTTCATGGGACACCCTGAATTTAAATCTCAGTTAACTGAAGATAAACACCCATGAAACAATACAAACTAATTTTAACTGCACAAATTAGTGCTTTTGATTATAAATGAAAGGTTTAGACCAATAACATCAGGGTTACAATCAGTTTTCCATCTAAATATTGGCCGATCCCGAATCTCCTAAAATTAAGAAAATCATAGCCAATAAATCAGTGCACCCCTACTTTTATATTTGGTAAATCTTGGGTCTGCAGATTTGCTGTTGCTCTTTGACTGCAGCTCACATAATGTATCAACTATTGAATTACTGCCTTGTTTTATTTTTTTCTGAGCCCATTGAAAAAAAATATAATGTAAATCCATTTATTGTCCCACAATGGGGAAATTGGTTCTTTGCATTTTGACAATCCCCTGTGGGAGCAGTGGGCTGCTTTTGTGCGGCGCCCAGGGAGCAATCAGGGGTTAAGGGATTTGCTCAGGAACCCAGAGTGGAGGCTGTGGGGATCAAACCGGGCTCTCAGAACACAAGCCCACTGCATTTAACCCATCCCCTTATATATATATATATATATATATATATATATATATATAGATACAGTGTTGGGAAAGTTCTCTTTCTACGTGAACTAGTTCAAAGTTCAGTTCACACATTTTAAAATGAACTAGTTCAGTTCATAGTTCACAATTCCAAAAAACGAACTAGTTCATAGTTCTTTTTTTTCTTTTTTCTTTTTCATATATTGCTCAATTACACCATAGCCTATTGTAGAACCACAGACAGCAATTATTTTATTAGTTGTAACACTGAAACTGTGCGTCAGATTTCATCTTCATATCCAGCTTTGAATCCTTATCCAACCAGGGTTTACATTAGCATTGAGGGGACAGCATTTCCCCATTGTTGCTTTAATGCTTTGTTGCTGTCCATTCACTTCACACTAGTAGCAGCTGCAGCTTTCACCCCTACAGTATATTCTCAAAAACATCAGGAAAAATGTGCTGCTTGAATGGTCTTTTTTATGAGTAATTATTAAAAGAAAAATAGGAAAGTAGTCTTTAAGGTGCAAATGTTTTTTTTTTTTTTTTTTTATAATTTTTTCCATTTGAAATTCCATTTCAATACATACTAAAAAGGAATACTGGAATCCTGGAAAATTATACCAGGCAGGTTTAACAAACAAGTTACATGGATAGTAAAACCCTCAAGAACAGGGGTCTTCTATGTTTTCCAGACCAAGGACCCCCAAACTGATGGCGAGATGGAGCGGGGACCCCCTAACTATATATATTGTATGAAATTGTGTCCTATAGTCACTCTATTACAGATGGAGTAATGTAAAGAAATTAATTTCTCTCTGGGATTATTAAAGTTTTTCTGATTCTGATTCCTGGTTGATGGGACAGGTGTTGTGAAGGAAACGGTGCCCAGCTTGAAAGAGCTCCTGTGTGTCTCTGAATGTGAGCATTGATGACTGAAAGACATCTTCTGCCTCCATTTATCTGTTTACTACAGTGTGTTGATTTCATGTTAATGAGTATTTAAAGACATTTCAATTAATGGGGAAAAAAAATGCAGGGGGGAATATAAAAATATCAACTAACCATGCAGACCCTCATGCAGTACCTCCGTAGACCCCCTAGGGGTCGCGGATCCCCTGTTGAAGACCTCCGCTCAAGAAGATTTTACTAACACAAACTGAGGGACCAGGCTGAGGTAGGAATTTAAGGTTACTGAAGTGCGGATTTTTTTACTGAAAGCCGGCGGGCAAACTTGTTGCCATCATCCTCACCGACCACCTGGTCATAAAACTGTTTTAAGTCGCCTCCATGCTTCTGTGGCTTCCACGCTGCATTTTGTTTTGATGACGCACGCGGCTGTAGGCTACGACGCTGGTAGCTGGTGTTGCCAGATTGGGTGTTTTTCCCGCTACATATTAAGGCCTGTTTACGGTGTGATTTAGCCGGGGTTTCGCCTGGAGGGCTTTATAGAAATCTGGCAACCTATTGAACGGAGTTGAACTGAGAGAGCGTCCCGTTCACAGACGCCAGAATGAACGAGTTCACAATAACGTTCATCAGGCAATAATGCAGTACGTTCAGTTCACGTTCGCCCAAAATATGAACGAGTTCATGAACTTTCGTTCAATGAACGCGTTCAGGCACAACACTGTATATATATATATACACAGGTGCTGGTCATAAAATTAGAATATCATGAAAAAGTAGATTGATTTCAGTAATTCCATTTAAAAAGTGAAACTTGTATATTATATTCATACATTACATACAAACTCATATATTTCAGATGTTTATTTTGTTTAATTTTGATGATTACAAATGACAACAAATGAAAATCTCAAATTCATCATATCAGAAAATTAGAATATTACTGAAGACCAATAAAAACAAAGGATTTATAGAAATGTTGGCCAACTGAAAAGTATGAACATGAAAAGTATGAGCATGTACAGCACTCAGTATTTAGTTGGGCCTCCTTTGGCCTGTATTACTGCAGCAATGCGGCGTGGCATGGAGTCGATCAGTCTGTGGCACTGCTCAGGTGTTATGATAGCCCAGGTTGCTCTAATAGTGGCTTTTAGCTCTTCTGAATTGTTGGGTCTGGTGTATTGCATCTTCTTCTTCACAATACCCCATAGAAAATCTATGGGGTTAAGGTCAGGAGAGTTTGCTGGCCAATTAAGAACAGGGATACCATGGTCCTTCAACCAGGTACTGGTAGCTTTGGCACTGTGTGCAGGTGCCAAGTCCTGTTGGAAAATGAAATCTGCATCTCCAAAAAGTTGGTCAGCTGCAGGAAGCATGAAGTGCTCTAAAAATTCCTGGTATGTGGCTGCGTTGACCCTGAACCTCAGAAAACACAATGGACCAACACCAGCAGATGACATGGCACCCCAAACCATCACTGACTGTGGAAACTTTACACTGGACTTCAAGCAACGTGGATGAAGTGCCTCTCTTCTTTTCCTCCAGACTCTGGGACCTTGATTTCCAAAGGAAATGCAAAATTTACTTTCATCAGAGAACATGACTTTGGACCACTCACCAGCAGTCCAGTCCTGTTTCTCTTTAGACGCTTCTGACGCTGTCTGTGGTTCAAGAGTGGCTTGACACAAGGAATGCGACAGCAGAAACCCATGTCTTTCATACGTCTGTGTGTGGTGGTTCTTGAAGCACTCACTCCAGCTGCAGTCCACTCTTTGTGAATCTCCCCCACATTTTTGAAGGGGTTTTGTTTCACAATCCTCTCCAGGGTGCGGTTATCTCTCTTGCTTGTACACTTTTTTCGACCACATCTTTTCCTTCCCTTCGCCTCTCTATTAATGTGCTTGGACACTGAGCTCTGTGAACAGCCAGCCTCTTTAGCGATGACCTTTTGTGTCTTGCCCTCCTTGTGCAAGGTGTCGATGGTCGTCTTTTGGACAACTGTCAAGTCAGCAGTCTTCCCCATGATTGTGTAGCCTATAGAACTAGACTGAAAGACCATTTAAAGGCTTTTGCAGGTGGTTTGAGTTAATTAGCTGATTAGAGTGTGGCACCAGGGGCCATCAATTTTGAACCTTTTCACAATATTCTAATTTTCTGATATGATGAATTTGAGATTTTCATTTGTTGTCATTTGTAATCATCAAAATTAAACAAAATAAACATCTGAAATATATGAGTTTGTATGTAATGTATGAATATAATATACAAGTTTCACTTTTTAAATGGAATTACTGAAATCAATCTACTTTTTCATGATATTCTAATTTTATGACCAGCACCTGTATATATATATATATATATATATATATATATATATATATATATATATATATATATATAAAATTAAGCAAAAATATCCATCCATTTATCCATTTGGGGTCGCCAGGGGTGCTGGTGCCCATCTACAGCAGTCAATGGGCGAGAGGCAGGGTACACCCTGGAAGGTCGCCAGTCCATCGCAGGGCAACACAGAGACAAACAGGACAGACAACCACTCACTCACACCTAAGGAGAATTCAGAGAAGCCAATTAGCCTAACAGTCATGTTTTTGGACTGTGGGAGGAAGACGGAGTACCCGGAGAGAACCCACGCATACTCAGGGAGAACATGCAAACTCCATGCAGAAAGACCCCGGGCCAGGAATCGAACCCAGAACCTTCTTGCTGCAAGGCAGCAGTGCTAACCACTGCACCAATGAGCAGCAAAAATAATTAAGCATAAATTAACCAAAAACAGCCTACTGCTGAAGGACAGATAGGCGATAATAACACGTTATTAACATTTAATAAGTCTCTCTTTAAGAGAAAATTGACAGTGAGTAAGATATGGCAAATTTGCTTAAAGACTTCCCACCCAGTTCAGAGATAATCAATACTGATTAAACCCTCCTTCCTCCTAATAAAGAAAATATGACCACTCACACTTTCATGTGGTCCGGGCCGTCACTTCCAAGATCCTTAAAGTCTAACTGCAGTCTATGTCTCTGCGCATAGGTGCCTAAATCACCGACAGGGTTTCCACTTAGTCTATCCATGGTAATGACGCAGCAAGTTAGGATCAACTGATAGAAATGGTTTACAGATCAGCCAGCTGCTCCACGTATCCGCTGCACCGGCGCTCTACACCCAGGATCTGTCTCTCTTCAGCTCATTAAACCTTCATAAGTTTCGTTTATTTCTTTCGGAGGGGATCGGCGGAATCGAAACTGAAACTGATCACTACAACTTCCGGCAAAGTGATTAGTTTATTTCCGCAAATAAGTGATGTGCAGTGTACGGAAGAGAATTAGGGCCACTGTAAAAATAAAAAAGTTAACCGATTTGTTTTATTTTATTTCATTGTAATATGAGAAAAAAGTCAGAATTCTGACGTTTTTCTCAGAATTATGTCTTTAATCTCGTAATTCTGACTTTAATTAGAATTCTAACTTTAATCTCAGAATTCTGACTTTTTTCTCAGAATTGTGACGTTTTTCCTCAGAATTCTAACTTTAATCTCAGAATTCTGACTTTTTCCTCAGAATTCTAAAGTTAAAGTCAGAATTCTGAGAAAAAAAGTCAGAATTCTGACTTTAATCTCAGAATTCTAACTTTAATCTCATAATTCTAACTTTAATCTCACAATTCTGAGAATGGAATAGCATAACCGGGGTTTTCCCATATTAAACTGAAATAAAATTTAAAAATCAGTCAAAATTATATTTTTTTTTTCAGTGGCCATAATCCTCTTCCTTAGCAGTGGGATGACTTTAGCGCGCACTTTTTTTTTAAGGATTTCTTAGTGTAAAAAAAAAAAAAAAAAGATTCACGAAGACTGAGCAAAAGGATCTCTGACTGAATTTTCGACATGCATAAAAAGATAAAATAAGACTTCCTGCAGCAATGGAAATTTGCTATAAAATTTTAACTGTGATGGCTAGGGTGTTTTTTTTAATAACCAAGAAAAAATCATAAGTAAAAAAAAAAAAATGTTTTTACGGTGTGAAATATTTGTTCCCAAGAAAATATATTTCACCTATGGAAGCCCATTTCCATCACATGAAAGTAAAAAAAAAATGCTAATTACAAAGTCATAATTATGAGATATTCAACTTTTAAATTATATCATAACTATGAACAGGGGCATCAGCTGACAACACTATACAGGGGCACAATAGGGCACAAAAAAGAAATGCAACTGCGCAAAGCGCGCAAACTAAACATTTATGCACAATTTATCTTCATTAAATACGTCAGGAAACATGAACTTGAAAACTGAAAACTTGAAATGTGCATTGTAATAGGAAAAACAAAAAAAACACCCCTACATACACACACATACAGGTCTGTGTTTATCATTTCTATTGGGGCCCATCCTATGATGGTGTGATGGTGATGATCCTATGAGGTGTTTATATCATGGCCAGAAAGATGGGAGAGTTGGATTTTTTTTTAACAGTAAACGGTAGGGTCTCTGCTTCATTTTTGCGAAGCTGTCGATCAATTGTAACTGACTTAATTTGGAGAGTTCTCCTCTCTTAACTCCGCTGTGAGGGCGGAAAATTTATTAAAAAAATCTGTGCCCCAGGCATTGCAGATCCACAACGAGGCATGTGCCTCTGTGAAAAGGGTCTGCCAACGCCGATGACTATGACTTAGAAAGTCGGAATTATGACTTGGCTTTCTATTTGGGATTTTCTTTATTTTCATGTGGAGGAAACAGGATTCCATATTAATCTGATAAAACTCATCCAGGACAGAAAATTGGATAATATTGGAAAACAATTTTCTCCAGTTTTCAAAGGAAATAGATACTTTAAACTGAGTCACAACTTAATAAAAAAATTTAAATGTATTTGGTGTCATCAGCTCACAATAAGAGCACAAAAAAGATTTATTTTATTTACAAAAATATAGACTGATAGCTAATCATACAAATCTGTCTTCAGTTTAATTATTTACCGAGTTGTACAAATGCCTAGACTTGTCTCTATCCCAGATACCTCAACTACACCCAAAGGTGTTCAATAGCAGGCATAAAGCAGACCTTCCAACATGTCCTGGGCTGCTTCCTGGGCTTTCTTCCACTGGGTAGCTCCAGCAGGCACCTGGAACAGATCCTTGAGTCACCTCAGCTCCTCTCAGTATAGAGGAGCAGCAGCTCTACTTGGAGTCCCTCCTCGATGACTAGGTTCTTCAAACAGGAAAAGCAGTTTCGGGTGTTATTACGCCGCCCACCGGGCATTTCAGCAGCTGTATCCAGGATTTCATTGCTTTAATAATTGCCCAGATTAGTTGGAAAGTAGATTAAAAAAAATACAACCACTTTTATCATATATCTAAGTTCATATAGTGTATAGTTAAAAAATTACCACACAGATGCATGCAAAGAATTGAATAACTTCTCTCTTATGATTCTTTAGATCTTTTATTTCAATACAAAATATTGAGATGTAACATAATACAGAGATTTAGAAATGTTACTTTTTCAATGATTAAAAACTAATGAATCCAAAATTTCTTCCATCAGGTTAAGTGACACATACATAGCACATCTTCATAAAACCATTATTTCCTCATTTCCATAATTATTAGTTATTAAAGGGGAATTTCTTTTTTTTACATTGGGCCCTTGATTTTACGTTATTACATCATGTTCTACTCACCCATATGAGTTTTAACATAACGTTGTAACGTTTTCCTATGAACAACGAGTTGAAGGCACAAACTAAACTGTTCATAATGTATTATTTATGGTACGCCAGCATTCATAACATGTAGGCGAATCACTGTCCCCCAGATATCCGCCGTTATATTTTTAATATTTATATGTTTTAAAAACAAAGCGGAGTGTGTATGATGTCATCCATGCGCCGGACTGGAGGTGTTTTTTTTTTTTTTTTACTTTATTTAACCAAAGTACATTACACCAGCCAGCTACGCTCTACCCCTTCTATTCATTCGGCTAGCTAATCTGAATCGCTCAATTCCATTTTGAGAGCGAGATCATCTGTGGTAGTAGCACTAGACATCTTCCAGGTATGTGAGTAAAACTAGCAGCAGTTCAGCGGCGCGTGCGGATGACATCATACACACTCCGCTTTGTTTTTAAAAAATAGAAATATAGAAAATATAACCGTGGATGTCTGGGGGAAAGTGATTCGCCTACATGTTATGAATGCTGGCGTGCCATAAAGAATAAATTATGAACAGTTTAGTTTGTGCCTTCAAGTTGTTGCCCATAGAAAGACGTTACTTGAATATAACCTAACGGAATATCTTCAGAACAGCTCCAAATGACACAAAACTCATATGGGTGAGTAGAACATGATGCAATAAAGTCAAATCAAGGGCCAAATGTAAAAAAAAAAAAAAAAAAAACGGTGTTCCCCTTTAAGAAAAATATTCTTCAAAATGCTAGAGCTCGTCACTTTGAATTAAGAACATGTAAACTATGGGGGTGGATATTTAATAATAATAAAAAAAACTAATGTAAAAACCTTTGTTTTTAAGACATACATCACAAGCATAGACATTTTATTCAATGTCACAGAAAATGAAAAAATAAGACAAATGTCGTAAATCTTTCCACTGCAGAAAGTATCCAAAAATTTCAACATGAATGTAAAGCTACTGCCTGAAACATGTTTGTAAAGTATTTGGATATATCTAATAGCTGGATCAGTAACTAGAACCTTGGTGTCAACATACCCAACTACTGTGTAAAGTTTAAGGAATCTAAAATACTTCTTGCAAGTAAAAAGTATTAGAAACGTAATTGTATCTGGAGCGCTCTGAGCTGAACAGGTGGGTGGGGAGATGTGGAGCAGAAGCACATCTCCATGTGTGAGTAGGAGGAAAAAAAACAGTAAGTGTGTATATACAGTGGGTACGGAAAGTATTCAGAAACTTTTACATTTTTCACTATTTGTTTCATTGCAGCCATTTCCTAAAATCATTAAACTTCATTTTATCTCTCAGCACATCTTGACAGAAAAAAAAATGAAATTTAGAAGTTTTTGAAAATCTATTTAAAAAGAAAAACTGAAATATCAAATGGTCATATGTATTCAGACCCTTTGTTGTGACACTCATTAAACCCACATTCTGTCCATTTCTTCTGATCCTCTTTAGAAGGTTCTGCTCCTTCATTAGAGTCCAGCTGTGTTGAATTAAACCGATTGGACATGATTAGAAAGGCACACACCTGTCTATATTAGACCTTCCAGCTCACAGTGCATGTCAGAGCAAACGAGAATCATGAGGTCGAAGGAACTAATGAGTCAATGCAATCAACTGGTTTTCCTTAGATAGAAAACTCTGTATCAATTTGACTGTATGATCTGGTTGAACTGTAAAGTGCCTTGAGATGACATGTGTTGTGAATTTGGCGCTATATGAATAAACTGAATTGAATTGAACTACCCAAGGAGCTCAGAGACGGAATTGTGGCAAGGCACAGATCTGGCCAAGGTTACAAAAGAATTTCTGCAGCACTCTGCAGGTTCCTAAGAGCACAGTAGACTCCATAATCCCTAAATGGAAGAAGTTTGGAACAACCAGAACTCTTACTGGACCTGGCTGTCCAGCCAAACTGAGCAATTGTGGAAGAAGATCCTTGGTGAGAGAGGTACAGAAGAACCCAAAGATCACTGTGACTGAGCTCCAAAGATGCATTAGGGAGATGGGAGAAAGTTCCTCAAAGTCAACTATCACTGCAGCCCTCCATCAGTCTGGAGTTTATGGCAGTTGCCAGACGAAAGCATCTCCTCAGTGCAAGACATTTGAAAGCCGGCATAAAGTCTGCCAAAAAACACACAAAGGACTCCCAGACTATGAGAAAGAAGATTCTCTAGTCTGATGAGGCCAAGACTGAACTTTATGGCAGCGGTCCCCAACCACCGGGCCGTGGACCGGTACCGGTCCGTGGGTCATTTGGTACCGGGCCGCACAGAAAAAAGTATATATATATAGCCTATATAATTTATCGACGATCAGAGTCTGAGCGATGTTTCATTTTGAAAAATATAAAAAAATGCGGTATTCTCTCCCAATTACATCAGTCGGTGCATCTGTGCCTTTTGACACAAGTTAATTCAGTTCAAGACTCATCCTATCTATAACATCCTATATTTGTGAAGCAGGATTTTCTGTGGTTACAGCGACCAAAACAAAGCTACGGAGCAGACTGGACATCAGGAGCACACTTCGTCTGTCATTTTCTCCGATTACGCCTAGATGGGACCGGCTTGTTGTTTTATTTTTATGCTGTTTGTATTTGATTTTATGCCAGTCGTATCTCCCCCCCCCCCCCCCCCGGCCGGTCCGTCAAAATATTGTCTGACATATAGCGGTCCGTGGTGCAAAAAAAGGTTGGGGACCACTGCTTTATGGCACTGATTTTAAGCGGCATGTGTTCAATACAATCCCAACAGTGAAACATGGTGGTGTCAGCATCATGCTATGGGGGTGTTTTCAGCTGCAGGGACAGGATGACTGATTGCAAATGAAGGAAATATGAATGCAGCCAAGTACAGAGATATCCTGAAAGAAAACCTCTTCCAGATTGCTCACAACCTCAGAAGGCCGAAGGTTCACCTTCCAACAAAACAATGACCCTAAGCACACAGCTAAAATAACAAAGGAGTGACTTAGGAACAACTCTGTGGAGCCCTGACCTAAACCCAAATAAGCATCTCTGGAGAGACCTGAAAACAGTTGTCCACCAATGCTCACCATCCAAACTGACAGAACTGGAGAGGATCTGCAAGGAAGAATGGCACAGGATCCTAAATTTCCGGGTGTGAAAAACTTCTTGCATCATTCCCAAGAAGACTCATAGCTGTACTAACTTAAATGGGTGCTTCTACTCAATTCTGAGCAAAGGGTCAGAATACTTATGACGATTTTATATTAGTTTTTCTTTTTTAATACATTTTAAAAATTTCTACATTTTAGGTTTTTTTTTTCTATCAAGATGGGATGCTGAGAGAACATTAATCAGAAAATAAAATGAACTTTATTGATTTTAGCAAATAGCTGCAATAAAACAAAAAATGAAGAAATTTAAAGGGGTTTGAATACTTTCCGTACCCACTGTATAAATTTGGGGTGCACATGCAGGTTCAAATATATACATACACCCTGACTAATACTTGGGTAAATGTCCCCATATAAGTTACACCTCAACCACATGAGTTTTGTGAAAACCAACAAACTACAAGCATAATTCCTCTTAGTTGATCTCTTTGCTGAAATAGTAAAGTTTACTTAAATTGGTTGTTTTTCTGGCACAGATCTTGTTCTAAGGAATGTCCATAAACCTTTAATGTGTTTAAGATCATCCCAGAAACCAAATGTTAGCCTGCTTTATCCATTCAAGTAACAGGCTACTTTCTTCTAACCAGAAATGGTTCCTGAAAAGTGGTTTGGCTCATCCATGTGGGGAAGCTGCATCATTTAGTTAAGCTTAAAGGTTTAAAGATGAGTGCAGTGCATCAGAACAAGTTGACGCCAACCTTACTTCGCTGTAGAAAATTGAAACGACAGCTTTGTTTCTGTACATCTTGACCAGCATCCTCTTATAAAGGAATTACAGTCTGAGTCAGACGGCTGAATTTGGACCCAACTGGACAATTATCCCAAACACACAACCTCTTGCATTAGAATGGATAAAGTAGGCTAACATTTGGCTTCTGGGATGATCTTTATGAACTTCAAGATCTGGGCCAGGAAAACAACCACTCTTAGATAAACTGTATCATTTCAGCAAAAACAAATATTCAAACATCCATAATATTTTGCTAGAAGCTTGTTGATGGTTACGAAAAGCTATGGTTAAGGGAACAACTTTCTGACAGATATTTACCCAAATATTATAGGTTGATGTTTATATTTGACCCTGTATAAGTTTGAATAATTGTAAAACAAAATAAATAAATTCAGAATTGTGTCTCTACTTAAGAAAAAAATAACACTGAAGCGTATCTTAGCTGACAAGTGCAAAGGAGCAAAAAATGGCCAAGCATGCAACAAACACATGAATGATGCAACTCAAAGACACAATATCACAAGAATCAAAGCCACAGAAAAAGATTGCAAAAGACTTATGCTTTGGTCACAGAAAAAAGACAGAAACAAAGGGAAAAGCTGTGCAAATACTCAGGAAAGTAAAAGCTGGAAGTTTACTCTACAAACAGAAGTGCAGCAGACAGCAAGGGGGGTTGACGGCTGAGTTTGTATTTGACCAGATCCCCAGTAAAGACATCATCAGGATGGAGAGAAAAAATGAAAGAAACAGAGAAAAGGTAGTTTCCTTTGTGTCTTTTTATACATGTGGTATTACTGTAACAGTATTTAAAGCCAGGGGTTTCATCTGCCCCCCTAGTGGTCTTGTGCACATCTGTTTTGGAGTTAGTTTGCAGCATTTTTAAAATCTGATATTGTTTGTTAGGTATTTTTAGTAGCTTTCCTTTGCATTCAATTTTTTTGGTTGCATTTATTTATTTTGCCCCATTAATAATGTGATTGTTTTTTTGTGTTTTAAGTTGCATCACTCATGTGTCTGAACTGCGTTTTGCCATTTGCTACACACTTGCACCTGTCAGCCATCTGTATTTCTGACTCCATCTTGTAAGACACAAGTTTGCATACCTAATATATAAAAACTCCAAAATTCAACATATTTATTAATCAAGATATTGGCTATGCAATAAAATTAAACAGGCAGGAAATTAAATTAGGTCTTTTGAAAGAAAAAAAAAAACTATTTTCCAGCTTCAAAGCATAAAAAAATCTGCAAATATAATTTTTTCTAATGTGAAATTTTGCTGGGTATAAGCAATCAAAAATAAATTTTAGGGTTTGTTTTTTATAATTTAAAATTTCCTTCAGGCATGTATTTTATATGTTTTCATATGAATGTGATTTTGTCATAAAAGCAAATACTTCAAAGTTCAGATATTACAGGTTGCATTAAGTCTATAATCTGAAGCAGCTTCATTGCATCTGTTAGAAGAATACAAAAAACATGTTCTTAAATTAAGTTGATCTTTGTGAGGCCTGCAAACGTTCAGATAGTTTTACTGTCACGCTGCTTGGTTTTGAGCTCTGCAAGTGAATGTATATGCTCCTCTAAATTTATTTTTATTTTACTTGCTTCAGGTCGTTCTTCTGGGTTACTACACAGCATTGAGTTTATCATTTGGCTCTGGAAGAAAAACACAACAAACAGGTTAGGATAGATAAACTTCCCATTAATATTAATTATTTAAAGCCTGTTCCAAAAAAGTAAGAAAAAAAACAATCCACTGGACTTTGTTTCCAAGATTAAAGAAAGGTGTGGACAAGTTCATTTGTTCATGTTTTCTAAACAATAACGAGGCTTTCTTGAGCTATTGTATAAAGCCTCAAACCCAACGCTATTTCTGACATTTTGAATTGGAAAAGCTTCCAGGATGGGAAGCGAAACATCTTCAAACTTGGAAACAAAGTCGAGTATATTACTTTTTGAACTTTTTTGGAAGTAGTATGACCTAAAAGACTGAGAATCTTCACCAGCATACCTTTAAAGCCTGCTGTGACTTTTTGAACAAAGGCCTACATGCAACGTGTGCAGGCCTAATTAAAAGGCCAATCATAACATTGGCCCTCCAGCTTGTCATGCTCCCGAATCTGGCCCAGGACTAGAGTCATATGTTTCTCAACTGTTTTGTGGAACTATTTAGCCCAGTAGGCTACCTCACTGACAGATTCTCAGCTCTAATGGCTTCTTTGCTATTGGACTGAATTTAGAGCTGCTGTGCCAGTCCCATAACAACCTCGCCTTTACTAATGCAACAGTGTGAGCTTCAGTGCTTCAGAGTTGGGATGGTTTTCTGAAGGTTTGTGAACTGTGCTCTTTTTGTTTCAAATGAAACAATAAACATTGCAGTTAAACATCTTTAAACTTTATCATAAATAAGGTCTAAGAAGCTGAGTGTCGGAGCAATTTTTACTTTTTAGCCATCAGTTTGGACAAGTAAAACAAAGTCACAACCTGACTAATAAGGCATCTGAATTTTGGCTTTGATTGTTTAGGTGCACTTATTGAATTAATCAAACATTAATAAACTATCTGATTATGATGGGTGTTGTAAATTTAACCCTTCTTTGTGGCAATTGAGGCGTTTTTTCTTTGTGTCTATAAAGTCAAACAGAAATCATATTTCTCCTTCGTAATCTTTTAAATGTTGGCCAATTGAAATTTAATATGGAATACGTTTTCAGAAAACAGTTATATACCTCTCGGGAAAAATGATAGATGAATCCTTGAGGAAGCTCCTGGTTTCTGACCTTGTCCCACATCTAGAATTCATGCAGCAATAAAGAGAGTAGAGCAGTCAAAACCAGTTAAGTTACAAACTTTTTAAATCATAGCAACAATCCCCTCCCCTCAAAAAATACTATTTTCAGTCTCTTTATTTAACCAATGTAATAAAATTCCTGGAGATGTAAGCTTTAGATATAATTATTATTAACAGTAGGTGTGAACCTGTATTGACAGCATAGATTCTGGTGCAGGATCTTCTTTCTTAAACAGAATCATAAAAGGTTCCCTCTTATCTTATCTGGATTGGTTTGATCAGTTGATCAGTAATGTAATGTTTTACAGTAAAAATACTGATTAATTGCTAAAAAATGTCAAAGTAAGAAAAATATATCCTTATATCAAAGGTATAATGCCAAATGTACTGCAATGATATTCATAGGATAGGCTCCTGAAAAATTTATTGTAATAAAATAATTTCTGCCTTTTTTTTTTCCTAAGTTGATCAATATCTAGAAACCTTTGTTATATAATGCATAGCTTTCAGTTTCCATGAGGTTTAAATATAATGAGGCACATGTTTCTATGATCCTCAGTCCCAGAAGGAAATCAGTACGGACTTTTAACAAAACTGAAGAACATCAGCGGTCGCTGTAAGTGCCGTCTGAATGTAAGAAAGGCGGTAGGAAAAGAAGGCTGGATGCTTCCTATCATTAGCTCATTTAGCATAGGGGCCTCCCGACGTCCCGATCTGGCACTAAGGAGCCAAAATCCGATGCTTTACAGGTTAAATCATCATTTCTTCATGTGTATTCTGTATGACACATGCCAATGTACGCACCTTTATCTATTTTGGGTTTTTTTAATGAAGAGCTTCATCTGTTCTCTCTTGTGTGATGTGCATTTTTCGTAGTTCTTTTCAAGGGGCAATAGGCCCACTTTGACAACCAGTGTTCATGTATGTTTCCATTGCATAGAGCCTTAGGCTGTCTGGATTTCTCAAAGAAGTCATTTCTTTCCTAGCTCATGAAAAAGTGAAGGAATAACAGCTAGGAACAAAAGTCAGGAGCCATGATTTTAACTGAGCCTGGTCCGCTGGAGATTTCTTCCTGTTAAAAGGGAGTCTTTCCTCTCCACTGTCGCTACAAGCATGCTTGGTGTGAAGGACTGCTGGAGAGTCAATAAATCAATGCAATCAACTGGAAAACTTGGAATCAATTTGACTGTATGATCTGGTTGAATTGTAGTGCCTTGAGATGACATATATAAATAAACTGAATTGAATAGAATTGATTTGCTGTAATAAATGCAAATAAATCCGACTGAGATGGTGACGCTGTGGGCATGTGCCTCCTTAAAAGACCCTGGAAATCTAGGGACTCTGAAATCTGTGAAATCTGTGAAATGGTGGACAATTTTAAATACAAAAAAATACATAACCAGGAAACACAAAAAATATATACATAAATCATCCCTCGTCAAGCCATATGGTGGATGAAGATAACCAATAAAGTGATTGTTTAACTACAAGAAAGAAAGAAAAAAAACGTACCTCATTCTTGTCATTAAGAGTAGGTATGTTCCAAAGGAGTTCAAAAAATATCAGCCCCAGAGCAAATATGTCCACCTTTCGATCATATAACTTCCTGTTCCTCTGTTATAAAAGAATAAACATAATTAGGAAAAAGGCATCCGCTGGCACATAATATTAACTCCTTGATGTCTGAATTTATGTATATAAATATAAGAACATGTGCCTTTAAATGGTAGCTAGATTAAGGAGAGTTTTATTTTGGCTATTGCAAAAAAAAGAATAGAAATGTAGGGATATTGCAAATTTTGTGAAAATAGTTATTACATTTAATGTCATACACCGCCAGGGACCAGTCGTATCAGAAACAAGGGCTTCCCAAAGGTTCCTGAATGAATGTGGCATTGTGGGAAATGCATTTGACTTTCTACCTTGACTGTTTGCATACTGTAGTACAAATGGTTTGTTGCATATTTACCACAATACGCACCAAATGGATAAATATTTCAGGGCAAATCCCATAGTTCTTCTCACCTGTTCAGGAGCCATGTAAGATGGTGTTCCTTTGTACCCTCTTCTCTCCTTCTGGTTCTCTGCATCATCTTCAATCTCAGACGTGACGAGACCAAAGTCTCCAATCTTCACTGTGCCGTTCCGACTGAACATGATGTTAGCAGGCTGAGAAGCACAAACATAGTTCAGAGATTTGGACCAAACAAGCATCCAGGCTATTTGTTTTAATTGGATTTTATTCAGGGGTATCAGGATAAGAGCGTGTGGATTAATTTGGGTTATGATTTTCAGACTTTTATTTGTAAGAGAAAGTCTAAAAATAAGTTATTTCTTCTCTCCCATATTCATTCATAACTTTTAGTGCTGGTATGTCTCAGTTGCGTCCAAAGTTTTTATCATCAAGTCAGAAGTACTCAGAGGCTAAAAAAATATATTTCTTTAAATGCAAAAAAATATACAACAATTATACTGTTTTATTTACCACCTCAATCATAAATAAAGCATGTCACTTATCACTTTACTTGGATTTAGTTTTACATATGCATATATATACATACATACATATATACATATATATATATACAGAAGAGCTATATGTGTATATATTTTATCTTTATTTTTATCTTTATTATCTTGTGTAGTTGGATGTGTGTATGTATATATATGTATATATTAGGGTTGTCAAAAGTATCGATACTGAAACGTTGTATCCGGATACAATACTCGTTTTTAAAAGTATTGATACAGTGCCACCACCAGTGGCACCTAAACAGTCATTTATCTAAAGTGCAGAATATAGGGAAAAGGCCCTTTCAGAACACTGTGTGATTGAATAATTCTGTGCACTTTTCAGTTTCAGACTTTTTTTGTAAGAGGTGCAGCTGCTGAGAATTATTTTTGTTTCTTAACCGGTTTGGCTAGTGTCATTGTTATGTGTGCAAAGCATAGCCAAGGAAGGAACACTTAATTTTAATTTTATACGTTTTTTTTTATCAAGCTTGCTTAATATTGTGCACAGCATACAACCTCAAAATATTGTTCTTATTGTTTATTGTATTTTATTTATTAATGAAAATATTTCTGTAAAATTTTGGAGTCTTTCCTTTTATCCTTGTGGTATTGAAATGGTATCGAGTATCGAATATTTTCCTTAGTATCGGTTTCGAGTTGAAAAGTTTAGTATCGTGACAACCTAGTATATATATATATATATATATACATACAATCACCGGCCACTTTATTAGGTACACCGGTCTAACTGCTCGTTAACGCTTAATTTCTAAGCAGCCAATCACATGGCGGCAACTCAGTGCATTTAGGCATGTAGACATGGTCAAGACAATCTCCTGCAGTTCAAACAGAGCATCAGTATGGGGAAGAAAGGTGATTTGAGTGACATTGAACGTGGCGTGATTGTTGGTGCCAGAAGGGCTGGTCTGAGTATTTCAGAAACTGCTGATCTACTGGGATTTTCACGCACAACCATCTCTAGGGTTTACAGAGAATGGTCCGAAAAAGAAAAAACATCCAGTGAGCGGCAGTTCTGTGGGCGGAAATGCCTTGTTGATGCCAGAGGTCAGAGGAGAATGGCCAGACTGGTTCAAGCTGATAGAAGGGCAAAAGTGACTCAAATAACCACCCGTTACAACCAAGGTGGGCAGAAGAGCATCTCTGAACGCACAGTACGTCGAACTTTGAGGCAGATGGGCTACAGCAGCAGAAGACCACACCGGGTGCCACTCCTTTCAGCTAAGAACAGGAAACTGAGGCTACAATTTGCACAAGCTCATCGAAATTGGACAATAGAAGATTGGAAAAACGTTGCCTGGTCTGATGAGTCTCGATTTCTGCTGCGACATTCGGATGGTAGGGTCAGAATTTGGCGTCTACAACATGAAAGCATGGATCCATCCTGCCTTGTATCAACGGTTCAGGCTGGTGGTGGTGGTGACCACAATGTACCCAACTTCTGATGGCTACTTTCAGCAGGATAATGCGCCTAACATAAAGCTGGAATCATCTCAGACTGGTTTCTTGAACATGACAATGAGTTCACTGTACTCAAATGGCCTCCACAGTCACCAGATCTCAATCCAATAGAGCATCTTTGGGATGTGGTGAAACGGGAGATTCGCATCATGGATGTGCAGCTGACAAATCTGCGGCAACTGTGTGATGCCATCATGTCAATATGGACCAAACTCCCTGAGGAATGCTTCCAGCACCTTGTTGAATCTATGCCACGAAGAATTGAGGCAGTTCTGAAGGCAAAAGGGGGTCCAACCCGTTACTAGCATGGGGTACCTAATAAAGTGGCCGGTGAGTGTATATTTAAAACTGTAACTGGAGCGTGTAACAAAAGTAATTACCCTCTGGGATTATTAAAGTATTTCTGATTCTGATTCTGATCATCAATCACAAAAATCAATTTAGGGGCCATAAAAGGGCTGCAGGGCCTCATTTTACAAAATAAACTAATAAAAAAAAAATTAAATTGCATTGTGATATATGACAAAATATTTAAAGAATAGGTGTGAATACATAGGACTCTGCATCACAGGGATTCTTTAACTAACCCTAATGTTGCTTTAGTTTAAGCCGGGAATACACTTTTTTCAATCGTTGCACGCAGCTACAGCTCACACTGTACGACGAAACCGCAGGGTTTAGAAATTCACAGCTCACGATGCATGTCCTCACACTGTGCAACCCGACGCTCTGATGCGATCTACAAGCTCACACAGTACGTCTACAAAACCATGTCGGACTGAGCTCCGCATTGAGATGGCGCTACTTGGACTCGTCTATCTGGAAGCCAGATGAGTAGAGCAGGAATATGGAGCTCAGTAGAGTGAAGCATGCTGCCTTAGCAATTTGTGCAATTTTGTGCTGAAAGCCCTAAAAAAAAAAAAAAAGCAACAACGTATTTGGACAAACACATGGCTGAACAAACGTAGCTACTACGGTCTGCCAATTTTACAGAAATAACTCAATTTCACTCGCACCCCCACCATGCTTTTATGTTTTAATCTGAAAGGAAGAAGAAGAATCCTTGTTTGCACACTGAGCGATTTGACCATGACGGCCAACTGAATTTCAAACATTTGATTTCCAGACCTTACGACTCCTGATTGGGAGGCGTGTCGTGAGAAGCTGATCGCCCCCCCCCTTACCCCCTGTACACTACACAACGCACAATCAGGCTGAAAGTCGGCCCGATCAAAAAATTCTCGCGGGACTGGAAAATTGGCCCAAACAAGACACAAAAAAAAAAAAAATAATAATAATAATAATTCAGTGTATGCCCGGCTTCCGGTGGAAGCGGTCATATGCCTCACCTTCAGGTCTCTGTGGATGAGCTTCCTGGAGTGAATGTGCTCGACTCCACTGATCATTTGCAAAGCAAAGTTCAGACTTTCTTCTCGTCTCTTGAAGTCTCTGAGGGATTTTTTGTGGTTCTGGATATTTTTCTCATCTATCCAAACTCTCAGTGTTTTAATCTCGCATAACTCCATCTGAATGTAGAGGAACTTTGAAGGCTGGTCAGTGGAAGATCTGTAGAGTAAACAACAGAAAAATGATATAACCCTTGTGTTTAATTTGTGACAGGCAGGAGAAGAGGACTCACTGTGAAGCACTGCTGCTGCCAGTAGACGTGTCCCACTGATAGGTCCCGTCTTCTAGCCAACACGAGTGGTATCGAACAATGTTGCAGTGATTCAGGTCTGACAGCACCTTTACCTCCTGCAGAGTTTTTCTAATCCAAACAGAACAACAAGCAGCCTCTGATCACAAAGCATCACACTTTGCATTCAATTTTTAAACCAAATAATGATTCCTTTAAAAGCCTTACTGTTGGTACAAAACAGAATCCTTTACTCACTCTCGGTAGTGTACAATCTTAACAGCATAATATTTATCCTCCAGCTTATGTTTTGCTTTAAAAACACAACCAAAGGATCCTTTATCGAGTCGTTCGATGGAGTCATAGTCTGCAGTAAACCTGCTGAGAGTAATTAGGATTGTTGAGCTCTATGAAAACATGATTTATTGTTTCTTAGGGCCCTGTCACACCTTGCCAATTTAACCAGTGTATGCCCAACATCAAAGAATCTCCTAAAACCCTGGCATACGCTGAACTTTCTATGTATTTTTTCAATTTTCGGCATAGGCATAGAGTATTTATGATAAGTCAAGAACTTATGTCCAACCATACCATACTAATGCATAACACACGGTAGCATAATACCCATGAAATGTCACAAGCCATTGTCCTGAGGGGCGTAGCGATGTGTCTGGTCTGCATAAAAAGATGTCTTTGATAACGGTATTAATCTAGCTGCTGTTAACTGCCAGTTCCCCCCCCAAAAAAAGAATAAATAAAAAGAAAAAAGAAAGACAGAAGGTTTGCAGTCGCAGCCGATTCAGCATCATGTCTGCTAAGAAGTTGTTGGTCGTGGGTGTGGGCATGAACGCAGGGAGGATCCATCACACTCACGTTCTCGCTCACCCTATAAGTGGGATGAAGTCTCGAGATCTGATGGTTTCCCCCTGTGAACCCTCTTTTATACCAAAACACTGCCAATAGGTCCTTATAAAGTAGCTGTAAGTTAGAAATATGTTCAGCGGTCGTCTGGAACACGTCCATATGCGTTGGAGATAAGTTCTTGATAAGCTACGCATAAGTTATGCATAAGTTACTCATAGGTTTGGAATAATCTGGACATCATGACTTATGAGTAACTTACACTTAACATATGTAAACAATCAGATAACTGACCTGTAACATATGCCCCACGTATGGCATATGTCGAAGTACTCTGCGTATGTCGACGTGTGCCAGCGTGCTTCAGCGCGCTCCTAACTTATACAAAACGAACTCCTAACTTATGCAACTATTGCCAGCATTTTTGCCAGATTGTTCGTTCATCAGGTCATATGCTGGCTAGATTGTCACGGTGTGACGGGGGCTTTAGATGTTTTAGGTAAAGCAAATAAACACAATAGGTTTAAATAAAATTGGGGTAAACATAAATAAAACACAGAAATGACCCAATTAATTAATATTAAGGAGTTATGACATTATTGGATTTGGGTCTTTCTTAAGCACTGACCATATTAATTCCCATTATCACATTATATCCATATCACACAAAGGTTGACAAAGTTGTAGTCTGAGAAAGTTTTACATTTTCTGAAATGTTCTTTTTCCAGCCTGAATAAATGCTAGAACTGTAAATGAGCTGAATGAATACAGAATGAATATCTGGGAAGCAGCAGCAATGGCATTCATAGATGGTACAGGATGACAATCACAACCAAGAATGGATATAAACTCCTGTTGCCCTACCTTGAAACCGGCTGGGTTGGTGATTTTACACTCGGAGGATTTCCTCTACCCTCTTTTTTGAAATTTAGCACATCCTAGATAAAAGTCGAAATACTTATGTCAGCATTTTGAACAAGAACCATTGAAAATAGCTGTCATGGTTACTATCTTCTTCCTTTACCTCTTTGCTTTTCTCAGAGATATTCAGAAATTTTGCTGCGATTCTGGCAATGAAAAGTACATTTAAAATGGCATGGTAAAAAAAAAAAAGTACAGCTTTACAATAGAAACAATGGCTTACCTTATTTGAGGCTTCCCTTTTGGACTTTTCACCTTTGGAAAAAGTAGAGAAATGAACCTTTCACAAAATGCAACATTTCAAAATCCCCCATGCAGAAAAAGAACAAAGTCCATCTTCATTTTTTTAAGAGCTTAGAACACAAAAACAGTGCTAGGGTACAAATTATAGAGACCAGAGTTGGCCAGTTTTAACTGCTACAACACTTTTTGCAAAGGAAAGAAACAAATATGTAAAGTAAATAACAGACCTGATCTGTGGGAGGGTTTGGTTCACTTCTACTTGGAGTCTCATGGGGTGCTTTTGCAAGACCAGAGTCTCTAAGGTAAAAATTGAGACACACGATCAGTTCTGCATTCAACTACGCATATAACAATCTGATAAATGACTTAATCATCCAGGGTTCCTACAGCATAAGGCAAGTTAAATTCAACTTTTTAATGCCACTTGAAATAAAAATTTAAGACCAAATTCACAAGAAACACAAGAAAAACCTGATTGCGACAACTTAACCCAAAGGTTTATTTTAACATAAACTACTGCACTACTGTTTCAAATTCTGAAAAACTTTCCATACATGAAGAAAGCTAAAAACACACAAATGACAGATATATTTTAACAATTATTTAACTGAATTCATAAACTTTGTTTTAGCAGGAAACAAAACAAGCAGTTTTAAAGCCACAGCATAACCAGTGCTAAGTCATTTTTGCAGCTATTTCTTGGTATCGTTTTCTTAGTATGTTTGATTTGGTGATAAGTGGAGGCGTTGCAGAGACAAGGGTGGAACTAAACTGAGAAATACCGACTGTTTCTCGGTAACTCCATTTTGACGCTTTGTGTTTCGTGCTTCGCATGTGCGACTCCACTGCCTTAATTCCCATTGTTCCGAGCTTGAATCGCTTCTTGAACAAAATCCACTGAGCCTCATGTATGTTCCCTGGTTTTAGCCATGGAGAAAACTCTTGGCTGGAGCCAATTTTTGTTACATTTACACTTACGCTCATATTTTCCAGACAAAAAGTTAATGGCGCATCTCCGAAATGTCCCAGCCGCAACAACGCTTTTATTGGTTCCGCTATCGGGACGGAACCAATAATGGCGAGACATTATTATTTTTTTAAATAATAAAAAAAAATGTGTCAATTTTAATGTTTTATTTAGATTACAAAAATAAATCGTAATAAAAATAATCCAATTTATGATGTTTTAAAAATTAAGACCTACGAAAGACTGATTTAAGACATTTTAATATCAATTAAGGCCTTAGTTTTATTTTGAAGAATTCAATGCCTTTTAAGACTTTTTAAGGACCCGCGGGAACCCTGTCATCACATTGCATAATATAACTCTTTCTTTATAAAGTTCTTTCATATTACAACCAAGTCCAACCACGTCCCCCAATACTAAGATAAAAGAGAATAGGAAGCATGATTTTCATTTTGAAAGTATGAAGATAACATTTCACCCATTGAAATAAGGGATGTAAGAGGGATGTAGGCCTACATATGCAGAGACACTTTGAACAAATGAAAGATTCTTAAAATGAATTTTGAAATGCTGCAGAAGCCAATGAAGGGAGGCTAAAACATTTAGCATGTTTTTGCAAAGTCTAAATCAATCCCCTGCATTCTGGATCAACAGCATGTAATAAACACAGGTCTGGCTGTATCTTAACAAAAGTGCTTTATAAAACTGTATCCGAGAGGTAATCCAAAGTATTAATGAATGTTTCAAGAATACCTTTGGAAAGAACAACGTTGTGTTTGGTAATTGTCTAAACTAAAAATCGCAGATTCATTCAACTGTGTTTACCAGACTGTGGAATTTTAACAAGGGATCCATCTCTACATCCTTTTTTTTGGTTCCTTTTTACAGAAATTGAAATAGTTCAGAGCCATTGCTCAAATATTTTTTAGGAAGAAAATCCAGGGGTCTCATTTATCACACAAAAAAGGACTCTGAAAATTGTGTACTCCACCTTTTCCACACAAATGTTGTGATCTATAAAATATCAACTTACGGTAGCTAGAAAAATGTACTATCCCTCACTTAAACACATACCCCTCTTTATGAGGACGTGGATTTTTGAAACAGGGCAACACAGATGTTGACTGAGGTCGGGAACTGAAGCCAGATTGCATCATAATTACTCTTTAAATGTAGATTGACTTAATCAGAACCAAAACCACTCTGTTAAATGCTTGCAGTGGTGGGTCATAACTAAATAAAGTCTATAAGTGTTTGCAATATTTTAATGTTTTTTACGCAATCATAATTCTCTTCCCAGAGTTGTACCATAGATCAGGTGTGAGTCACTTGTAGTAATTGTTGTAAACATTTAAATATTGCTGTGACACCCAGGTGTAATGATGTACGATGGATGCATTGAAGCTGCTGGAAAAAAACTTCTCTAAAATCACTACATATAAAATACTTTAACTAGTTTACTCTTTGAGAAAACTGTGAACTGCCTCACTGTATGCTTGTTGGAGGGGAGTTCTTGGATTGTGCACCATCATTGGACCTGGCAACCTGAAAACATAAAGAAAAGCTGTTACTACATGTGGCGGTTCGACATTAGCAACATTGTTTTTGTTATATTTCTTTATAGAAGCAAGCAGCAGGTTCTATTGTCAATGTTGAATCTTATGGTTAAAAACTTTCTCCACTGAAAAAGACCAAAATATGGCGCACTATCATTACTGCAAAGAGGGCCGGTTCCTCATCTTACCATCACTCATTAAAAGAAAAAGATGCTTTAACACTCTTGAAGCAGAGACTGAAGCAGCAACTCTCCGTTAGCTAGCGCATAGGCGTCCTTCCTTGCAGGCCCCACTGTTTGCAAGGACGGATGTCTATACTACTGTTCAAAAGTTTGGGGTCACATTGAAATGTCTTTACTTTTGAAGGAAAAGCACTGTACTTTTCAATGAAGATAACTTTAAACTAGTCTTAACTTTAAACAAATACACTCTATACATTGCTAATGTGGTAAATGACTATTCTAGCTGCAAATGTCTGGTTTTTGGTGCAATATCTACATAGGTGCATAGAGGCCCATTTCCAGCAACTATCACTCCAGTGTTCTAATGGTACAATGTGTTTGCTCATTGGCTCAGAAGGCTAATTGGTGATTAGAAAACCCTTGTGCAATCATGTTCACACATCTGAAAACAGTTTAGCTCGTTACAGAAGCTACAAAACTGACCTTCCTTTGAGCAGATTGAGTCTCTAGAGCATCACATTTGTGGGGTCAATTAAACGCTCAAAATGGCCAGAAAAAGAGAACTTTCATCTGAAACTGGACAGTCTATTCTCGTTCTTAGAAATGAAGGCTATTCCATGCGAGAAATTGCATGGAATAGCTTACGGTGTGTACTACTACCTTCAGAGGACAGCACAAACAAGCTACTGCAGGTACTTTTTAATGAAGATGCCAGTTGGGGACCTGTGAGGCGTCTGTTTCTCAAACTAGAGACTCTAATGTGCTTATCTTCTTGCTCAGTGGTGCAACGCGGCCTCCCACCTCTTTTTCTACTCTGGTTAGAGCACATTGTACCATTAGAACACTGGAGTGATAGTTGCTGGAAATGGGCCTCTATACACCGATGTAGATATTGCACCAAAAACCAGACATTTGAAGCTAGAATAGTCATTTACCACATTAGCAATGTATAGACTGTATTTGTTTAAAGTTAAGACTAGTTTAAAGTTATCTTCATTGAAAAGTAAAGTGCTTTTCCTTCAAAAATAAGGACATTTCAATGTGACCCCAAACTTTTGAATGGTAGTGTATGTCAGATGCCAGTACAGCTGGGTGGCAAACATGGACTGGGGACTGGACATGCTGATTCCAGGCATGGACAATGAATGCAATCTAACTGTAAAACAATAAACTTTACTTAATCTTAAGTTTTTCACATATTTTAATGATCTTTTTTTCAGTAACCTAATAAGCTCTGGTTTGTATTATATTATAAATAAGTTTAACAATGTCTAAGTAATCCTGTGTTTGTTTTTAAAGTGATTATTTAATACAACTCGCACAATAAATTGTTGAAAAAATATATTGTACTTTTATTTTCAGTTCAGCCAATTGTGAAAAAAAAATGCCCTTCATGTTTAGGAAAGATCCCCTTGATGCAAGAGAGATAACTCTGATTTAATCAAAATGGCTGCTTATTAATTCATCCGTCCATTGATAAAAATGTGATTCATTCATTAATCAATCACTTGCATCCCTCGCTTACAGAAAACAAAATTAACAGAAATAAATACCTTCAAAAATTCTGTTTGTTGATTATAATGCTATGACATGGATGAGCTCAGTACCTTGCTGTCCCAGTCTGAATGCTCTTTCAGCGCAGACCAGGCCATTTGGGCTGCTTTCTGTTTGGCCTCCTTGGCGCTCTTGCCCTCACAAACGGGGAACTCCGTGTCATTAATCACTAACTTGTAGAAAAATCTGCAATTTCCAATGTGAAAACATTGACATGCAAAAGATTTTTCCAAAATTTCGGCTATGTATTATGCTCAAAGTAGTACCTTTAAACTTACACCGGGTTATGGGGGGGGCCGCATCTTTTCTCCTCTTTATAAACACAGGAGCGCCTTGTCTTCTGGCAGTAAGAGTTGACCATTCCTATGAAGTTTGTGTCCATTAAGATGCTGTCATCAGACTTCAGGCTCAAACGTTTAACTCGATTACTAAAAGATAAAGAAGTAAGAAAGCAGGTTGGTTATAAAAGAGGCTCCTGAATTTGACCAAAAGGATAGTTCTTTTTCTAAGATATTACTACCATATTTTCACGACCATAAGGCACCCCGTACTAAAAGGCGCAGTCTCAGTTATGTGTGCAATTACTGTATTTAACACAGACATAAGACGCACCGGATTATAGGGCGCGGGTTTTATATACCGGTAAATGTCCTCTACTACGTTTAAATACCTCTACTGCGTATTTAAAAATAGAACGGGAGCAAAACTGAGTATGACTGTGCTTTATTCATGTATTTATTACAAAGTATTAATCAAACCCATCAAAGTCATCATCCTCTGTTTCTGATTTAAACAGCTGTGCTAAATCAGACATGCCAATTTCCCCTTCTTCGCTGTCAGAGTCACTTTCCGTGCAGCGCAGCTCCTCGGAAATTATGCCGGCTTTTGCGAAAGCTCGAACAACAGTTCCAGCAGACACGTTAGCCCAAGCATCTACAATCCATCCGCAAACGGTGGCGTAACTTGCACGGCGCTGCCTTCCACTTTTCGTGAAACTGTGGTCTCCGTCGGTCATCCATCGCTCCCACGCCGCTCGCAGCCTTACTTTGAACGGCCGGTTCACACCGATGTCGAGCGGTTGAAGTTCCTTTGTCAGACCTCCAGAATAACGGCGAGCACAGCGTTCATTTTCACATCAGCTGTGAGATGGGCAGGCATGGAGTCACAGATTAACAGCGATGGTGATGCGTGGAAAAAAACACCTTACACCTTACATACACCTCCCTGAGCCACGCTTTCATCATCTCCTCATCCATTCAGCCATTTTCATTTGCCTTAATAACGACTCCAGCTGGAAAAGTCTCTGTAGGCAAAGTCTTTCTCTTAAAAAAATCATTATAGGCGGCAGTTTCTGTTCATTTGCGTGGCGGCCAATCCACGCCCACACTTCCCCCTTTAACTTTCTCATGGCGGTCTCAATAACGTCCGCAGTAACAACGCACATAGGGCGCGCCGCACATTTTGAAGGAAAAAAAAAGACGTTTATATGCGCCTTATAGTCGTGAAAATATGGTAATCAATTTTCTTATCACTTTATAATTTCTTACAACTCTTATAATCTTGTTCCTCGCTGTAAAAGGTAAAGTAGGAAGAGAACATCAGGCTCACCTTATATCTGAAGAAACTTCCTCACAATGCAGACTGGATGTCCCGCTGTCTCGATCATCTTCAGTCTTCAGATCCAACATATAAATGCATTCAGAAACAAATATTCAAATCTAATCCACAAACCTTTTTATTCTAGGTTAAAATAAGATATAATAATCTGTTCTAGATAATTTCTTACGTCTAATGTTTCACCGCCCATGATCTCATGATGCACCAGCCTTGCAGCTTCCTCCCTGGCATCCTTCTTTGTCCTCCCATAAGCAACAGGATACTCCTTATCTCCCACCACAAACCTACAACCCCTGATAATACCAGTGGATACGAGTTAATATAAACCGAACCCGTGCAACTGAATTGACAGCTTTAAATTTAGCTGGGAGATGTGAGGAGGCCTACTGAGTTAAAGTATTTTGTCCAGGTGTGATGCTTTCCACAGCTCTTATGACAACCCTATTAGTCTGTCCATATTCATTCAGCCAACACATGTAATTAGTTTTCAGCTGCATATGAGCAGGAGGAGCTTCTTCAATGCTGCCTCTCTGCCAGAACGAAAAATAAACAAAATGTATTACAATTTGAGATCAGTGCAAAAGCAGTGCAGGAAAATAAAAGGTTCTTACGGAAACTGAAGGTTCTTCCAACAAGCACTGCAAGGCATTTTTAGCAGCATTCTGTTTGGCTTCTTTCTTGTTCTTCCCCACTCCTTCAGGGTAAGCCTTTCCATTCACAACAGCTTTTAAACTGAACCTGCAAAGGATTAAAAATGACTTCATTAGTTGCATTTAAAATGCCATCCAGATTTGGTTTTGAAAACTCCTACATCCAACGCCCTTGTCGTCCCAAATTTGTGACAAATCAACACAACGCAGTCCATTGCTGTAAAATAGAAGGAAAGAATTTGAGTATTTTTCAAGGCCCCCTTTTGTGACATGGATACTGATGGCTGTGCTGCTGAGCTGTTGATCTCTGCAGATCCTCCAGAGTTACCATGAACCTCTTGGATGTCCTTAATTTGGGAGCCAATCCTTTCCTACTCTCAAATAATGTATAAAGCACCGATCAGTGAGATGCTAAAAGCTTGGAATTTTATTTCTTATAACCTTCACCCTCCATTGCTCTCTCCCTAAACTCTGTGCAGTTTTCCTCAGCTTAGGACATTCTAGACAGGGGCCAACAGGGGCCAGTGCCGCTGTAGAACTAGCCCTAACCCAGACCGATACGGTCTGTGACCGTGTACGTCACTTCCGCAAAAGCGCAATTCATTTAGGGTAGTTAGCGCCATTTCTGTGGTGAAGAGACAGCAGCAACGAAGAAAAGAAAACTAACAGAGAGCAGACGTGTTCTAGTTGCTTCTTTGGAAATAATGGGACACTGGTGCTGCGTCAAAGGATGCAATAGTAATTCTAAACAGAAAACAGCAGATGGGGCCTTACGGTTTTTCGTATTCCCCACTTGGAAAAAAAATACGGACCGCAGACAGAGGACTTAACAAAGAGGCGTCGGGCTCCGTGGGTCGCTGCTGTAAGAAGGAAAGACATCACGTTTCATGAAATATCTCCTCATGTTCGTGTTTGCTCTCGGCATTTTCACAAAGGTAAGTCCTTATAAATATACACTAATAGAAATCAACACGCTGAAATGGTTTGCTTATAAAGTTGCAGGAGTTCATGTAAACCTACTAAAACATGCTGTGGAAGAGAAGCGGAAAGTGATGTTTGTTTTATTTCTTTTTTAGACCGCTAAAATTTAATAAATAATGCATTATCTGTATATAATAATTTACACAATCTGCAATACAAATATATTTTTTTATGAATAAATATATATAAATACAGTGTACATATAAAAACACTGTACATATAAAAACACTGTACATACCCACTCATCAGCCAACTCAGTGCATTTATTCATCCTGTGCAATCTACTTAAGTTTATTTATTATAATCCTTTGTTCGTCCTGTAAGCTTTTCAGTTTATTTATTTACCTCTGGCCTTACTAGTCCGATGTACTTGTGCTGTTTCGGTATAGCAAATTTCCCCATTGTGGGAAACATAAGCATATCTTATTTTATAACACATCTAATCTAATGGGCTCTGTTATTTAGGTGCTTTATATAGTGTTTTGGATAGATGTGTAAAACACTCAACCTTTCATCTACTTTGCAGGTCAACCCGCATATGAGATGATGGAGACTGACCCAGACTGGGCTCCATCCCTGCATCTGGGCCACACTGACATCAGACCAACAGACACAGAACGCTCTTTAAGACGTGGTTATCGGGAACAGCTGAAAAAGAATGCCCTGCAAGCAACTGAAACGGGGCTCCATCAGACTGATGAAAGGACAGGAAGGACAGACAGAATGTAACCTGTGTGTGCTCAGGTGTGCAGAGATGAACCGTCTTTTGGAAGAAAACAGAGAGCTGCGGCGTGAACTTGATGAGCTACAGATCTCTGATTGCTTCTTTGGAGACAGTAATGAAAAAGTCAAGTACTATACGGGTCTACCAAACTTGGCAACCTTTATGGCCTCTCATGTCTGCTCAAAATAAAATTCTCAGTCCATTTCAAATGCTTCTGTTAACCTTCATGCGTCTGAGATTGGATCTGCCCTCACAACACCTTGCTTATCTCTTCCGTGTTTCACCAAAGACAGTGTACAGAACATTCAATGAAATGCTGTCATTTTTATATGCAAATCTAAAGCGTGCAATTGTGTGGCCAGATAGACACCTTGCACAAAATTATGCCTCATCAGTTTGTGGATGCCTTTGGACATAGAGTCACAGTGATTATTGACTGTTTTGAAATTTTCACAGAGAAACCAGCTAATAAATGAATGCAAGATCAAGTACTGTTTCAACTTTATTCTTCTTTTTTTATTCTTCTTTTCACACAAATAGAATTTCGCTTTTTTTAAAGTTACTTTTGAAAAATAACAGCAAAACAAATATAAGTTTCACCATCACTTCAAATATTAACAATGTTTCTGAGGTTGTAAAAATGTGTGTACAATAAAGAGTGGATTTGAAATTTGAAACAAGTGTTATTATCTTTTCAATCAAGCAGAGAATTTATGAAAATGCAATACAAAATCTCAAATACATAAATAATGCAGAACAGTGCAAAGCTTCAAATGTTTTACTTTTTCTTCCTCCCTCGTATATAGCAGATTGCTCTTTAGATTAAATTAGAAGATTTTCATTTTCCCAGGACTTGTTTTCACTGTGGTCTGTGGTCTTCCGTAGAGATATTACCTAACAGGTGATATCTGTGAAGAAGACTGCAGATCCCAGTGAAAACAGGCCTGGATAAAGTGAACAGCAAATACAGTGTGCAACTTATTAATGTGCAAAAATTATGACAAGTTTTTTCGTTCAGCCTGATGAGCAGCACAAACTGCTCTAATAACTGCAGCTATCTGTGCAACTGCCCACAACATCTGCCTTGTCACTGTAATAATAATATATAATATCGTTCCCTAGCAGCTTTAGAAAGTTTGTCTGGGTAGGGTATCCGTTCAGTTTTCTTGTTCTTTTCCATTTAACTGATAATCCTCACTGCTGGCAGCGCTCTCCTCTTGTTTTCTGCTGTTTTGTTTTTCTGCCGCTCACCACAAAAATGGCGCTAGGGGGCGTGTCAGTCACGTGTCTGACAAACACCGATTATGGCCCCACTATAAAATAAATTCAGACAGAGTCTGTTTTTTTATATACCACACCTTAGGTGCTCAAAGCGCTTTGGCTCAGTTAAAGGTACAGTGGGGGATTTTCGTACATTTTTGAGAAGACTGCCCTCTTCACTTAAAAAAAAAGTAAAAAATGCATATCAGAATCAGAATCAGAAATACTTTAATAATCCCAGAGGGAAATTACTTTTGTTACACGCTCCAGTTACAGTTTTATATAATATATACACACATCCAACTATACAATATAATAAAGATAAAAAAATAAAAATAAAAAGAGATCAAATATATACACATATAGCTCTTCTGTATATATATCTGTACTTATATCTATGCAAATGTAAAAACTAAATCCAAATAAAGTGAAAATCCAAGTGAAGTGATACGTGGCGTGCAAAAATAGTCCATAAATGTCAATTATGGGGGGGGGGGGGGCTGAATCACATGCACAACCCTGCATGCAGGAAAATTAGGAGGACCACTTATTTTGATGATCCACCTGAAAAAAAAACATCCTCCACTATACCTTTAATATTTAAAATAATGGACTATTGCCTTTTTTTTTTATTTTGTTCAGTGCCACCGTGATAAAATACTGGCCCCATCTTGGTCCCCCTGGTAAAGTGGGTCTGGAAACGCCACTCAGAGACGTAGCCAGAATCTTTTTTTATAAGGGTGGCCAATAACCAATGTATACTGAGGGGTGGGCAAATGTGGATAGGCACCAGAACCTCAGGGTCAATCTACACTGTTCCAACAGGAACAAGCACAACGTCCATATTTCTAAATAAAGACAAACTATAGTTCCCTACAGCCTTTGCCAGCAAATAGATGCATATATTTAAACATCCATCTAGATAAAAGCTGTATTGGATAAAATTCTTTGAAGTTTGAGTTCCATCTTCATTACTTACCTACTTTTATCAATATCATTCTACATTAAATTGATATTTACAAGTACTAATATCTATATAAATTGACAATTTAATAGGTATTTATTAAAATAGTTATTTACAGTATCTAGAATTTCACTGAAGACTCTTGGATGACCTGCAGAGACACATCATTTTCTCTTTAAGGCATATAACACAACATCTAGTTCTGAAAGAGCATGAATTCTGTACTAATCATCTCTAATGTTGGTATATTGATGTGCATAATTAACCACATTGTTTTTGTAAGTAAGTAATTGTTAATATATATAAAATTAAAAGGTTTTTAATATTCTACTTGACAAGAAAAAAATGGTAGGGGGTTGCCACAGGGGTGGTCCAAGATTAGCTAAGGGTGGCCATGGCCCCAATGCCACTGTCCTCAAGGTGCTTTATTCTCACTCATGGCCGGTTCTAGACAGGGGCCAACAGGGGCGCCTTAGATCTATCCTGGCCCCTGTTATGTCCCCTGTACTAAATACATAATACTTAAAGAAATTCTAATGATGATCTGCACTGAAACAGACATGGTTACTGATAGGTCCTTTGGATCTATTTCAGTTTTTTTCTTTACAAAAGATGTTTTACTAATTATTTAAAAACAATAGGTGATAGATTCAGTGGTATTGAGATAGGATCCCAGTTTTCATCTGCTAAGTTTTTTTTTAATTAAAACAAAGCTGAATTTATCTGTTTTGTTCTAATTCAGATTTTATAGAAAACTGTAATTACTGTTTAAATTAAGTCAAAAATATGTAAAATTCCTAAATTATTAATATATATTGATCTAATAAGAATTTTTTTTCATTAAATCTAATTGAATAGAAATTTCACTTCATGCTGTTATATTGATATATTTGATTCCCTAGCCCTGTTTTTTTTTTTTTTATTTCATGCTTTTCTGTGCCCCCATGAAAACAGGCTGGCCCCCTCCTGGCCCCCTGGTACATTTGGTCTAGAACCGCCACTGTTCTCACTGTTGATCTCCAACAAACATCAGACCTTCACTGAAACAGTGAATTAGGTTAAAGAAAATGTGGCTTTTTTCAGTTATCAGGTGACATCAGGGGTAATTGGGTGCACCAACTTTTTATTTTAGGTATCAGGGTAAAGAGGGCTGAATAAAAATGCACTGCGAATCAAATCATACACCACGTCAGACCTATTTTATTTTACACTAAAAATGCGTGGCATTGATTGCCAGAATCCGTAGAAAGTGTTGCTGTGATAATAAGCCTGGAAGTAGAAAGGAAGCCAAACCCGACAGTTTGTATCATATCAACTCACGTCTTGATGTGGTCAGGACCAACTGATCCAACTTCCTCATACTTCAGCAGCAGCCGCTCTTTCTGAGCATATTCGTTCAGTCTTGCTACATAATTTGCAGAATCCATTTTGAATGAGTTTATGAAGGGAAATATAATAAAGAAATAAACCGTGACGCTCTCCTAGTTTCATGGTAGCGCTGCTTCCACAGCTGAGGGAGGCGTAAGTTTCGATTTCATCAGAAACGTCACCCGTGGTGCTTTCACGGACAGTCGGAAAATCCTCTGCAACTGTGTTGATTAGTCTTTATTGTTGTAATTTAACCCCTTTAAGCTCAGAGTTTTTGAACAGTGACGGTTCTAGACCAAAAATGTACCAGGGGGGCAGGAGGGGGCCAGCGTGTTTTAATGGGGGCACAGAAAAGCATGAAATAAAACAAAAAAGTGGGCAAGGGATACAAATATATTAAGAGAGCTGCATTAAGTTAAAGTTCTATTCAATTAGGCTTAATTAAAAAATTATTTTCTTATTAGTTCAATATACATTCACAATTAAGGAGTTTAACATATTTTTGACTTAATTTAAATCAAAATTACTGTTTTCTATAAAATCTGAATTAAAACTCAAGAAAAACTGATAAATTCAGCTGTAAAAAACATTTAGCAGATCAAAACTGGGATTCCGCTGAAGGTATCACCTTATTCTTTTTAAATATTTGGTAAAACTGAATTTGTAAAGAAAAAAAATTAAATTGATCCAAATGACCTATCAGTAACCATGTCTGTTCCAGTGCAGATCATCATTAGAATTTCTTTGAGTATTATGTCGTCAGTACAGGGGCCATAACATGCTCTACAGGGGCACTGACCCCCATTGGCCCCTGTCTAGAATCACCCATGTTTTTGAAGCAAATTCCGCCTGATATTACATTTCTGATTAAATTTAAGTACAGCTCCAAAGTTATAAAGAGGAAATTTAAATATGTATATATATGTATATTTGTATAACAAAGAGACATTAAAGTCAATTTTTCAGGTGGGACCACTTTTGCATTTTTCATTTATATAGAGGACCAATCCTGCCATAATGAAAAATAAATACAGAAATAAATAAATGCTCCAAAAATAAATAAGCATACAATTAGTTGCCTCCCAAATATACAATAAACAAATAAATGTAGTAGAAATTAAAGTATACAATGAGACATAAATATATGTATCTCCTTTAATTACCATCTTTGTTTATTTGCTTTGTAATATTACCTTATTTATTTATTGTCCGTTTTATTCTTCAACTTTATATAGGTAATTAAAAAAAACCTTACTTAAAAGTAAAAACTACAGAACAAGAATGAACTATTTCGAAGATTTCCTATTTTTTTGTTAGTCAAGTAAATGTAATCCAGAAAATGTATCTAGTTATTATCCATGTTTTTTTTTTTTAAATCACCATTACCCCTTTTAAATGCAATGTTTTCTTTTTTGTAAATTATGAGCACTGAACCCACACAATTTAAATAAAATAATGATATAAAAAGATTCTGTAGGGGTTTTCTAAAGTTCCAGTTGAAGAGGTTGACAGGATGTGTAGTTAAGAAATACAAGCAAATATTAGTTTAATAAAGTTAAAGGCAATGAAAAAAAGTCCTCAATAATGAGAAATTTACTGAAACATCCAGTATAATGATCTCGAACACAATGAATCACTAAAGCAGAGACATTTTTATTTCCCAGATAAACTACAGTCTTTTTTCAAGTACCTTAAATTCAGCAGTAATTGTTCACCAGGTTTAAATCAAAACTCCATGAGATTTTTAAAAAGATGTTTTATTATAACCGGGAGATTTTACATGACGGTAAAAAAGGATCCGTTCATAAAATGTCTAAAAAAGAAAATGAAACACTAGACCATAGACACAGATTTAAACGATAAATGAAGCTGACTGAAATTGTTAGGGAAGTATTGTTTGACAAATTGCTCAACTAAGGTCTCTGGATCCCAACATATACTTTTCTTTCAATGCAGGTATTTAAATAAACATTTTTGATTAAGATCATTCGTGGTCAGCTGCTGTATCTCCTGGACAATTAGAGCTGAGGTCCTCTTCATCTGCAGAGAGAATGCAAACATTGGCAAATGACCATAAAACATATATAAAACTACATGAATGATGTCACCACCCTTACCATTATAAGTGGTTCCACACCATATGCAGTAAAAATGGACTCCTCGTAAGTAGGATGTAAGGATTTGCAATTTATCAAAAGACTGTAAGAAAGAAACATTGAATATGGTTTAACAGAACAATTTTACAAAAAACAGACAAATGGATTTGGGCCAAACCTCCATTTGATAACTTAAAATACTCATATGTATTAATTATATTTTTTGTAACTTGTAATTTTGGTGAGTATGATACATCTTTAAATAAATACTTACATTAAGTTCTGTAATTTCTTCCTCTTCATCCTCTTCTTCAGCAGAATCTTCCTCGTTGTCTTCATCAACTTTGGGCCAATACCAGGGTTCTCTGGGAACAGTTATTCCCTAAGAAAGACAAAATAAACTCAGTTTAGAAGCAAATACAAGCAACTTTATAAAACCATTGAGCTTATGCCTTCAAGTTTAAATGTTGCTAAGATCTTTCTTCTGTTTATTCCCTTTGATCTGTTTCACATTTTCTACCCTCAGTTGATGTGAGGGGGGCGGCTCATATATAAAGCATGTCAGCATATAAAAAAAAACATGTGGCGCAATGTTTAAAGGAATAGTACACCCAAAACATGATTAGCCTTCATTTTCTACTCACCCCCATGCTGAACAACACTCTGGAGTACTTTTTTGATATCTCAAATGCATCTGGAGATCTGGGAGGCTTCTTGCTGTCTGCTGACATTCAAATAATGGAGGTCTATGGTGCCCGAGACAGAAAGGTCCATAAAAGTCCACAAAAAACGTGTCAATATTCCTCCATACTGCTCGTCCAATGTATTCCAAGTGTCCTGAGTGGGTAGCATCCAGAATTTACTCGAAACAAAGTCCTTTAGAATGTTTTTAGAGCATAAACAGTAGTGTATAGGATTTCCTGAAAGCGCGCGCCTGCACGTTCACAACGCTACAGAAGCCGGCAGACCAAACCAGATGAAAGTGCGCATTCAGCGTCTGCTCTGCCGATAATGCAAGCGTAGAAGAAGAAATGTGCTGTTTACCTGTGCAAAGAAAGAAACAACGAAAGAAAAATGTCTGAGGACTTCAGTGTTGAGGAAGAGCATGAGTTCTTCGTCTGGTTTGGTCTGCCGGCTTCCGTAGCGTCATGAACGCGCATGTGCGCGCTTTCAGGAAATCCTATACACTACTGTTTATGCTCTAAAAATATTCTAAATGACTTTGTTTCGAGTAAATTCTGGATGCTACCCACTCAGGACACTTGGAATACATTGGACGAGCAGTATGGAGGAATATCGACACGTTTTTTGTGGACTTTTATGGACCTTTCTGCCTCGGGCGCCATAGACCTCCATTATTTGAATGTCAGCAGACAGCAAGAAGCCTCCCAGATCTCCAGATGCATTTGAGATATCAAAAAAGTACTCCAGAGTGTTGTTCAGCATGGGGGTGAGTAGAAAATGAAGGCTAATCATGTTTTGGGTGTACTACTACTTTAATGCAAACCTTGGGATGTATAACAGTAAATCTTGTATAAAAAGGTGCAGGACATTGAAGGAAAGTTTTGATATTCTGTGAGATTTTGCAGCAGGGAAGCAAAGCTTTTGAAACTTGAATGATGAATCTGAATCACACCGATCCTAATAAAACATAGCAACAAAGCTAAAAATAATAATGGAAACAGCCTCAGTGTATGGAAACTGTAAATATTGCTGCGTTTAGATCATGGACATGTGCATTGGTCTGTATGCCGAGACAATAAAATCAACACTTATTTTTTAAAGAGATTTTATTTTAACAGGAGAAAAAGGTGGCGAATCATTAGATTCATTCCAGATTAATGATTAATCAGGCGGAAAAGTTGTACTTGATCGCCAGTGGAAGAGTACTGGGGGAGGCGTTCAGACATCCTGCCGCCCAGCTGGTACAAAGAACGGCACTGAGGAACTGTGCGTCTCATCTGGAGCTCTAGATCAGTGCAACAGGGTTTTTTTTAAATGCTGCTGTCTGGTATTTAACAGTGAGCCGAGCAATGACAGCCACATCCGAATGTTATAGGATATAAAATTCCTTGGAAATGTACTGATATGGACACACATCAAATCGCAGTGTGAAAGGAGAGGTCAGTTTCCGAACGGAAACAGTGCAAAACTGAGGTCCTATTGCTATAAGGCAGGATCTGTAAATTCAATAGTAATCATTCTCAGTACAAAGCTCTGCAAGTAATATTTCTAAATAATAGTCACATTTAGAACAGACACCACGCTGGCTCCTTACACAAACGCTGGCTTCTATGGGTTTCCATCTCGTTTTCTTTTTACAATATATTTATAAACCTTAATTGCAGCCTTCTCTTCTTGTTTGTGTGGTCACCTTATTCCTAACTGAAACTTTGAGGTGTCATAGTCACTTAATCAGACATTACAATTATCTGCTTTAAGCAATAATTGAGGTGAATTAGATTAGATTAGATTAGATTAGATTAGATGAGCTTTATTGATCTCACAGCAGAGAAATTCACTGGTCACATATTGGTATAGTAATTAAAGAAGGTATATACAGTATATCAAGATAAATAAGGATTAAGGTGCAAGTGTACATGTATCACACACAATGAAAAACAAAATAAAAATAAGAAAAAAATATACAAGGGAGTAGCACAGAGATTTGAGGTGTCATATGTACAATCCGGATGGCTTATATACAGGTGGATTGACTTTTACATTAAAGTGTAGTAGGTGAGGAGCAACGGTGAGGTAGTGGTATGACTATTATATTCACAGCAACTGAAAAGCACCTGTTGGCTTTGGACCAAAATATATAACCTTTGTAGAAAAAAATGGAGCCAACAGACTTTATTTTCAGTCTGGTTCAGACTAGTGAGTCGTTGGTGTCATTTGATAAGTTGCCACTCTGGGTCTCTGAGCAAGACCCTTAACCCCACACTGCTCCCTGGGTCCACCGTACAATGGCAGCCCACTGCTCCCCAAGGGGATGGGTTAAATGCAGAGGTAAATTTCTCCAATGTGAGATCACTAAAATTCTATTATTATTAATATTATTATTATTAAGTTGTTGGTAGGCTGTAACAACTCTCTCTGAGGCACGTTGACAAAGTATTTCTGTGACAGCCTAACAGCATCATCTCCATGGTTATTTGAAAATGCGGTGAGAAGTTCCAGCTATTTAAACTACTTTACGTGTAACTTTGTAGGCGGGCACGGGGATGTCCCAAGATGTTCCTCTAGATGCATTTGATTTTCCCCAAACTGGGAATTATAAAGGAAAGGTATTCAGTTACAAGTCTACATATACATCCAACTTTGTTTTCCACCATAAGCTGAGGAGTTTTCTCTACTGGAAGCTTTTAATATGAATGCTACACACTCCTTTATGCTAAAAAAAAGGTGCAGCAAGACAAAAACCTGTGATTTTAGAAAGTTATACAAATTCCCACTGGTAATGTGCTAAATACCATATGGAGGATGTGGAAAACATGGAAGGGTCTACTCTCTTTAGAGAAGACTGAATTTGAGCCATGAGAAGGCTTTTCTTTGGGCCGCTCTATAAGCCTCGAACTCAACGCTACTCCAGACATTTTGAATTGAGAAAGCTTCCTGGATGGGAAGCAAAACGGCTTCAAACTTGGAAAATAAAGTCAAGTGATTTGTTAAAAAAATGTGTTACGATTTTGTTGCAAAAAACCTTTTAACATATATGCAAAATGGAAAACGAATACTAGAACCTGATCAAACTATCATGATGGTGAGACATGGTAGTAAAAGCATTATGCTGTGGAGAATCTGTTCTTTAGCAGGTAAAGGAAACCAGTCTGAATTTTTAGAAAGATAGTTTGAGTTAAATAAATCTGTAGAAAGCCTTTTAGAGGCTACAAAAGACTTGAGATTCAACTTTCTACAACTAAAAGCCTTAACATGCAGGCAGAGCTTCTATGGAATAGTTTAGACTAAAGCTCAGAGATTTATCATTGGGGTCATTGTGACTACTTGAAAAAGCTTTAAGATCTTTGCAAGAGAATTTATATTCAAAATGCTTTTTACCTTCTGACTGTCAAGCTGCTCGCAAGATTGCTGACTCCTCCTCAAATCTCCTTCAATCTTTCGTTCTTCTCTCTCTGTTCTGACTCTTGACCTGAAGTCCATTGAAAACAGAGACAGTAAAGCAGCTGTAATGGGAGGGGGGAGGCTCTTCAGACGGACTTTATATGCTTGTTCAAACTTCACCTAAAATCTTCCAAAGACTTGGCCTCATTCTGCTGCTTGGCTCTCACTTTCTGTCGATAGTGGTGGAGCTCCTCCTCTGCTTTTCTTTTCTTAAGCTCCTCAAGACCTATACCCCCTCTGTCTGATAGAACGGGGAAAGGACAGTCATAAACAACAGATAGAAATTAACATCATAGTATGAGAGAAAAAAAACAAACAGCTTACCTGCTTTTATGGTTAGAGGAATCGGATCAACCCTCCCTGCTCCTGAGAACACATAGAGCAGTGGTATAACATAGGAGTCAAAAGCCAAAAAGGCAATTAAAAACAAGATTATAACAAATAAATAGCTACCCTCTTTTCCAAGGCCTTGACCAGCTTTGTAACCCATCTTTTGAAGAAGAGCAAAGCCCTTGTTCTCATTGCTGATGGAGCTCTGTAAAGCTGCTTCCCGGCTTTCCTTCTCCTGCTCCTTGTAGCTCTTCTGTCGGTTTTGGATATTTTTCTCCTTAATCTTTTCTTCCTTTTTGATGGCTTCCTTTACCCTCCTCACCATGCTCACCCCTGGCTTCACATCTTGACTAGAAACAGAGGAATGAATCAATCTGCAGATAATCTTAGAAAACTTATTCAGCATTAACAATGTTTACTTGTACCAGAGAGGTAGCAAGAGGAATTGTATTGAAACTAGGGTTGTCAAAAGTATCGATACTCAAAAAAGTATCGATACTGAAATGTTGTATCAGGAAACAATACTCGTTTTTAAAAGTATCAAGTATCAAGTGCAGAATAGAGGACAATGCACTTTCAGAACACTGTGTGATTAAATAATTCTGTGCACCTTTCAGTTTCAGACCATTTTTTTTTTTAGAGGTGCAGCTGCTGAGAATTATTTTTGTTTCTTAACAGGTTTGGCCAGTGTCATTGTCATGTGTGTAAAGCATAGCCAAGGAAGGAACACTTAATTTTAATTTTATAAGTTTTTTATCAAGCTTGCTTAATATTGTGCACAGCATACAACCTCAAAATATTGTTCTTATTGTTTATTGTATTTATTTATTGTATTTTATTTATTAATGAAAATATTTCAGTAGAATTTTGGAGTCTTTGTTTTTATCCTTGTGGTATCGAAAATGGTATAGAGTATCATATATTTTCCTTAGTATCGGTATCAAGTTGAAAAGTTTAGTATCGTGACAACCCTAATTTAAACACTTAGTTTTTATATAGTCTTCAAACACAGCCTAAATCCCTTTGTTTCTGACTTTACACACAACACTAAATTATGCCCCTGGAGCAGATGAGCAAGTACCTAAGAGATGTCAGGTCAAGTCAAAGTTTATTTCTAAATCACATTTCAAATAACAGTGGAGGACAGCGGAAGGAATCAGCGGAAGGAATCATTGGGGCTCCTCTTCCCTCCATTAAGGACATTTCATCACAGCGCTGTGTGTCCCGAGCCCGTAATATCATCAAAGACCCCTCACACCCCCACCATGGACTGTTCTCCCTGCTGCCCTCTGGAAAGAGGTTCCGCAGCATCCGCTGCAGATCCACCAGGTTGTGCAACAGCTTCTTCCCCACTGCCATCAGACTGTTGAACCTTTGATCCACAATCCGAACTCTGCACCTATTGCACATTATCGGGCATCAAATGCTGCTGAACTTTTAACTTTTAGCCCTTTAAATTGTTCATCTCATTGTATTTTTCAATAACGCATTTTTTGCACAAATGCCATTTTGCACTGAACCACTGCAACTTGCACACTGTCTCTTATCCTCTGCACTGTTCACACTTTGACCACTGCTGCACTTTTTGTATTTTTCTATAACTCGTGCCATTTGAAATATCAATGCAACGTTCATAAGCTGTATGTAACGCAATTTCGTTCTGTATGCACCCTGTGCATACAAAATGACAAATAAAGAAGTCTAAGTCTAAGTCTAAGTCTAAGTAGTTGACCAAAGTTCTGGATGAGCTACGAATCACCAAAAGCCTTATAGTTTGAACAAAGAATACAATAAAACATAAACTAAGTAATAAATAGAAAATATAAGCGTTACAAAGTGCCATTCAGGAGATTGGGTGAAAAACTATGTAGAAACGTAATTTCCAGAAGAATATGATGGCCGTGTTTATCAAAGGGAAACTTTTATTGAGATAGTGTGGAATAATATCAGGAATTGTTTGTGAAATCTATTTTGCAGAGAGCCTGGTGTCTGTCAGTCTATGGTTGAATTAAGGATTTAACTTAGACAAGAATGGGGTACAGCAGATGATATTATTTTTCAGAGGCTCCAATAATTCAACATTGGCAAAAGTACACAAAATTATACACAAATATTATCTGCTGTGTCGTGATCTGTTTGTAGAACAGGGCCCACGCCAGACAGGACATTCAATAAACTTGTTAAATGAAGTAAAGAACCAGAACAGTCTATTTATCCAGCTATTGCCCTTAATTTAGCATCATATTTAGTACATGAATATAAGTAATTATTTAGCATTAAGCTAAAATACATACTATATTCCTAATTATATTAAATACCATTGTATTCTCAAGTATTTTTTCCCGTGGAACTATTTTAATTCAAGGTTATTTTCACGGATACATAATGTCTAAACATTTTTAGCAGTAATATTATTTACAATATCTACTCAGCTATTGTTATTTCGAAGCAAATATAAACGGCTTACATTTTATTGAGAAACGCATCAGACATATAATCCTCTTCCTCGTCAGACATCGTGAATTCTAAAAGAAATGTTGTAAAATAAAAATAAATAGTTGCTTTTGCTTGAAGAAAAACTCGCTGGAATATTTTGTTTGCTAGTTTGGTTTTGGTTCGTTTACAAAAAGATTCCGACCAGCTGCATGTAGCTTGCATATTAATCGTTCCGCCAGTTAGATCATAATTACAGGATGTGTGTTTATTGAGATCGTGCGGTATTATCGTTTAACAAATAAAATGTAGTTTTATGGGAGTTTATATATTCAATGGGAGAATATTAATCGGTGTTTTTAAATGTTTGTATAGTTTCCTACCGGACATAATTGTCTGCTACGCCCCCGATATTTTGTCCTCATTCATCCTGGGTCATCGAAATACAGGTAGTACGCGTATTTTGTTATTATTTAGCTCACAATTCAGAATGCTGTTGTTACGATTATGGTTTATGTGTTCCTTGGAGGTTAGAAGAGACCTCAGAAACTAGCTAACAGACCCGAAAAATGGAGAGGATCGTCGAAGTTGAGCTTGTTCCTGGTCGGAACCAGCTAGCTAGCCATGGTGGTGGTGGTTACAAACAGCTAAAACTGTCAACCACTTTAATAAAAATGACAAAAAACAAGACAGCCTACAATAGTTTTACACAGCCTCGAGGTTTAACTTTCAGGGAAGGGAATGTAAATGCAGCTAAGTACCAGAGGAAACCATATACATTTCTAGCTCTTAACCGGCGTGATAAATTTGAGTCATTTCTCTTTATTTATGTCGCCAAATTAAAGCAAATATCTAGGTAATAAGACACAAATGTCTATTTAATATCCATATGTCCAAATTCAACCTGATACAATCCTATTTATTTCCTCATAATCTAGTCTGGTTAAGTAATAAATTAGTTGTTTTTTTCTTTAATGGAGTTCAAAATTAGTGGATCACATTATAGAACTTTGTAAGAAGTAACCTAAGTAAGTTTATGTGATTGGATCAAATAGTTAAATCTGTTGTTGAATTTACAATCCCTCATCCTAAGCTTGCATAAGGACACAGAGGAGACAAACCAGTCTCTGTAACAGGAAGAAACTACCAGCAGAACCAGACTGGAACTGAGGCGAGCCCATATCACAGCTTAGCTACAAGGTGCTTTACATTAGATCAGGGCCTTGTTAATCCAGTAGCACCCACTAAAAATACATTGATTCATCACTTAGATTGATCTTTATGGAACTTGGTGTAAAGAGCCCTGTACAGCGTTAGTGACACATTGACTTGTACGTAGATTGCCAACTGGCAAAATAGGGTATTTTATATGTAATGTGCACTCATGATTTAATATAGCACTATAGAAAATTAATCAAATTATTTGTGATTAATTGATTATTTAAAAAAAAACTTGTCAACTTTTTAATGGATTGTTTTAAATGGAGTATAACTCTCTAAACATGGTAGAACAACTAAGTGAAAAATATGTATCCTGTTAGATCTCCTTGCACATTTCACTCTCTTCAATGAAATGAACTCTGCATTTAACCCATCTACTGGGGGAGCAGTGGACTGCCATTGTGCGGTGCCTGGGGAGCAGTGTGGGGTTAAGGGCCTTTGCTCAGGGGACCAGAGTGTCAGTCTGTGGGAGTGAGGCTCGAACTCAGAACCTCTGGATTCCAAGCGCAATAGCCTAACTACTAGGCCGCCACTTCCCTCTATCTATTGATCTGTTGTCTATTATTGTTTTAGCACAATAATCCTTAGTCACCGCCCTCATTTAATACTGCAGGGATGGGGAATTGTACTGCACATTAAGAGTGAAACATGGGTTTTTTGCATTGCCATCAGGTCCCCACTATTTATTCTTAATTTTAACAAATTAACTGTTTTTTTCTTTTTGCACCTGGAAAGCATTCCCAACACGCGATTTGCTTTTTTTTTTCTAGTAAGTGCTTTACAAGTGCACAGAAATGAGAAGTAAGAGGGCACCGTGCTCCTTCTTTCCTGCATAAGATTGGAGGAAGGTCTGTTCTGTCCTGGTACTAACCAGGACAAATCATCAAGTTTTAATTAAAATTGTTCAATAATTTTGAAAAAAGAGTTGGAACATTTTAAGCCGCAGTCTACTATGGTATGCCTTCAGAAGTTGCATCAGTATATTTTTTAATTATGTCCTGGATCAACAGGGCAGCAGGGAAAATAAGTCTTAAATTGATACAGTTTTGAATTGGCTAAGGGCTTTTTCTGAATTCATAACTAAGTTATTAAGTAGGAATATTGTGCATGTTTCTAGCAGACGAAGGTGTACAGTCCTGATCCTCGCCATGGAGCTGGCTCACAGTCTGCTGCTCAATGAGGATGCTTTGGCTCAGATCACTGAAGCAAAGAGACCAGTCTTCATCTTTGAATGGCTTCGCTTCCTGGATAAAGTGCTTGTTGCAGCAAATAAGGTGAGTTGTCATTTTCAGTCTTGCTTTAAAGCAGTATTTGCTATTAGAGGAACCTAGCGACGTTAATAATGTGTTTTAATGGCAGGTGGACGTGAAGGAGAAGCAGAAAAAGCTGGTGGAACAGTTAACAGGACTGATTAGCAGCGCTCCTGGACCACCAACCAGAAAACTGCTGGCTAAAAACCTTGCTACTCTCTACAGCATTGGTGATACCTTCACCGTTTTCCAGACCCTGGATAAATGCAATGAAATCATCAAAAGCAAGGATGACACACCCACATACTTACCAACAAAACTGTGAGATCCCATTTAATCATTTAATGCGTTGTCTAATCATACAGCAATTCTTAACATGTATGCTATCTTTATAGCTTTAAAACATTTCTAGATTTCTAACCTTTTCATTCAAAATTCAAGCATAAACAGTCGACTCCTCTCCAAGGGTATTAGCAGTTAAGCCTTACATTAATCTGTGGTGTAATATTAGTTTTTTAAAAGGGAGGATTAATTTTGCAGGAGCGAGTGTTTGGATGTTTTTCTTACTCCCATTAAAGGAAGATTATAACTACATTAGGCATTAATGCAGCATGTTTTCCCAGTGCGGCCTCAAACTTCAATCTATCGCTAACAGGAACACAACAAAATAATCTGTATTTGTGGAGAAAGTGAAGTTATATATGAGTTTCTTGTTAAGAAAATACATATTTAAGGTTAGCAAACATTTGTGTAAGGATTGAATGGATAAAACATTTTAATTTCTGATACAATACAGATACTGACTCAATATGATATATCAGCAAGAAATATATGTGCTTTTATTATTTATTTTGTAGTGTGGGTGTTATAAAAAGGCTTGATTAAGGGATTTTACTCAGAGAACAATATTCAACAACAATATTATCTGATATTAATGGTTTTTGAATAATCTGACCAATTATAGATGCCAAAGTCCCATCAGGATTTCCCCTGATTTGTGTTGACCCACCTGACAATGGGTCTCTCAGCTTGTTCTGTGATAAATGCTCTTCCTTGCTGGCTTGTCAGCGTAGGAGGTCACATCTCTGTAGATTCCATGTGTTCCATCACTGGAAAAAAAATCGAAATCTAGATAAGTCATTTTTTCTTTAAATAAGTGCATTTGTTCTTGGATTGAGGAGGTAAAAGAGACACTTTGCCAATTGAGCAAGGAAATTTACACTTAAAATAAGAAAACACAATTGCATTGTCTCATTTCAAGTGCATATTATCTAATTATCTTATTTTAAGAGTAAAAAATACTCATTCCATTGGCAAACTATCTCATTTAACTAATCAAATTAAAGGTAAATACACTGGATTTAAGAGATTTTTCACTTATTTCTAGATTGTTTTTCCAGTGATATTCCTGTCCATTATTTTTAAATTGATTGAACTGTGCTGTGTGAAATGTACAGAATACAGACAAGTGCCTTACTTATAAGATACACTCACTGGCCACTTTATTAGGTACCCCATGCTAGTAACGGGTTGGACCCCCTTTTGCCTTCAGAACTGCCTCAAGGTGCTGGAAGCATTCCTCAGTGAGTTTGGTCCATATTGACATGATGGCATCACACAGTTGCCGCATATTTGTCGGCTGCATTATCCTGCTGAAAGTAGCCATCAGAAGTTGGGTACATTGTGGTCATAAAGGGATGGACATGGTCAGCAACAATACTCTGGTAGGCTGTGGCGTTGCAACGATGCTCAATTGGTACCAAGGGGCCCAAAGAGTGCCAAGAAAATATTCCCCACACCATGACACCACCACCACCAGCCTGAACCGTTGATACAAGGCAGGATGGATCCATGCTTTCATGTTGTAGACGCCAAATTCTGACCCTACCATCCGAATGTCGCAGCAGAAATCGAGACTCATCAGACCAGGCAACGTTTTTCCAATCTTCTATTGTCCAATTTCGATGAGCTTGTGCAAATTGTAGCCTCAGTTTCCTGTTCTTAGCTGAAAGGATTGGCACCCGGTGTGGTCTTCTGCTGCGGTAGCCCATCTGCCTCAAAGTCCGACGTACTGTGCGTTCAGAGATGCTCTTCTGCCCACCTTGGTTGTAACGGGTGGTTATTTGAGTCACTGTTGCCCTTCTATCAGCTCGAACCAGTCTGGCCATTCTCCTCTGACCTCTGGCATCAACAAGGCATTTCCGCCCACAGAACTGCCGCTCACTGGATGTTTTTTCTTTTTCGGACCATTCTCTGTAAACCCTAGAGATGGTTGTGCGTGAAAATCCCAGTAGATCAGCAGTTTCTGAAATACTCAGACCAGCCCTTCTGGCACCAACAATCATGCCACGTTGAAAGTCACTCAAATCACCTTTCTTCCCCATACTGATGCTCGCTTTGAACTGCAGGAGATTGTCTTGACCATGTCTACATGCCTAAATGCACTGAGTTGCCGCCATATGATTGGCTGCTTAGAAATTAAGTGTTAACGAGCAGTTGGACAGGTGTACCTAATAAAGTGGCCGGTGAGTGTATATATATATATATATATATATTTTTTTTTTTTAAGTCAAACCTTTGTATGCTTTTTATTTCACTTGACAGTTATGTTCTATTTTCTGTTTTTCGTCCACATAAAATCCCTACAAAGTTACATGGAAGTTGTAAAGTAAAAAAGATGAAGGGCTGTGAATACTTTTGCAAGACTCTGTAGAGTCAGAAATGTCTTACAGTCAGTACTGGGTTGAAGGGCTCTTAGGACATATATGATTGGAGCTGGCAAATTAAATGTGGCTTTGTCCCTGTGTTTCTCTCAGCATCGTCACCTTTTTTTGGTCACATTCTGACATGTCGTTGATGACTTTGTCTCACAGTGCTGCTGTCGCCTGTGTTGGAGCATTTTATGAAAAGATGGGCCGGATGTTGGGAAGCTCCTTTCCAGACACCATCAACAATCTCCTAAAAGCACTAAAGAGTGCAGAGGTGGGAGTTAGAAACTGAGATATTTTGTGTTTTAGCCCACCACTGCTTCAGCTGGGCTCCACTGACCGGTCGGGGTGTGATATCTTTCTCCATGTTATTAATGTAGTCACAAGGCAGAGGAGAGATTCTGCTCAGCCTGCAGAAGGTGCTGAGTGGGCTTGGTGGCGCTGCAGCTTCATGTCACAGAGATATCTACAAGAATGCCCGCTCCCTGCTCACAGACAGATCCATGGCTGTACGCTGCGCCGTTGCAAAGGTCGGTGTCTAAAGAAGCCATTTCTTCTGATCTTCCTAGTAATTATGCATATAAAACCATATTTTCCCACGTCACCCATTTATTAGCTAACTGCTGCATCCTAGATATACAAATGGGAGCCTTGGGGTTGTCTGTGTATAACCAGCACTTTTCCCAACACACTGTATGAACAAATGGGAGCAGTGTTATGTTACGTTTATGTGCTTTCAGTTATTTTAAAAAGCTTATATCCTCCATTAGTTCTCTGCATAGATTTGCCTGTATTCCTGTTTGAAAATCCAGTAGCCTACACTTTATTTTAGATTTGCATTAACCAGATATTTTTGATTCAGGTTTTTTTAAAGAGTCAACTTCCTGATGCAGATATAAACATTTTTTACCCTTTAAAACAAGTTTTAAAATGTTAATGGTTATTGTTTAACTTGATTTCATGTTTTGAGCAACAGTTAATTATGTATATAGTAATTAAAAGCAACATCCCCACTATGTGAGAGGGTAGGCAGTTAGTGTAGAATTGAAAGAACAAATTATTAAAAAGAAAAAAAAATTGTGCTTAGCAGTTAGCATTGCTAGCTTTGAATATCAGCTTCTGTGTATTTTTTTTTAGAGGAAATTGATTTCCAATTTGCTGCCAAAAAAAAACAATCAACCCTGTCTAGGTAAGAAATCCAATTCAAGTCCAACAACATGAATAAACATGCTTAACGGAAAAAAAAAATCCATCTTACTTTTTTAAAAGCAGTTTTTTTTTAAAATCTCGGTCATAATGCTTAGCTAACAATCAAAGGAGGTTTTTTGAGTTTCTTCCCTCAGCAACAACGTTCATTCTGAAGAGTGTTGTTGAAATTCTACCGGGAATCTCTACTCCGTAAATTATTTGATGTGTTTGTCAGTGGGTATCCTGTCTGTTTCTGTTTGCTTATTGCTTTGCTCATACACTAAACACATGAACAACGGTTCTGGTTGATTCTATTCTATGTGTTTGAATCTAAATGCAAAGTAAATCTTAGTCTACCTCTTTGTTTCCGTCTGATCAGTGTCTGCTGGAGCTGCAGAATGAGGCAGTGTTTATGTGGACAACAGAATTGGAGAACGTGGCAACTTTATGTTTTAAATCCTTGGAAGGATCTAACTATGGGGTCCGAGTGGCGGTTGCCAGACTGCTGGGTACAGTCATGGCCACAGCCCTCATGCCCAAACAAGCTGCAGGTAGCTGAACTCGCTTAACAAGACACTATTTATTTTCATTTTGCATTTTTCCGGGTTAAAGTGGCTATTGTTGCTCTTGAAATTGAATTCCTCTGATTTCAAGTGATGCGACAGAATGTGAAACGGGCTACGCTGGATGAGGTGCTAGAGCTGATGGCGACGGGTTTCCTGCGTGGTGGATCTGGCTTCCTGAAGAGTGGAGGGGAGATGCTAAAGGGTGGAGCTTCTGTTAGCAGGGAGGTGCGAGTGGGTGTCACACAGGTAAGAGTCAATTTACATGAAATAAATCATTTCAGCTGGGAAATCAAAGTGCTTTTTTTTCTAACTTACAAGTAATGATATTTCCTCTCTCCTCAGGCTTATGTTGTGTTTGTGACCACACTGGGGGGTCAGTGGCTGGAGCGTAATTTCGCCACGTTTCTGTCCCACGTCCTGGACCTTGTGTCTCACCCCCGGGCCACACAAACTCACGTGGAGGCTGTGTACTCGCGCCGCTGTGTGTCCTTCATGCTGCGTGCCACACTGGGGGGCTTACTAGGGGAAAAAGCCCAGATTGCGGCCGGCAAAGAAATCTGCCAAGCCATCAGCAAACAAATGAGGGCTGTGGGTAAGGAGGATGGGGGGGAAATATCACGGTTCAGAGCAATACAGAGTAAGTACTCATCCATTGTTCTCACATTGAAGTCTCTCTGCGTTCAGTCTTCAAAATCATTGCATGTTTTGGTTTGGGTGGTGGAGTTCGGCATGCTTTCCTCTTCTCTTTCTGCTTTTGCTTTCTGTTGTTGCTTCTTTAAGATGAGCCTCCTTTTCCATCTCTTTTTAACCACAAGCAGCATCATAATGTCAGCAGCAGCATCATCCATCAACAGCACACATTATCAACTATTCATTCTTTTGTTATATTAGAGTCATTGTGGTTTTTTGTCTCCCAGTTTAAGCTCTATTATTGCTCTTTAATCTCTGGGCAGAAAATAACATTTTCTGACTGTAAACATCTGGCTTACATCCGCAAAAAATCTGCATGTGCCTCGAAATATATATCAAAGCATTCCACCTTTGGCAACACTGCAAAAAACATCTAGAAATAAGTAAAAAATATCTTAAGTTAAGTGTATTTACCCTTAATTTGAACAGGTAGGAACTAGTATTTTTACTCTTAACATAAGATAATTAGATAATATACGCTTGAAATAAGACAAAACAATTGTTTTTTTCTTATTTTAAATGTAAATTGTCTTGTTCCATTGGCAAAGTGTCACACTTACCCCTTTAATTCAAGGAAAATGCACTTAATTTGAGCTAAAATGACTTATTTAGTTTTCTATTTTTTGCAGTGAAAGACCTGCATTTCTAATACACCACTGAATATATTTTCTCCCAAACACTTCCCATCAGTGTGTTTTTAAGTTCCCATTACCTCAGACAAAAGGATGATTCTTACTCTGATTTGCTTTGCAACCTATAAACCCTTAAAGGAGATCACTCTGTTTATGTTGGGACAATAAAAGGATGAAAACTTCACTGTTAGCTTCTCACCAGATGTGATTCTGGGCACTTTGTTCACGTTTTACACGCTGCTGAGGTTTTTCCGGCCAGTTTGATCTGTGATATACTTAATGGAAAATTGGAACAATGTTTGTAGCTAATTGGAAAAAAAAGAGAGGTAGAGCCTGGTTAGCTTCCAGGTGTCTTTTCTAAATTTTTCTCATAGTGTGTAAAGTTTCTGCCACAGATCAAGAAGCAGCTTCAAATCTGATCCTTCTTTTCTTTGTGTGATCACTTCTGACTGTTAAGAGCTCAGAGGATTTCTAGACCTTTACATTTTTATTTTTGATTGTTACTGTTTATATGCCACAACTAAAGCTACAGTTTTATAATAAATAATGTTTCTTTGACAGAAATCCTCAGAGCTCTGGGTTTGAACTCAGTCAGGCTAATAATATTTGGACAATGACACAACATTTTGTTTTATGAGATATTTTTATAGCGAATTTGATTACATGAGTAACATTTGAAGAGGAAGAGGTAAAACATCAAGCTTATTTTAAAGCATTAAAAGATAATAAAACATGAAGAAAAAAACATAGAATAAATTGTCAATTCATTTCTTCATCAGGTAGAAATCAAATTATAAAACAAAAACAAATAAATGTGAGATCAAAAAAGTTCAATTAGAAATTAAAATAAAAAAAATACATTAAAATAATATGTGACTCATTCCTGTATAACCTGTAATACAGTAAGATTCAATATATTAGAATAAGTGCTTTAAAGAGGCTTATTTGTTAAAAATTAGATTAAAAGTTAGTATCTTTTAAGCATATATTAAACATACTTCTCATTAGGGCTCAAACAGTTACTATAATTAATCATGATTAGTTGTTTTTTTTAGAAAATATCAAGTAATTGACTAATTGATTATGATTAAACTATACCAAAATTGTTAAAATTATATAAACATTGTGCATTCAAGATAAAATAAAAGCTTTTGGCCGTGAATACGCTCCATTCAGAGCTCATCAAGTGGCTTAGTTTTAGCTTTACCTGTTTTAATTCTGCATAAAATCTTTATAGAACATTTTCCTATCTAATTATTGATCAAAAACATTATCAGCAGATGAATTGATTGTCAATATAATCATTAGTTGCAGCTCTACTTCTCATTACACCTATTTTTTTAGTAGTTCTGATATTCTCATACTAGATGTATTTTCATTATTTGTAAGAAGAAAACATCAGAAATGCTTGCTTGATACTGCTGGTACTATACCATTAGGATACCTGCTTATATTATTATTTCAGCTAAAAAATATTGTATCTCCTGGAACTATTCGCATCTTGTATAGAGATATTGACCTTCATCCCAAGACGGCCGACCGATAATTGAAAGGCTGGATCTGTCCTTACTTTAGTGATGCACTGTAAATGTTGCAGCTTTTAAACCCAGACACATTAATAAGGTTAAAAAAAACGGCAGAATTTTATAATCCTTAAACATACCTTTTACATCTGAGGACATGATGTTTCATAAAAACACTTCCTCATTTTTAGACCAGGTTAAAAATTGATGAGCCAACATGCTTAGAAATATGTTGCATCCTATAAATGATCATTTAAATGTCAAGGATTTAGATTTATGTTATTTTAACTTAATCAAAAAATTTGCTTCCAGAATTAAATAACATTAACGATTTACAATGAAAGACTTTCTTTCTTTCTTTAGATCTGCTTTATTCCATATGCAGCTATTTCCTTCTCTTTAAATTAGGGATGCACGATATAATCGGCCCCCTATCGGTATCGGCCTTAAAACTGAATATCGGACATCGGCCAGCCCTCCGATATTTAACCCGATATTTGATCAGCTTCTGAGTTTCTAAAGTCTAAAAAAAAAATAAAAAATACTACTTCTTCTTCTTCCTCAAAAACTTATTTTTTACAGACTTAAAAACTTCTAAAGACGAGGGAAAAAATATTGATACATTAAAATATCCCAATATCTCCATATGCTGATATATTGCCATTTAAAAACACCATATCAATCTCTTTTACTAATGAAATATTACTATATGTCATCGTTATGCTACGAAATCCCCCGAAAATTCACAAAATTTTGCCATATTTTTATATGTTGATATATTGATGCGGTATCGATCTATTTTACTAACAAAATCTCACAAGAATTTGCAAAATATCACGAGAGTTTGTAACAGAACGATGAAATTTCACGAGATTTTGAAAGTAAAATAGATCGATACCACGTTTTTAAAAATCAATTTGATATCAGCATATGAAAATATATTTTAGTATATTATTTTTCAAAGTGTCAGAAATGGATAACAAAACTGCTATTTTCAATGACTACTTATTTTTGTCCAGCTTTAACATCGATATCGGTTATCGGATACATGAGTTTTAAAATATCGGCATATCAGATATCAGCCAAAATCCCAATATCGTGCATCCCTACTTTAAATATGTTTTATTTAGCTATATTTAATTTAAATATGAATAAAAACATATCTGAAAATAAGGTGTGTCAGTATCCAAATATTTTTGGGTTCAAGGGTTTTACAACCAAGTGATTGAGGAACCAAATATCTGACTGTGTGACAGCACTGTGTGTCCTGATGTGGTCAATTTAACAAATTAGCATACACGGAATTTAAGATTTGAACTGATCAGTGCTTCACACATTCTGACTAAAATTAATGTTTTATGTTATATTTTTAACTGTTAGTAAAAAAGCAATAAATTTGATTTGCTTGTTTGTTTTTTTTGCTGTTTTTTTAGAGGCCGTTGTAAACGACATGAGTGGTGAGAATAAGGCGGGAGCAGCTGACGTCTCTGCTAGTCAGCATGTCATGGTGTGCGCCCTGAAAGAGCTGGGCAGTTTGGTTCAGAGCCTGAGCGCCACGGCTTCCCCGCTCATCCAAGAGCCTTCCATCGGTGAGACGCACGCATAAACGGAAAGTCCCACCCTGGTTGGTTGAATCTGGGTCGGGGGTTTACACCGAATATTTATCTTCCAGGACTTCTTGAAACAGTGACCTCAGTGCTTCTACACCCAAGCATGGCCGCACGTCTGGCGGCCGCATGGTGCCTGCGCTGTGTGGCCGTGGCTCTGCCGTATCAGCTGTCTCCGCTGCTGGACCGCTGCGCTGAGAGAATAAACAACCTGAAGAGTTCTCCTGAGGCCGTGAGTGGCTACAGCTTTGCAATGGCAGCTCTGCTAGGAGGAGTCCACCAGTGTCCACTTGGTATCCCTCACTCCAAGGGAAAGGTGTGAAAACGCCTCTTTTGTTTGTCTCATTTTAAAACAGTCAAATGTCTTTAAATAAGGAGCTGAATAATAGATGCTCTTTGCCTGATCTGTAGCTGGTTGTGAGCATAGCTGAGGATCTTCTTCGTACAGCGGCTCAGAATAGCCGACTGTCCCTGCAGCGCACACAGGCTGGATGGCTGCTGCTTGGGGCCCTCATGACTTTAGGCGAGTCTCATTCAAAAGCTTTCAAATTAGTTTCTTTTCCCCTTTCTCCACTGATCCATATTTAAATCTCTTATCAGGTTCCTCACTGGTCCGCTACCATCTGCCCAAAATGCTGCTGCTGTGGAGGAACGTGTTTCCACGCTCCCAGAAGGAGCTGGAGGCCGAAAAGGCCAGAGGAGACTCCTTCACCTGGCAGGTCACCCTGGAGGGCCGAGCCGGAGCCCTGTGTGGTAAAGACTCTTTACGCTGCAAAGTTTCCCCTTGCTTTATACTATCAGCTCTATAATATTTATCTCTACTCTGCAGCCATGCGTAGCTTTGTGGCGCACTGTCCTGAGCTTCTCACTGAAGATGTAATCCGTAGACTCATGACTCCCATTGAATGTGCAATGACCATGATGTCACAGTGAGTTTAAAGTTTAATTACCAGTTTAACATGTTGAAGGCAGAAACATGTGATGATGACTGCATCTTCTAAACGATCTTTATCAGGGTCCCTGCTATTATTAAAGTCCACGGAGCTCACCTAAAAGCAAGCGCTGCGATGGTGAGGCTAAGGTTGTACGACATCCTGGCCCTGTTGCCTCCTAAGACATATGAAGGTATTGCTGTTTTCTCTTTGCAAATGTCGCAATTTTTTTAAGGGCTGTTTAAAGTTTGTGCTCTTTTTGTAGGAAGCTTTAACGCGCTCCTGAGGGAACTGGTGGCAGAGTTCACTTTGACCGACAACTCCGCCAACACCACCACCTCTCTGTTGCGCTCTCTGTGCCACTATGATGACAGCGTGCTGATGGGATCCTGGCTGCAAGAAACTGACCACAAGTGCATTGAGGATCAGGTTAGTTCAGATTACCACTAAGGCTACGTTCACACTACAACCTGAAGTGACCCAAATCCTATTTTTTTGCCCATATCCGACCCGTATCTGATCTTTTCACAGCAGTCTGAACAATACAGATCCAATTTTCCTATGTGATCCAGGCCACTTGGCTATCTGGAAACCAATACAAATCTGATCTTTTTAAATGTGACCTGTGTCTGAACGGCAAGGTCGCATTCATCCGACGTGAACGTCATTATTAGGTCACTATTCTGCGTCTCGCTAAGCAGAAGCAGCAACAAAAACAATAGGGGTGGAACGGTTCACAAAATCCACGGTTCAGTTCGGTTCAAGGTTTCGTGGTCACGGTTTTCAGTTCGGTTCATGTTGATTGTTAGCCTGACATGTTGGTCGTGTTGCTGTTAGCATAAACAAAACGTGTTGCACAATGCTTGCACACTGTTGCACTTTTATCCACAACTTTCTTTCCGCCGTCATCGTAGATCACTCTAAATGCAAAGTGGTCCCATACAGCAGACTTATAAAGTGCTGCTGGCGCGTCTTCCAACTCCTGTTCTTTCCCACTCGCCATACCCACACAATTCTCCACAACAACTGATTTTTTCTGCTACACCCTGTTATGTGCGTCGGGCACATTAATTATATTTGTTTCTTTTTTTTTCCCTTTTAGTGTTGCATAGACCTTAGTTGAATCACTTATTTTTTTTAGAGTCTTGATAATTCTTTTTTCTTTTGTAAATCGATTACTTGATTTGCGTGATATTGGTCCGCCTATAAGTAGGCTGGGTTTCCACCTGTTAGTCTCTCTCTCTCTCCCTTCGAACCTTCTGATCGAGCCACCGTCACAGAGAGAGCGTCCAGACGAGATGCGCACGTCTCCCGTCTTTGTAGGCCGCCGCTGACCTCTCCAGCCTGCCATGTGGTATTTTTTTCCGTTAGCCTTTGTTTTTTTGCTGATTTTTTTGTAACTTTGACCTGGTGGGACCGGTTGTCCTGTTTTCATTTTTTTTTTAAATATTTTTATTAGTTTTCCCGTTAGTTCGATACTAGCAGAGGCTTCGACGGCCCTGTACAGGTGCTGGTCATAAAATTAGAATATCATGAAAAAGTAGATTGATTTCAGTAATTCCATTTAAAAAGTGAAACTTGTATATTATATTCATACATTACATACAAACTCATATATTTCAGATGTTTATTTTGTTTAATTTTGATGATTACAAATGACAACAAATGAAAATCTCAAATTCATCATATCAGAAAATTAGAATATTGTGAAAAGGTTCAAAATTGATGGCCCCTGGTGCCACACTCTAATCAGCTAATTAACTCAAACCACCTGCAAAAGCCTTTAAATGGTCTTTCAGTCTAGTTCTATAGGCTACACAATCATGGGGAAGACTGCTGACTTGACAGTTGTCCAAAAGACGACCATCGACACCTTGCACAAGGAGGGCAAGACACAAAAGGTCATCGCTAAAGAGGCTGGCTGTTCACAGAGCTCAGTGTCCAAGCACATTAATAGAGAGGCGAAGGGAAGGAAAAGATGTGGTCGAAAAAAGTGTACAAGCAAGAGAGATAACCGCACCCTGGAGAGGATTGTGAAACAAAACCCATTCAAAAATGTGGGGGAGATTCACAAAGAGTGGACTGCAGCTGGAGTGAGTGCTTCAAGAACCACCACACACAGACGTATGAAAGACATGGGTTTCTGCTGTCGCATTCCTTGTGTCAAGCCACTCTTGAACCACAGACAGCGTCAGAAGCGTCTTGCCTGGGCTAAAGAGAAACAGGACTGGACTGCTGGTGAGTGGTCCAAAGTCATGTTCTCTGATGAAAGTAAATTTTGCATTTCCTTTGGAAATCAAGGTCCCAGAGTCTGGAGGAAAAGAAGAGAGGCACTTCATCCACGTTGCTTGAAGTCCAGTGTAAAGTTTCCACAGTCAGTGATGGTTTGGGGTGCCATGTCATCTGCTGGTGTTGGTCCATTGTGTTTTCTGAGGTCCAGGGTCAACGCAGCCACATACCAGGAAGTTTTAGAGCACTTCATGCTTCCTGCAGCTGACCAACTTTTTGGAGATGCAGATTTCATTTTCCAACAGGACTTGGCACCTGCACACAGTGCCAAAGCTACCAGTACCTGGTTGAAGGACCATGGTATCCCTGTTCTTAATTGGCCAGCAAACTCTCCTGACCTTAACCCCATAGAAAATCTATGGGGTATTGTGAAGAAGAAGATGCAATACACCAGACCCAACAATTCAGAAGAGCTAAAAGCCACTATTAGATCAACCTGGGCTATCATAACACCTGAGCAGTGCCACAGACTGATCGACTCCATGCCACGCCGCATTGCTGCAGTAATACAGGCCAAAGGAGGCCCAACTAAATACTGAGTGCTGTACATGCTCATACTTTTCATGTTCATACTTTTCAGTTGGCCAACATTTCTATAAATCCTTTGTTTTTATTGGTCTTCAGTAATATTCTAATTTTCTGATATGATGAATTTGAGATTTTCATTTGTTGTCATTTGTAATCATCAAAATTAAACAAAATAAACATCTGAAATATATGAGTTTGTATGTAATGTATGAATATAATATACAAGTTTCACTTTTTAAATGGAATTACTGAAATCAATCTACTTTTTCATGATATTCTAATTTTATGACCAGCACCTGTATAGGGTTGGCCCTCTGCTGTACCGTTTTGTTGCTTTGGATCGGCTCACCAGGTCCAACTTTCTGTTCATACTTTGGGTTTTTTTTTCTTGGAGTTTTTTTTGGACACGGGGAACTGGGGAAAAATCTGACTCTGTTTTTATTTTGTCTCTTTGCAGAAAAGCAAAACAACTGATCTAAAAAGAAGTTCCAGAGATTAAGAATAAAATAATTCTTTTGAACCTCATGTTTGTCTCGTGTCCTCAAATATGTTGTGGCCTGGGTGGTCGTAACAACCCAGCTACGCCGCTTCGCTTCTTCTTCTTGTTTACTACTGGTGGTTGGCTTTGGTCGCAGTACCGCCACCTTCTGCTCTGGAGTGTAAACGCTTCGCCTATGAGAAAAAGGAGCAGCGCATGAACCGAACGCAACACACGCGAATCGAACCGAGACAGTCGAACCGAACGGTTCGGACAGTTTTCATAAACCGTTCCATCCCTAAAAAACAACAACCATGGCGGACAATAAGTAGTTCTAGTGCCGAGAGTAGTATCTATGTTTAACCATCTCTCAAAGATTGTGTTTTTAAAAATGGGAAAAGGTCGCTAGATGCGCTCCAGCACTACCATCCGGGTTTACTTCCGTTAACACAGAGCAAGCTTGCTTGTGACGTCATTGCATCCTCTACTGCTCATGCGGGACACTTAAGCTGTATGAATGCAGTTCATCAAAAACAAGTCGCATATGTTTGGAAATGTGAACAACAACGCAAAAAAAAATAAATCGGATTTCACAAAAAATCGGAATTGAGCATTAATGCCTGCAGTGTGAACGTAGCCTAATATTCCCTTCAAAATCACTCATACATAGCCTTCTAAAAGTATAAACACCCCTACTCACTTTTTCTCTCAATATAACTACAAATCTGTATTTATTTTATGTTATCCGTGCATAAAGTTTTAAGAAAGGATATTATTTACCACTTGATCTGAATCATGTTTAGTAAACTGATAATGATAAACATGAAGTTAGATGTGTTTCAGTCTTGGTTCATCATTTGAAATCCTAATCAAATAGAAGTTTGTGTTTTTTATGTAAGAACATGTAGAAATGATCCAGGGTCGCTGTAACCTGAGCAGTTATGGAGTTTCTTTAATCTCTACAGTCTTCAGTCTGTACTGTTGGGTTTAAATACGATTATAACTCTGCTTGTCAATAGCTACAGCCCAACAGCGCTTCTGGCAGCGGCGCTCTGGAACACGACCCTTCGTCAATCTACCTGCGTGTCCCCGTGGGCGAGGCCATCCCAGGGCCTCTTCCTCTGGGCGTGTCGGTTATCGATGCTTCTGTTGCTCTGTTCGGGGTGGTTTTCCCCCATGTTTCCTTCAAACACAGGTGAACAGTTTACCTGTCACAGTAAAGTACATGAACTTTTCATGAAGTCGGCTTTTTTTAGTATTTCACCTTTTTTTGTTTTGTTTTTTTACCAGTTTCTTTGCTCTATGTGTCTCAGGCTACAGATGTTAGATCACTTTGCAGAGTGTATAAAGCAAGCCAAAGGAGTTCGACAGCAGGCGGTCCAGCTGAACATATTTACTGCAGTGCTGAGTGCCCTCAAGGTAAGAAACCGGTGATGCTTCCTCTCCAAACGGGATCATTGATTATATTTTGAAATGTGTCGCTGATTGAAGGGTTTGGCGGAGAACAAGAGCACTTTGGGTCCAGAGGAGGTGCGCAAGTCGGCCCTGGCCTTAGTGATGGGAGCTCTGGACAACCCTAATCCCATTTTGCGCTGTGCTGCTGGGGAGGCCTTGGGTAGGATGGCTCAGGTGGTGGGAGAGGCCACTTTCATCGGCAGAATGGCACAAACTAGCTTTGATAAGTAAGCATAGCATGTTTTAAGTTTTTTTGTAGAGAATTTATAAATGTGAATAAACATATTTCCTCTGGATTATAAATCTTTAGAAATGTCTCTTGTTGATGAAAGCTATCAATTTTTTCTTGTCTTTCACGATGGGACTGAAGGCTGAAGTCGGCTCGGGACGTAGTTTCAAGGACAGGCCATTCATTGGCACTCGGCTGCCTCCATCGATACGTGGGAGGGATCGGCTCTGGTCAGCACCTCAAGACCAGCGTCAGCATCCTGTTGGCCCTCGCTCAGGATGGATCTTCTCATGAAGTTCAGGTATCGTATAGCGACTTTTAAAATCAACATATACATTTTTATTTTTTATAACTACACACATTTGTTTCCTGTTCATCTCTATTATCAGACCTGGGCTCTTCACTCTCTGGCTCTGATTGTGGATTCAAGCGGCCCCATGTACCGAGGTTATGTGGAGCCTACGCTCTCCCTGGTGCTCACTTTGCTCCTAACCGTGCCGCCATCTCACACAGAGGTTCACCAGTGTTTGGGCCGCTGCCTGGGAGCTCTTATTACCACAGTTGGACCAGAACTTCAGGGTAAGTTTGGGTGATGAGGCTTTTCTATGTTGCTTTAGAACACCTGCTTTCTTTCATAGTTGGGTCTTATTTGCCAGCAGGTGGCAGTAACAGATATTTCTAACAGGCCAACAGTCTAAACTTACCTCTTGAAAATAAAAAGCTTTTTATGGGGTTTTACACACATTTTATCTGGATAAAAAACATTTGGATAGTTTGGACAGATGGAAAGAGACTTTCTCCATACTTGTAACCTTAAAAAGCAATTATTCCAACACCAGTGAATGTATTCAGGAAGATGTTACGGGTTAGTTTGTCCTTCTTTCCTCCTCATACTTCCATTTTCTACTCCTGCTTGTCAGTTCAACCTTTACCACTCCATATCTTTAAATAAATTACTTTACATGTATGCACCTATGGTATAATTGTGCATCAGTTTGTTCTGTATAGTTGGATGTTCTTATTAGTTGTAGACATTAAGATTAGGAAAAATGTTCAAACTGCTTCATATTTAACTTGATTGTAGAGAATTATTATTTTATGCTTTTATTTTTCCATTTTAATTCCCATTTGGACTCACTGAGACATAGCAGATAATATCTCTAGTCAAACCAGTCATGTCTAAATGACCTTCTACTGGTTGATTTTAATCTATTTGACTTCCCAATCGGGGGTTGATTGGGAAGTGTTAGAAAGTGGCTTTTACATTTCATTTGCCCAGGAAATTACTTGCCCAGTATAATGTTTGATAAATATAGTTCCTAATATTCATTTTTGTATATATTAATGAAACATGTTTGTTTTTTAAATGTTTTTTTTATAATTCAGTAAGTTTCCAGGTTCCTGGTGTGTATATGCATGCGTCAGATAATGAACTCAAGCCTACATTACCATGTTAACATGCTTTTCAATCCTTCCTGCTCATTCTTTTCATATTAACTTTGCTTTAAACTGTTGTGTGCTTGGAAAAATATAAATCGTAATGTTAAAAATCTAAAAAACTTGACAGGTTAAAAACTTACATTACTACTAGTCACCAATTTAACATGTTTAGCTTTATAACATTTAAATGCACCACTCCAATGTCTAAGAGAAAAAATTTTTATGAACATTTTTTAATGTATGACCACTGTACAGAAGGCTTTCATATGATAGAAATATTTACACTGTGCGCATACAATTATTATTATTTTCCTAATCCCTGACTGATCATTTTTAATCTAGCGTGTATTATAGTATAGATTAAATTCATCATCCAGCTGCTACTCTACAGAATTCTCTCCCCAAGAGCTGAATGACGCCATCTAGCGGAAAATCACACGGCTTTTTCAAATCACGTGAGAATGTGTACAAAATAGAGACTGACACGGGAGTGGGTTTTCACTCCTGTCCTGTCCCACTCCCACAGAAAAAAATGGTGTCCCGTCCCGATCCCGGGCCAGAGTAGAAATCTAAATCCTGTCCCGTCCCACTCCTGGTGAAATTACTCCCACTCCCATCCCGCTCCCATTCAGAATGACTCCCGCTCCTGCACCACTCCCATTCTCTGTTGTTTTTGAGCGCGGGTGAAAAACTCTGAGCGGAAGTTACTATTGGTTTGCTCCCGCTCCCGTCTGCTCCCGTTAATGTTTAATCCTGTACCGTCCCAATCCTGTGATCGTTACTAATACTGATTCCCATCCCACGGGAATCCCGTGACCCATGGGATTCCCGAAAAAATGTCAGTCTCTAGTACAAAACAACAAAAATGGCGCTGGCAACGCTTGTGGGTCGTTTTCAGAGAATGTCGGTGATTTTAAAGTAATTTTGAGTGATAAATAATTTTTTTTTGCGATCATTACACTTGCCCGTTGGGCAAATGCAATGAAATTTGTACTCTCCCGACAATAAAAACTACTTGCCCCGGGCGATCGGGCGATGGTTAACATCGAGCCCTGCCAATGTATAAAACATCTAGAATGACTTTATAACTTTCCAAATTGTAAACATGGCTTCAGGGTTTGAACCACTAAAGTATTTATCATCTTAAAAATATAACTAATGTAAGGAACTTTTAATTAAACTAAGATGAAAAAAAAAAAAAAAAAGATTTATTAGTCCTTGCTCCAACATTTGCATTTTTTATTTTTACGTCTGTTTGTTAAAATCAGCTTCTATGTGTTTTTTTTCCTAGGAAATGGAGCAACTATTTCCACCATCCGCTCATCCTGTCTGGTCGGTTGCGCCATAATGCAGGACCACTCTGACTCCCTGGTCCAGGCAGCTGCCATCTCCTGTTTGCAGCAGCTGCACATGTTTGCTCCTCGACATGTGAACCTGTCCAGCCTGGTGCCCTGTCTCTGTGTAAGGGAGACACAAGTTCTATTTCATCCCTACTGACCGCCAGAGGCGGTGCTTCAAGCACTGAATGATCATTCATGCGCATGCGCAGGTCGAGTATTAATGACAACAAAGTCAGCTGTGACCTGCCGGGGACCCACGTGACTCTATATAGTCACGTGGCACCCGGCAATCAATCCCTTTTGTTCTTCTCGCGCGCAGGTGTGTTGAGTACAGGAGTGTGGTCGTGTGAAGCTGCTTGCTTCTGTGTATACCACTAGTTTCCTGGCTGCTTGTTGCTGGTAGCCCCGTGACCGGGTTTGGTCGGAGCTGCGGGTAAGTCTCGCCCTCCAGGGGCTGCACAAGCTGCTCTCACCTTACCAGATCTGCGGTGACTGGTAAGTTTTCGTTCTTTTCTCAGCAGTGGTTTACTGTTCGCTTTGATTTGCCACGTTAATTTTGTGGCTCTTTTGACTCACGGTAGCGTTTCTGCTGATGACGCTTGCCCCAACTGTCGCGTCATGCCCCGGTCGGTCAGACTGGATCGGTTGGCTGCACTGGAGCAGCCTACCGACTGGGCGGGCGCTTCGCCGCGTGCTCGTTTGCCGATGGAGAAAGCGGTGTGCAAACGTTCTACTGGGGCTGCACCTTCGGTACCGACAAACCGTGCTAGACGGACCGATGCAGGGAGGTTGTCCACGAAAGTGGATCATCTCACTGCTGAGCTGGCCCAAATGAAAGCCCTCCTCCAGTCCTTTCAGACTGCTGGTGATCGTGGCACGGCTCTCCCTACCGAGCAGGATGAAACGTCAGTCAATGACGACGATGCTGTTTCCGTGGCGGCCTCTGGCACCCATTTCTGTGAGGACCTTCCGCACTGCAAAAAAACATCTCGAAATAGGTAAAAACTGTCTTAAATTAAGTGTATTTACCCTTAATTTGAGTAGGTAAATAAGATGATCTGCCAATGGAATGAGTATTTTTACTCCTAAAATAAGATAATTAGATAATATACGCTTAAAATAAGACAAAGCAATTGTTTTGTTCTTATTTTAAATGTAAATTGTCTTGTTCCATTGGCAAAGTGTCTCACTTACCACCTCAATTCAAGAAAAAATGCACTTGATTTGAGCAAAAATGACTTATTTAGATTTCCATTTTTTGCAGTGCGGAGCTGGGCTCCGGGGCCTCTGGGTCGGACTCCATTGCCTCTCAGGAGGATACGGGGGAGTCTGTGACATCCGCTATTCGAACGGCTCTTGCCCGTTTACAAATTAGTGTTCCTCAGGCCCAGCCTGCGGCCTCCAGCGCCTTCTTTAGGCGCAGTAGGTCAGAGACTGCCTTTGTGGTTCCTCCCTCGGCGGAGTATGTGCGGGAACTGCATGCTTGCTGGTCAGACACCAAGGCGTTTTCACGTCTGACGACGGATGGCAGGGTCCTGGCAGCTATGCAGGAGGCACCCAAGGTTGGCTTGGGGCAGATGCCAGCGGTGGAACCGGGCATTGCCTCTCTTATAATCGCGCCTGATGAGGCCTTGCGGCCCAATGCCCGTTGTCCGCGTCCTCAGTGCCGTATTACCGACGACCTTCTCTGCAAGGCCTATGACTCTGGGGCCCGCATGGGCCGGATTGGGAACTCTCTCTCCCATCTTATGCTGGCCCTGTCTTCCTCCTTGGAATCTGTTCCGCTGGATCATGCCACGCAAGGCCTGGTTGATGCATCTCTGGAGGCCTTTGCTCTTATGACGAGGGAACTTGGACGCACACTCTCCACACTGGTTCATGCTCGCCGCCAGGTCTGGTTGGCGCAGTCACCACTAACTGAGCCTTGTAGGAGGACCCTCCGGGCCCTGCCTGTGGTCCCGGGGGAGCTTTTTGGTTCTGCGGCACTGGACGCCTTGGACCGTACGGCTCAGGCCTCTAGAACGAGGCAACAGCTGGCAGGGCTTCACAGACGTGATCGCCAGCCAGTAAGCACCTGGGCAGCTGCGGGTCCTTCACGGAGGTCCTTAGTGCCTTCTCCTTCTCCCACTGAGCCCCAGGGTCTGTTACCAGGTCAGAGATCGGTCCAGAGACCTGCTCTAGATCGGAGGAACAGAGCTCGAGACCAGGCTGGAACAAGGTCCTTTCATCCCTTTCGGGCCGCGCAGTCTGGCCGGCGCCCTCCTGGGCCTTCGAAGGGCCGGGGGACCCGCAGATGATGCCTTAGGGCCGGCGGTCGGTTATTTTTCCCCGGAACAGCTCAGCTTCTGGGCTGCCCACACCCCGGACTTGTGGGTGTTGTCCACCCTGTCCCGGGGGTACCGTCTTCAATTCCGCCGCCGGCCACCTATCCCTGGCTGGGTCAGGATGACTGTGATCCACGACCCGGTGAAGGCACAGGCACTGAACCAAGAAATCTGCACCTTGCTGGCCAAGGGTGCTATAGTGCCTGTGGACCCCCTGCTGGATCCAGGGGGCTTTTATTCCACGTATTTTCTGGTTCCGAAGAAGACCGGGGGCCTGCGTCCAGTCTTGGACCTCAGGGGCCTGAATGTGTACTTGAAGGCCATGCCCTTTCATATGCTGACCACCAGGGAAGTGTTGCAGGCGATTTCCCCGGGCGATTGGTTCACTTCCATAGATCTCAGGGATGCTTATTTTCACGTTCCGATCGCTCCGCCCCATTGGCGGTTTCTTCGTTTTGCTTTTCAAGGGAGACATTTCCAGTTCAGGGTCCTCCCGTTCGGACTTTCACTGTCCCCCAGGGTGTTCACCCGATGTGTTGCAGCGGCTCTCTCTCCTCTGCAGGCACAGGGATTGAGGATCCTCCCATATCTGGACGACTGGCTCATTTGTGCTGCGACGTGGGACCAGGCGGTTCGAGATACTCGGTTAGTGCTCCATCATGTGGGATGCTTGGGCTTGCAGGTGAACATGGAGAAAAGCAGTCTGACTCCCTCACAGGAGACTGTCTTCCTGGGCATTGCCATGGATTCCATCTCAATGACTGCTTGCCCGTCACCCCAGCGGGTGGACGGTATATTGAGCGTGCTCCCGGAATTCAGGCGCGGCATGGCGCTGCCTCTTGTGCGGTATCTTCGACTCTTGGGCATGCTTACAGCTGCGTCCGCCGTAGTGCCCTTGGAGCTGCTGTCATTGCGGCCCCTCCAGATGTGGTTGAACAGCTTGAATCTGGATCCCACACGGAACACTCATCGTCTCCGAAGACTTCGGGTGGGGCCTCAGTGTCTTCAGTCTCTGTGCAAATGGAGGGTGAGGTTGTTTATGACCACAGGGGTCCCGCTCGGTTCCCTCCCGTGTCGTCGGGAAGTTGTGTTTACAGATGCATCCTCCACGGGCTGGGGTGCAACCTGGCGGGGTCAAATGGCACAGGGGACATGGTCCCAGCGGCAGGGCAGGGAACACATCAATGTCCTGGAGTTACAGGCTGTACTTCTGGCTCTTCAGAGCTTTCTTCCGGGCTTGCGGGGGAAGCACGTGCTGGTGAGGTCAGACAACACCACAGTGGTCTTTCACATCAACCACCAGGGGGGAACGAGGTCAAGGAAACTGTTGTGCTTGACTCGACGGCTTCTGACCTGGGCAGCTCCACGCATAGCCAGCCTCAGAGCAGCCTACATCCCAGGGCCGGAGAACGTGCCAGCAGATTTTCTATCCCGTCAGAAGCCGCTTCCAGGGGAGTGGAAGCTTCACCAAGAGGTGGTGGAGTGCATCTGGAAGGTCTTTGGCAGGGCGGACGTGGACCTCTTTGCCTCAAGGGACGCATTTCATTGTCCCCTTTGGTTCTCGTTGGACAACAGCAGCCCTCTGGGCCACGATGCTCTGGCACACGACTGGCCCCGGACCCTCCTTTATGCCTTTCCGCCATTCAGCCTACTTTTTCAGACTCTCCTCAGGGTACGTCAGGAGGGGCACAGGGTCCTGCTGGTGGCCCCCTACTGGCCAGCGAGGACTTGGTTTCCTCTACTGTGCGAGCTCAGCTCCGGCTCGCCAATGCGTCTCCCCTCCAGGAGAGATCTTCTTTCCCAGATGGGGGGTCAGATCTTGCACCCCGAACCGGACCGGCTCCAGCTCTGGATTTGGCCCCTGCAAGGCCGGGGTCCACCTTCTCGAGATACACTGGGTCCATAGGGCATACAATGGCTAATGCATGGGCGCCGTCCACGCGAGCTGTCTATGCTAACAAGTGGACGGTCTTTGCCACCTGGTGCCGTGATAGAGGGCAGGACCCGGTTCAGTGTTCAGTTTCTGACATACTGACCTTCCTGCAGGCATTGCTGGACCAAGGACGGTCTCCATCTACCTTAAAGGTGTATGTGGCTGCCATTTCCTGTTGGCATGTTGGGCTGAATGGTTGTTCTGTGGGCCGAGACAAGGATGTTGTACTGTTTTTTAAGAGGTGCTCGGCGTTTGCACCCACCCAACCGCCCTGTGGCACCGGCGTGGGACCTTTCTCTTGTGCTTGAGGCTCTTCGGTCCCTCCCATTTGAGCCCCTGGCGTCGGCGGACCTCAAATGGCTCTCACTGAAGACTGCGTTCCTTTTAGCTATGGTTTCCGCAAAACGTGTAGGGGAGTTACAGGCTCTCTCGATAGCCGAACCCTGCTGCCGGTGGAATCCTGATGGCTCAGGCGTTACACTGTGGGCTGACGTAGCGTTTATTCCTAAGGTATCACTGCCAGCAGGCAGCACCCAGCCTCTCCATCTTGCCCGGTTTGACTCCGGAAGTCCCTCTGAACCACTGTGTCCTGTTCGTGCCCTTGAGACATACATCAATGCCACGGCATCCTTCCGAAAGACAAATAGCCTTTTTGTTTGCTACGCTGGCTCACGGAAGGGTCAGGCACTTTCTAAGCAGCGACTTGCACACTGGGTTGTGGATTTGATCTCCAAGGCTTATGCCTTGCAGGACCGGCCACTGCCGGCGGGAGTGAAATGCCACTCTACAAGGGGCATGTCGACATCGTTTGCTGCTATGACTGGGGTGCCATTGGATGTTATATGCCGTGCGGCCTCCTGGAAATCACCTAGTACCTTTACTCGGTTCTACAGGGTGAATGTGGCTGCGCCCCATCCGCTTCAGGGAATCCTCGAGCAGCATGCCTCTACATCACATTAGGTGGGTGGTGTAGTCGTTGTTCCTTGAATGTTGCTGATTCCTCGTGACCTTGTTGATATGAGTCATCCAGTGCTTGAAGCACCGCCTCTGGCGGTCAGTAGGGATGAAATAGAACGAAAGTTACTACCGTAACTACGGTTCTATGAATCCCGGATGACCGCCAGAGTGCTTGGTCCCTCGGAATCTCTGCTTTCACGAGAAGATTGAGGGATTGATTGCCGGGTGCCACGTGACTATATAGAGTCACGTGGGTCCCCGGCAGGTCACAGCTGACTTTGTTGTCATTAATACTCGACCTGCGCATGCGCATGAATGATCATTCAGTGCTTGAAGCACCGCCTCTGGCGGTCATCCGGGATTCATAGAACCGTAGTTACGGTAGTAACTTTCGTTTTACTCCCCAGAAGGGAACAGATTGAGCTGATTTCATTTGTGATTTCTAACTTTGTTGTGTGATTTGCTGCAGGTTCACTTGTGCAGTTCTCACTTATTGCTGCGTCGTGCCGCTGTAGCGTGCCTTAGACAGCTCGCCCAGAGGGAGGCGGCGGAGGTCTGTGAGTATGCCATGAGTCTGGCAAAGAAGGCAGGAGACGGCAAAGACAACTCAGCAATCAGTGAGTATAAGTCATTAGCTTGATAAGGCCGATCCTGTTGGATGATATTGGTTCACCAAGATACTGACTCACATTGTCCTTGTGTGCGGCTCAGAACTAAACATAACAGAAACTGGTTTGGAAGGCGTTCTGTTCGGCATGCTCGACCGGGAGACCGACAGGAAGTTGTGTTCAGACATCCATGATACTCTGGGTCACATGCTGTCATCTCTTGCTGTGGAAAAGCTGTCTCATTGGCTCAAACTCTGCAAAGACGTCCTCGCAGCAACAACAGGCAAGTTTTCCCATTGGGGGGGGAAAAAAAATCACCCCAAATGATCGCCTCATGAAAATACTCTCACCCTCTTTCAGACGTGGGGGGAGCCGTGACATTTGAGATGGAGAAGGATGAGGAGGACTCAGAGAAAAAAGATGAAATGGACGACGACACCATGTTCACAGGCCTGGGAGACGATGACAAGTCCAAGCCCTCTGTGGCGCCTCGCTGGGTGACCCGGGTGTTTGCTGCAGACTGCTTGTGCCGCATCATCCTGTTATGTGAGAACGCAAACAAGGCGCACTTTGACCTGGCAACTGCACGCTCTGCACAAGCAAAGAAACCCAAAGGTATCATTATATACCATGCTCCTGGTGTATACTAGCATCCTAATCTTTTTTTCATGCATTCATATATTTCTGTTTTTGCCTGAGTAAACGGTAAAAGATCTCAGAGCCCCTGGGGAGCTCTATGGTCTACTTATAGGAAATAGCTGATCCATGTGTGTTTCCAATGAAGACTGAACAAAGGAGACGAGTCAGCAGAACTGGGAGAGTTTTTCCACTATGATAGATGAAGGAGCCTGTATTTATATTAGCGTCTCTGGAACAAGCAAACTCAGTGCAGAGCAAACGTGGAAGAGCTGCAGCGACTGGGATTTTATTGTTGCTTGTTCAATAATCAAGACGACTTGCAAAAGTATTCAAACCCCTTTAACTTTTTCACCTTTGCCATATTAAATGACTGATGTTTATGTATTTCTCCGGGAAGCTTCTTTCAGATGGACAACATTCTCTGCCTCTGCTGTCGGTGCAGCCATGAGGTCTGCTGTGCCTGTTGTGGTGTAAAGTAAAGGATGCCATCAAGTTTCCCTCATTAAGAAGGGGGACCAGATGTCTGATGAGAACTAATAATCTAGCTCACTGTGATACAACTAGCTGCACACATTTAGTGTGTTAAAATACCACTGATTATTGTGAAACAGGATTATTTTACATTAGGGGTGGAACGGTTCACAAAATCCACGGTTCGGTTCGGTTCACGGTTTCGTGGTCACGGTTTTCGGTTCGGTTCGGTATATGTTGATTGTTACACTGGAAAAAAATCGAAATTTAGATTTCGATTTTTGCATGAAATTTAAATTTCATGCAAAAATCGAAATCTAAATTTCAAAAGGACAAAAAAACATTAAAGTTTGGAGCTTCAATGTGAGAATATGTGTCAAAATGCAGCAATTGTATGAAATATTTCTCATTTAGAGCAAATCTTAAGTCTTAATCTTTAGCCTTAAAGTCAGTATTTGTTTTCTATCAACTTTGCTAACACAACTATTGCAAAACTAATACAAAAAAAAACATTTTCTTCTAATTAAAGGAACATCAGACCCTAAACAAGGACATTAAAACCTGACAGTCTCATAATATCTATTTTTCTTTGTTGATGATGACGGTTCATTTAGATCAGACTTCTGCAAACATTGCCTGTAAATTGGTTGTCACCTCTCATAGACCACTCGTTTCTTTCTCCATGTCTTTCCATTCATTAGATCTGTTGGTGCTCCATTTGTCTGACCTGATCCGTATGGCCTTTATGGCGGCTACAGACCACAGTAACCAGCTGAGGATGGCTGGTCTGCAGGCCCTGGAGGACATAATTAAAAAGTTTGCATCTGTACCAGAGCCTGAGTTCCCAGGGCACGTTATATTGGAGCAATACCAGGCTAATGTGAGTTATAAATGGTTTCAGAAGTCTTCAGTGAGTAAAATTAGAGAGAGAAAAAAAGGACTTAATGGAAATTTTATGCACTTAGGTTGGAGCTGCCCTCAGACCTGCATTTTCTCCTGATACACCATCTGATATCACAGCTAAGGCATGCCAGGTAAACTGCTCTGTTCAGCGATATTTCTTTTCTTTTTGTGTGTGTTATTTCTTTTTATAACCCTTACTAAAGCTCTGTACTTTAGAAGTCGTCTCACTGGGCCCTCAAGGGGATTGCAGCCACTTCAAAGATATTTACAGATTAGTTTACTGTGTTTTATGAGATTTATGAGATCTAAATTTGAGGCCTCCTTCTTTAAATGTTCCAATTTTTCCAGTTTATTTCTGTTTTGTTTTGAGCTTTGAAAAGAACTTTGTGCTTCAGAGTCTATAGAAATATAAAGACGAAGTTAAAGAAATGCTCACAAAAAAGAACTGCATGCACATGTTTCATAAATAAATAGATTTATCGTAAAAGTGTTGACTAATCCACACTGGGTCAAATTTGTACATGTAAGTTCAACACATGAATGCATCCCTACAAGAATGAAACTGTCCTTTAGAGAGCTACACCTGAACCCAGCACAGTCTTTCAGCCATGGTTGAACTAAAGCTAAGTTTTTACCAGGAAATTTACCCACTTAAGTACCTCGTTTTGTATCGATGCATCGATCCAACAGCCGATGATCCGATGCATCGACACGTCCGCAAGAGAATCGATTCATGTTTTTTTTTTCCTCCGGTCTATTTTTATCCATTTGCTCCTGGGCATAATTCTCCCTCCCGTGCTGCGGTGGCGCTAAACCTATTTTCCCCTCCTACCTCGCTTCCTGGTTATACTCTTACAGCAGTGTGCTGCAGTGAGCTTGACACAGACATTTTTAAATTATGCTTAATATTGAAGCGTGGTCTGTGCTACACACTGTGGGTCTAGATACGGCCGAGGCGGCGAGGAAGTGGGGGCGAGTTTAGTCCGACGATGGAGGGACATGAGGGCCAAAAAGAGCGGAGATCCAGGTGGAAAAAGGGTCCCAGGGTTTTCGCACACCTCGCTCTTCTAGCGGGTCGAACTTCACAAGTTGTTTTCCGCAATTTCGTCATAAAAACAAAACAAGCTGTCCTCCTGTCTGCGGCACTGTCTGCGGTCAGCTACAATTTGGGAGAGGAGCACCGGAGCGTCTGCGGAGGGGGCGGGGACGTCTGGAGCCGAGGTATTGCATTGCACTCATTGCACTGATTTTGTGCAGTATTTTAAGATGCAAGGCCTTTCAGAATCTATAACGCAGGGGTATTATTATTTTTCAGTGAATGAGGTTTTAATAGGAATAGGTAGAGTACAACTTTTCTGTTGTTATTTGCTGTTGTTTCTCAAAAAATTGCATAACGATATTACAGCTTTCATTGGTTTATTTCAAATTTGAAACATTGTCTAGCCTGTAAGCTGTATAAAAAAAAAAAAAAAGAACCAATGAATCGAATCATATCGTGGTGTTTTTTTGAGTATTGAAAGTAATCGAATCGTTGGGTCAGGAAACCGATACTGAATCGAATCGCCAAAACTCCACCAAATCTATGTAGGGATGTTTGTCAAAATTCAGGGTTTCCGCGGGTCATTAAAAATCATTAAACTATTACTCTTAAGGTCTTAATTTGCATTATAATTAATTAAATTATTCAATTATCCTGGTATTTAAAATTATTTATTTAAAAAAAATATACGATCTAAAAAAAAAAAATTCGACAGATGTATTATATCGTGATATATTTGCGCGGACCTGCTTCCGGTTGATCGTAAAGCCGTCGATCGGAAAAGAAGCTCGAGGCGCAGAGAAAGCTGGAGAATGGGGGGAAAATGCAAATTTCAAGAAAATGGGCTGAAAAATGAGGAACTCTGGACATGGCTGCAGCCTGTCGACGGTAAAGATGACGAAGGATTTTGTTATATATTGTTGATGGCATTGAAATTATTTCTAAGAGCATTAAAAAAGCATTTAAAAGCATTAGAGTTACTCATTCCTGTGTAAACCCTGACATTTTTGTACTTATGTTAAATTTGACACTTTTTTGATTAGGTAGACTCGAAAATAAATTCAAACCCATTCCTAGCTGTGCTCCTTACAATTCAAATAAAATGAACAAAATTGCTATGGCACCTTGATGCAGACTTTATTCTTTATCCTTTGCTGTCATTGTTCGAAGACTTATCAAGACTAACGCCTGTTTTCTGTTTGTGTTTAAAGGTGTGTAGTACTTGGATTGGTAGTGGCGTAGTCAGCGACCTCAACGACCTGCGGAGAGTCCACAACCTGTTGGTTTCATCTCTAGACAAGGTGCAGTCTGGGAGGAGCTCCTCCAGTCAGCTGTACAGTGAGAGCGCCACCACCATGGAGAAACTGGCAGTGCTAAAAGCCTGGGCTGAGGTGGGGTGGAAGATTTTAATATTTGATCATTTTTACGCCAAACATAATCTGATCCTGCTGGCCGTCTGTTTTGGACAGGTTTACGTGGTGGCGATGAAAATCAAGAAGGAGGCAGAGGCTAAACCTGCCAAACCAGTTGGAAGAGGAGATGAAGATGAGGATGAGGATGATTTGGGTGCAGATGTGCTTCCTCCAGACAGCTTGATCACCTTAGTGCAGCCAGAGCTGCCGTCTCTGAGCAGACTGTGGCTGGCCATGCTGCGGGACTACGCTCTGCTCACTCTGCCTGCTGAGTTCTCCAGTCAGCTGCCTCCTGATGGTACAGGACCAAGTATTTTCTACAAAATTGTTTCCTTTTTTTTTTAAAAACTTCTGTTTTTCTGGAAGATTTCAGGTTTGTTTGAATGGTTTTATATTTAATATAGTGATGCGCAAAGTAATCCTAAAGCTTCATGTAGAGAAATATCACCGCCAAGTTTGCATAATAAAGGCCCTTTCTAGTCAGCAAGTTAGAATATCAATAGTAAAGTCATTTTTTTCAGTAATTTAGAATGTAAAACTAATTCAACATAGATTCATGTGTTAAGGATTATGGGTTAAGGCCAAACTAACTCCCTAAATTAGGTAAAAGTGTGGCAGAAAATGGTGCATAATCGACAGATTCTTCTTCGGGGTTCTCAGTTTTAAAAAGTCTAATTAAAAAAGCATAACATGAACAAATACATATAGAAAAAGAAAAGTGTGCAAAAATATATATATATATTTTTAACAAAAGATAGAGAGAACCAGTTATTTTTAAAATGGGATCATCACATAAATTAATTATGTTGGTTTTGTAAAAAGCTAAAATCTGTAGTTGGCCGGTTTAAGAAACACTTTCCATTTAATGCGTGTTTTTTTTTTTTCTCAGGTGGAGCATTTTATACCCCAGAGACGATAGATACCGCAAGACTCCACTACCGTAGCTCATGGGCCCCTGTGCTGCACGCTGTGGCCCTCTGGTTGAACATCACAGGCTTTGGAGCTCATGATAATCAAGAGGATGTCTCATCAACTCCCACCAAAGGTCCAGGCGCTCCTCAAGGAGGCTCTTCTGTGAGCAAACCTTCGGAGGAGTCGGTCAAAGACAGAATGCATCTTATGCTTGGTAAGGAATCTTGGAGCCTCTAGCAATACTCTCTGCTATATTTATCTATTTTCTTTGCAGCTAAATTCTAGATATTAAATGAAAAGATGAAAAGAACTCTTAACATCTCTCTCAGGTGTCAGCATAGAGTTTCTGTGCTTCCCCCGACCTGAAGAGCCCATAGAACACGTGATGTCCTGCCTGCAGGCTCTGTCCACTCTGCTAGAAACCCCTTCTGCTAAGATGCATATGGCAGAAGACCAGGTATGGAAGAACCTTAAATTGGAACATTTCTGTACTAATATTTTGCAGTGAAATGATATAATTTGCATCAATCTATTAAACTTTAGGAACCTTCTTTCTTGTTTAAAGTATACATTATATGAATATTTTTAGATTAGATTAGATTAAACTTTATTGTCATTACACAGGTACAGGTACAAGGCAACAAAATGCAGTTTAGGTCTAACCAGAAGTGCAAAAGCAGCAAGTGCAGGATAAAAAATGGTTCTATAAATACAGGACGTGGGTATTTCTACTGAATGAGTATAGAGATGAATACTATTATAAATAATGAATATAATATATAGATAACTAGTGTTATGAACTAAATTTACAGCTGGATATGTACCGAATATAATATACAGGTGGATATTACTATTAAAAAAAAGGTTTTTACAGTTATGTACAATAGCATAATATACAGATGGGTTTTACTATAAAATTAATAAGTAGAGTTTGGCCAGAAGCTATCTAAATTAAAGTGCAGTGGAAGGTAATTGCATTTTCTATATATATGTGTGAAATGAGAGGAAAGTGGGAAATGTATAAAGTTTTCTAGAAATAAAAATCAGAAAGCAAAAATTTTGGATTTGTACATGAAGAGGGTCTATTCCTGTTTGAAAAATAATGTCAGTCTAACAGGATGGAATCCAGGAGAGAATCTGTCAGCATCAACGGAAATCAAGCTTTTCTGGCCAAGTTTGAGCAAAGAGCCTGAATGTTATGCTGCATCTTTTCAGCCTACAGATATTTCATAATTAATTATATTAAACACACCGAGGTATCCTGATTTAAACATTTCATTGTGTCTCTAGTTGTATGTGGTCCTGCTGGAAGGGAAATCTTCCCAATCCCAAGTCTTGCAGGTTTTGATAGGGCTGCCCTGTATTTAGCTCTGTTTATTTATGCTTTTTTTCTGCTCCTCCATTAAGACCATATTTGTAAAGTTTTAAAGTTTCTCCAAAGTTCATGTGGTTGGCCTGTATTTAATTTAGGAGTATTAGAGTAATGCTGGCTTGATCACATATGATGGTTTTAGTTCATCTTTATGAAAATAAGATGGTTTACAGTTTGTCAGATGAAGGGATTTACATTTGTTACATTTTAAACTGATATTTCTGATCAACCGTTTCCTCGACCCTAATGTAGCTACTAGCAGTGGAGCTCCTGAATGTGCTCCATAGGCTACTGCTGACAAGGGATCCACCTGGAGTCCAGCTTCAGGTCACCGCTGTTGTCCAGGAGATCATCAGAGCTGCACAAGATCATCTGCAGCAGCGAAGGGACACCAGAGGTTAGGAATGTTATGCTTACAGCTAAGAACGGACGTGTTCTGTCTGCCGATGTCTGAAGCGTCTCTTGGGTTTGATGTAGGGAAAGAAGAGGAAGGTGAGAAAGATTCTCCAACCAGCCTGGGAGAAGGCGGGGACACAGGGGAGCTCTTACCTGGAAAGTCGCTTGTTTACGCCGCCATGGAGCTGCTAGTGTTCATTCTGGTGCGCCACCTACCGCAGCTTAATTCTCGGGTGAAGGAGTCCCCCAGTCATGCTCCTCTGAGACCTCAGAGACTGCCGGATGAAAGCGCTCGCCTGGTGGCAAACACAGTCTCTATCCTGGCCGAGCTGCCTTCGCTGTGCTCTCCTGCTGGTGAGGCCAGAGGCAAACAACAAGCTGAAATGAATCCAACCAAAATCCATCCTAAATTATTCTTTTTGTCTTGACAGGAGCAACAACCATTCTTCCTACAGTGCTTTTCCTAATCACTGGGGTATTGAAGGAAACTGCAATTAAAGCTGCTGACAACTCTGTGCCTGTTCCTGTAGCAGCTGCTCTGCAGAGCATTAAGACCATCATCACCTCACCCCTGGCCCGACAGGAGAGCATCCAGACCCAGTGGACCACCCTGGTTAGGAGCAGCCTTGCATCAGTGCTGGAGTACTCGCAGCCAGGTAAAGCAAAAACGCATATTTAAATAAAAAAATGGATCTCAGTTTTATTCTTTCTAATCATAAAAGTAAAGTTATGAAGCAACTTCACAAACAGAATTACACCATGCGTTTTATTTTTATAGATGAGTCCAGACCTGACATGGATGAGGTCAGTATGTTGACAGCAATAACTCTCTTCCTGCTGTCAGCCAGTAGTGAGCTTGTAGGAGTGATCGTCCTGCAGAACGGCTGCATGGATCGCTTCCGAAACGCCCTCAACTCTAGTGATCCCTGGGTAAGAAAATACAAACACACACAGGAGGGACAATATTTTCTCATTTTGAATTTAAAGGCCCCAAACTATAAAAGTATCAACAATGAGGCTCCCAGAGCATGTTTTTTTTCTGTTTGTGCAGGAAATTCCTCTCAGATTAGGCAGACAGCCAACACAAAAAATCTCCTTATTCAGCCCTCCTCTGGATGAGCTGTTTTGGAGTGAATTAATTTAACATAAGCATTATTTTTTCAGAAAATAGAGATTTGTAAAGTATGGTTTGCATTTGATTCCGCTAGGTTGCAGCTGCAGTTTTGTTGGAGGATGTTTCTTCCAGCATCGAACACCCAGAGACAGAAACTGTCATCCATCCTTCTTTGCAAAATGGCTAAAACTTGTTTGGGTTGGATGGAGAATTAATGTTCAGTCTCAGTTTTTATATAACAGGGTTACCGCGGGTCCTTAAAAAGTCTTAAAAGGCATTGAATTCTTCAAAATAAAACTAAGGCCTTAATTGGTATTAAAATGTCTTAAATCAGTCTTATTTTTTTAAAACATCATAAATAAGATTATTTTTATTACAATTTATTTTTGTAATCAAAATAAAACATTAAAATAAAATAAAAAACATTTTTTATTTAAAAGAAAATAACGGCTCTCCGTTATTGGTTCCGTCCCGATAGCAGAACCAATAAAAGCGTTGTTGTGGCCGGGACATTTGGGAGATGCACCATTAACTTTTTATCTGGAAAATATGAACAAGTGTAAATGTAACGAAAATTGGCTCCAGCCAAGAGTTTTCTCCATGGCTAAAACCAGGGAACATACATGAGGCTCAGTGTATTTTGAGCATGAAGCGATTCAAGCTCTGAACGATGGGAATTAAGGCAGTGGAGTCGCACATGCGAAGCACGAAACACAAAGTGTCAAAATCGAGTTACCGCGAAACAGCCGGTATTTCTCAGTTTTGTTCCACCCTTGTCTCTGCAACGCCTCCACTTATCACCAAATCAAACATACCAAGAAAACCATACAAAGAAAAATAGCTGCAAAAAAGACTTAGCACTGGTTATGCTGTGGCTTTAAAACTGATTTGTTTTGTTCCCTGCTAAAACAAAGTTTGTGAATTCAGTTAAATAATTGTTAAAATATATCTGTCATTTGTGTGTTTTTAGCTTTCTTCCTGTATGGGAAGCTTTTAAAAATTTGAAACATTAGTGCAGTGGTTTATGTTAAAATAGACCTTTGTTTCTTTTGAATTTGGTCTTAAATTTGTTTCTTTTGAATTTGGTCTTAAATTTTTATTTCAAGTGGCATTAAAAAGTCTTAAAAAGTCTTATGCTGTAGGAACCCTGTAGAACCTATAAAATGTATTCTTCCTGAATTGTCCAGTTTTATAAACAATCCATCTAAACATCAACTCTAACTTCACATTAAAATTTGTTATGTTCAGTGGTTCTTGGGATGCATTTTTTTCACTAATATTCTTTAACAAATATCTTACTCTGTACAAAACAGCTAACTACACACAGGTGGACTACATTTACTTATTAGTTGACGTCTGAGGGAATTTAGTTGCAGGATATTAGATTAGATTAACAGAATCACACCTTTAGCATTTTATTTATAAAATTCTAATGGATTCTAATGCAAATTTCAAATAAAATATGCATAGTTTTGTTCTAACCTAAAAAAAAAAAAAAGGTTTGAATACTTTCCATATTTAATCCCACCAAGTAGACACAAATTACACTTTTGTTTCCTCAGGTTCAAGCTCGGTGTTACCAGCTGCTTCTGTCAGTGTTTCAACACTCCAACCGAGCCTTGTCCACTCCTTACATCCACGCCCTCGCTCCACTCATGGTGGAGAAGCTAAAGGCGGTGGAACGCAGCCGACCGGGAACTGCTGCTGAGCTGCAGGCCGTACAGGAGGGCATCAGGGTCCTAGAGAATCTGGTCGGAATGGGGGAGGAAAAAAACAGTGAGTGCTTTTACTTAATGGACCTCTGAAGTGCTCTTCTATTGTTATGATGCCATGTTGCCTTAGCTGCAGAATTTAGAGCTCAATGCATCAGATTAAATTTAGAATCCCACCGCTATCTTAATGTCAGTTTTATTATTGATTTTACCATAACATTATATCATAGCGCACATTCTCTTTTCCTTTTAAAAATGACTCTTCACATCCAGAAGTTGTTCATATTTAGGCATTCTGTTGTTGTTTTTTGTTCTTAGGTGAGCTGAAAGATGCTAATTTTTATTTTTTTTATGTGTACACCTTTTTTTAAATATTTTTATTAATATAGTAATAACTTTGCTTGTAAAAGCAAATAATCCTAACCAAACGAACAACAAATCCATTGAACTTTATCCGAATGCTTTGGTCAATAGAGATACAAATAGAGCTTTAAACAGCAGATACTAGGATTCTGTGGTAAAACAAAGAAATGTTGGTGGAAAAGAAACAAACATCCTCTCTTCGGTTTTGTGTAGGATCTGAGGGTCTGTTTGTTTTGGAAAACTCTTGAAAACCTTGTTAGAATAGCTGCCATTTTGGAATCTTTAAGTATTAGGGTGTTGTAAATATGGGCAGATACAGTCCTAATGGTCCCATAGTGAGGAAATGTGTCCTTAGAGAGCAGCATGGTGCTTCACTGCGCAGCATTCTTTGGTGAAAGTTACCTGCTTGGGGACTTAAACTTGTTACACACTCAGCAAAAACCAAGAACTGTGTTCTTGTTTCCAAAGTGACAAGAAGAAAGAAATTGATTTTGCCTCCATATATTCATGTTTCACGAGAAGCTCAGCTGCCAAACTCATAGAAAGGCCAATACCCACAAAAGTGAACACAAGAGCAACACAATAGCAGATGAGGCATTATGGGGGAGAGCAAAATGCTTCGTATTAGATGTAGTGTTGTACAAATGTTCATATTTTCTCACTGCCTCTGCCAGTGGATCCTCAAAACTCTCCATAACAAAACAGATCACTGTACCTGTATTAAAGGGGGAGATTGCTGACCTTAATACAAAATGGGAAAAACATCTCTGCTTTGGCTACTTTACTGCTAAGAAAGTTCTGCCCAGACGCTGTGTTAAGAGCAAGCAGTGAGAATCCCCGATACAGGGCTGGGAGAACAAAATAACGTTCTTTAATTCTTACAGCTCTGAAACAGAGAATAAAGTTCACTCCTGGCAGAATATGTAAAAAGCCTAAAAGTGTCAGTTTGAGATTCCTGCAGCATCTTCTGGATGCAAACACCTTGCTCTCTAACCACTAGGTCACTACTCACCCCAAAATCTGGTCGCTTTTGCCAGAAAACTGAAAAAGGACTTCAGAATTTGAAAACCAATATAATACTCAGTGGTTGAATGAACATGGTACAGCCTAAGCACAGGTTGGGTTGCTTTTTCAGTTTGACTCGGTCTGTAACAGTGGAGAACAGTGCAACCATGACTCCAATTGGTCTCAAAGTCTTGATTCTGAATGATCTGCATTTACTGTTAATTTAATACATGTGTTGTTTGGTTCAACAGGAGTGCAGCTGTTGGCTCTTCTCGTTCCAACCCTCATCTCCTACCTTTTGGATGAGAATGCCATCTCCTCCGCTCCCCCAGTCTCTAAAAACCTGCACGATTTTGCCCTTCAGAACTTGATGCGAATCGGCCCACTGTATCCAGCTGCCTTCAAGACAGTAATCGGGGCAGCACCAGAGCTTAAAACGCGTCTTGAGTCCGCTATACGAGCTAACCAGGCCAGCAACAAAGCCAAGGCAGCAGCCAAGCAAAATCAGCCAACTGTGCAGGCTGCGCCTACGATTAAACTCAAGACCAGCTTCTTCTGAGCACCTCAACATGTACTGCACTCTCTCAAAACACTTTATGCTGTGTTGGCGTTTTTTTTTTTTTTCCTGATGGCCATTTACTCCTTACCATATTTGTTATTCATCTCTGTTGTAAAATGTATATATTTATTCTTCATCTCATCTTTGTTTTAAACTATTCTAAAAGTCTAAATGGTCGTTTGTAAACAGCATTAAATAACCTTTTGATCACTTTAGAAAGCCTGCTTTAACATCTCAATAATTTATTTGATGAATGTATCACATGCAGGCTTAACTTTTGTTCCCTATAAGTGACGAATACCATTTAACCTTAACTCCAGACTGAGGTTTAGCCATGTTTTTCATCTGATTTTCACCACCATTATGGAGGTTACTTTGTCTCACAAAGTATAATTCTGTGTATTTGTTAAATAGTTCTTGCAGTATCTGAACCTTCAGTTCTGCCACGTTTATTTAGTTTTAATTAATATTTTTGCTGTGAATTATGTCTTAACATTCCTCCTAAAAGCGATGGAACAAAATTAAAAAGTGGAGCCAGCTTTGAGATTGTGTTGAAATGTTTTTCTTTTGCTAATGAAAGGCGTAGGGTATATTTTGAAATTTAATGATTGTGCTTCAGATTACATTAACTGTTTTTCCCCATGAAGGAATGGCAACCCTCACTTGTATTCACTGCTAATAATTATGTAAACATTAATTGTTTAAACAATTTAAGAATTTTGGGGGAGTTTGAATAAATTTTCTTTGACTCATCTGTGTTTTCTGAATGTTGTGGACTTCACCTTATTGTTTTTATGAAGCCAGAAAAACGGTAGTCCAGTGAGGAAGAAAATCTTGAAATGTTCATGTCTTATGATTATATTCTGGAAAAGAACCACGAAAAAAAAAAAGCTGGACTGGAGGTATTTTTGCAAATGAAACATTTTACTTAATACTTCATTTATTCATATCTATCCATCAATTACTCATATTTATAGAATTATAATAAAACTGCATCTCAAGCACTTGGCTATGTTGACTATGGCTTGAGTTGGTTTTTACAGGACCAAGTTGTGTGCGATTAGACCACGTCATCTACTGCTGTTACTCCACTTTTTATGTCCAAATTCTAACCAGTAACCTACCAGGACATTATAGTTGTTCACAAGTCCCTCTTTTAACAAGCATAAATTGTGAATTGATTAAAACAATTTGGACTTTAACGTGGCAGCAGGTCAGGCGCATTGCTCCCATTCAATGCAACACTGGTGCAGATTTTATGTACAGTAAAAGTATTAGTGTAACTTTTGTAGTACTCATCGAGGTACTTTTAGTGGGCTTACTTTTCAATCTTAAAACAATTTACTTATTAAATAGATTTTCTAAAATAAGATAACATAGCCTAGATAATTGTCATGTAATTAATCAAAAGTAAACATTTTAAGTATGTGAATAATCTATGTGTTTATTCTAATAAATTAAGGTGATTAAGTGCTTTCATAACTAATAAACTTTGTATTAAAATCTTATTTGCGCATTTTTTTTTTTATTGATTTGTGGAATTTTAGACTACGGAAGAGGATTAGGGCCACTGAGGAAAAAAAAAAGTTAACTGATTTTTAAATTTTTTCATTTCAATATTAGAAATAAGTCCGAATTCTGACTTTTTTCCTCAGAATTCTGACTTTAATCTAAAAATTCTGACTTTTTTCCCCATATTAAACTCAAATAAATTTTAAAAATCTGTAAACTTTTTTGTTGTTTTCAGTGGCCCTCATCCTCCTTTGCAAACTGGAGATAGGCTCCACCCATAGTCATAAGAAAAAAGTCAGAATTCTGAGATTAAAGTCAGAATTCTGAGAAAATAGTGAGAATTCTGACTTTAATCTTAGAATTCTGACTTTTTCCCCCACATTAAACTGAAATAAAATGTAAAATTCTGTTAATTCGTTTTTTTCAGTGGCCCAAATCCTCTTCCGTATTAGTTCCCCCAAAAATGGATGGTGTAAAAAAAAAAGGTGATTTGGTCACTTCCTGTGTGTGCTCTCCGGATAGTCCGGTGGACAAATCGAGCGTTTCATTCAGCTTGTTGTGGGCGTGGCTCCGTTGCTGGCGTCACTAGATGACAGCTAGCTGTCAGAAAGTGAGTTCACCCTGAGTCGAGTGGAAGGAGCGTAGTCGATAGTTTTTTTTATTTTTCTTTTCTTTTGCGCCTCCAATAATATCTAAGTATATCGACTCGGCAACAACGGATCAACCTCCCCACCGAGCCCGGCCATGGATGAACAGGCAGGGCCCGGCGTGTTCTTCAACAACAATAACAACTCTGTTTTAGCCGGCGGTGGGAAAGGACCGATGCCCGATGGCGACGGAGGGGAGGCGGCCAGGGCGCAGTACAGCATCCCGGGGATCTTGCACTTCCTGCAGCACGAATGGGCCCGATTCGAAGTAGAGAGAGCACAATGGGAGGTGGAGCGGGCCGAGTTGCAGGTAAAAATGCTGCAGTGTGTGTAGCTTCCCGTAGTTTCATCTCTGGTTGTGGTTTGAATGATCTGTGCGTTTTAAATCCTGCTGAGTTTCTGTTTGATCGTCCTGGCTACTAAGCTAGCTCGTTAGCTTTAGCTCAGTTAGCCACAGGAGCTACAGCGCCCCCCTCATCCAGCTGCACGACGACTGTTCTCGACCTTTTTACTCTTCATTCCAAACCTTAAAGCCCGTCAAATATTTATTAGACTATATTTAACAATTACTTTGATTCAAAATATCTAATAACCAAACCCAAATGACAGCTATTTACGGTCAAATTACTTATTGTGTAGCAACGTAGATGGGTTCCTGCCTAAATCTATAGCTTTATCGTCTAAATGTTTGTTTTTTATGTTAGTCCTAATTTCAAAACATAAAAAAATAATATTTGTACATTTTCTGATATTCTGTTTTATTTGTGGGAATATATAATAGTGTTCTAGGCAGTGCGTAGCCCTGCGAGAATCCGGAGTCGAGATTGTTTATCCAGCTAGCTTCCATGCTAGCATTAGGAAGAGGATACTGTCCTGTCTTTTGTCCAAGTTTTCTTACTTTAGATCCGCATGTTATTTACTGTGTATTTATACCTTAATTAATTCCTCTTAATCAACTGTTTGGTAAAACGAAAGAAGACATTAGATTTTGATCCTTAAATCAAAGTGATAGGTCGAGTTGGCAAGCCTGGATTGGAGTCTTTAGCCTGATGACACTATATCGGTTTGATGTTTGGATTCACTTTTAGGGTGTTGACAACAGTATAACACACAATTGTGAACATTGGGGACTCGTTTACATATTCATAGGAATTGGCAGGAGAATAAACTTCATTTTATTCCCCTCTGCCTTGCATCACCATTGTCACTGTTATGATTTATCTGGAAAATACTTTTATTATAAGGTTTTCATAATTTTGAGTGGTTTAAACAGTGCAATGATAGTGTTTGACACAAAAAAACAAACATATTTAGTGGATAGTAAAAAAAAAAAAAACAATTAAAAAAAATAACAACAACAAAAAAAAGAAAAATTAAACAGAATTTTCTTCAGGTCAGAAATTCTAACTGGTGAAGTTGGAGGTTCCTCTCCTTGAGCTTGAACATCCTCTTGGCTGCTTGATGTCTTATTAACTTTACATCCTATTCAGCTTACAGTGTTTCATTTGCTTTCTGTATACTTTGTGAGTTCGCATTGGCAATTAAAAATGTATTCACGGGAAACAAATGAGAAACTGATTTCTTTTTGAAGACGATGAACTTGATGTATGGTTGGGATTGTTATCTTTGTGATTTTTGACCATTACTGTCTGCTGCTGGATGGTACAGATATGAGTTTATGTAGCAACAGGTATATAGCACAGGTGGCATTGAATACATTTGTTTTTTTCCATTCATTTTCGCTTACCGCTTTGGCAAGCCTCTAATTGTCAGGAAGGGTCAAGAAGCTCCAGTTCCTACCTGTTTTTGTCTGACTGTTGCAAACTTCAGTTCAAACTGCAGAGTTTTGAAAGCATCAAAATGATTTTTATTTCAATTTTTGCAAGTAGAATAAAATAGCACAAACCACCAAACTCTGCTAAAGTATCGTTGTTTGCTGTAGGTTCATTTGGTCCAGATGTGATGAGTCTAAATGTTAAACATCTTGTAATGGAGCAGTCTAAATTTGTTTTGATCTAATAATTGTCCTTAAACGCCTTACACTGCTCTTGAGTTGGCGGGACAGCAATGAAATGCCATTAGGTCAAAAACATAAAATATATTAACACACACCATAAACATTTAAATGCTAATTTTAAACTAATAAGTTGAGAAGATGTGATAGAAACAAAGTGTTTTAATGCTGTAGCTAAAAGTTTTTTTTTTTTTTTTTTGGTCGTGATTTAAAGGAATTAAAATTTTTGTAGATCCCAGGTTTGTTGGGATTTTGGTCCAGAGTTTGGGAGCATATTAGCTGCAGATGACTAATCTTGTTGAGTCTTTTTTTCAGGAAACACTGTTGGTGTGATGTTTCTAAATCATCTATATGTGACGATTAACTCTGAAATGTATCTACGGCTATTTTGTCCTACAGTGCTTGCCATTTAAGCCAACAATAAACAGGGAGTTTTGTCAATCTTAAAGTACAGCTGTAATATAATACATTTTTAACAGCAACTTTTTTTTGGATAAGCTGCAATTGCCTTAATTTAGTTTTATTTTACACACAATTCTATTGAAACTGTTTGGCAAATATAGCTTCTTGAAAAAAAAAAAAAAAAGGACATGCTTATTTTCTTTGAGACTGGTTCAGATAGGAAACTCTTTTATCAATTTCCTTAAATTTATTGAAATTATCAAATAAAAAAAATTAGTTTTAGTTTGAAAAAAGAAGGCTTCTTTAAAAAAATTATTGGAACTTTGACTTCAACACATAACTGAATATAATAGGTTGACTATTATAGTGGAATTAGCACTAAAAAAAGGAAAAATCTGGAATCCTGAATGTGGTTGACCTCCTATCCCAAGACCTGTTTTCTTTTTGTTGAAGCTTAAAACTCCTTAAAAAGCTTAAAACTACACAAAGACGAATTATGAAAAATAAAAAAAGTATCCTCCTTTTTTTAGGACATGAGCATTCACTTTATCAGGGTTCAGTTACGTTGCAATATTACCCCCCCCTACCGTACCTTTCAACTTCTGACCCAGTTGTAAGAATTGTCTTTTCTGGATCACATTGGGCAGAAAAATATTTGTTTTTTTATACAGTTTGACTGCAGGCAGCTCCACAGGGAGCAGAGAGGGGAGACACTGCATTGTTGGTAGATGGATGACGTATAGCTCGATCTAACTGGTTTTTTGACTCAGCCTCCTGCAGCACTTTCATCCTGGCTGCTGTACTCTGCTTCCTGTCTGCTGTAATGAAATGAGCTTATCGGCAGAGCAGCCGCTGCAGCAGCGGCACGATTCGACAAGGTTGCTTACGCGGCTTTGTGGGTAGTTTGTTTGTGGCGGCAAAATGGGGCGCGCTCATTTTGAATTCTCCTTTTTTCATTCGCACTAAACCCCAAACATAATCGACTTTCTGTAGACCGTTTCCAACGTCTGACTCACTCATTTGTTGTACAATAATCCCTCCAACTGATCCTAAAAGGGATTCAGCTTTTGTCTGTAGTGGAAATTGGCCTTAGTAATTGTTTCCTATCTTTATTTAGCAGTTCCTCAGAACAGTGTAACAGGTACAATGAAGGCTGTAAAGCTTCCTTATAGGTTGTAACCTTGTGCTATCCTTGAGTAATGCTTACAGATAATGTACGTCTACATAGAATATGGTGGATTAACATTTAGTAATGAATAATGAATGGCTGCATTGGACAGGATTCCATATCAGAAGATGCCAACTCACTACTTCCTGCTGCAGCATCCGATGCCCACATCTGTGTTTTAGTCTGGACTGATTGGTTGCACCTTTAAAACAAAACAAACATCCCTCTCAGTTTTTTTCTTTCTTTATTTTAAATGAGCGGTTGGTTTGACAAAAACCAGCCGTCCGCTAAACGTGTCTCAAACCAGGTGCTTGTAGAAATGTTGCTCAACCAGCCTGTTAACTGGTCCGGGGGCCACTCCTCTTCGCCGACAGGGCAAAGAAAGCTGCTGTTGTGTTATTTCTCAGTTACTCATTCACAATTAAATTCAGTGGGTGTAATCTTTTTTTATCAGTTCACACACTGGTTATAGGTGAGAAATGTTATTTCTGGTTGCAGGTTTTTCCTAGTACTAAAACTAACCAACCTTGCTGAATATCATTGTTTTATTACATGCTAACCAAGTTATTATAAGTTTTTGCTTTGATAAAAATTCATATATTGCTCCGTAGATGGCTTTCAGAAATGAGATCTGTACAGTTATGTATAAAAGCCTAATCCCAGTTAAGTTAACCTACTTAACGGAGAGGTTTACAGTCCTGGATGAGATTGACAGACCGTGGGCTCAGCTGAAGAGGGACGCCTCAAATCAAATCTGTTAGCGTTTCCTCTGCTCCTTTAGGGGATGAAAGGAGAAAAAAACAATAAAAAAGAAAGCTTCCTCTGCGGCTACAGCTCTGCTAACGTCCAATAGAAAGATGTAGCAATCAGACATTTTTGAAGGTTACATTGCTTATCATGGTTTAGTAATGCTTTGGCTTGTTTCTAAGAAATAATTAAAATAATACCTCCTAGTCTCCTAATTATTTTTATGAGGAGCAAAGATGTACTCTGAGGAGAGAGGGGTTACTCTAAAATGAGATTTTATTGACAAAAGACAAAATGATGATGAAACTCACATTTTAAACCACCTTTAGCATCTTATTTTAGCAGCTACTGCAGTTACTTTTACTGTATATCTGTTTTTTTACATAAGAAATAAAGGAAGCGTCTGATTTGCTGGAAATGTCTTAAAGGCATACTATGCAACATTTTCCAGTTAATTAATGTGTTCCATAACGTTTTGGATGATTAAATGAGTCATTTCAGGTCGAACAAAGGTTTTCTCAGCCGCCCTAGTGGTCTGTAGGGGAAATACCGTACTTGCAATTGCAGGAGCCCTCGGCCCGCACCCACAGGCTCAGAAGTCTCGTGCATCACGAGAGTCGGTCTTGCTTTACGGCGAGAACTGCTACATGCCCCCAGTGAAAGGCATGCTCGTTGCTAGCGAAGTGGCGATATTTATGCAGTTATCATGGCGGAACCAGCGAGAATTTTTAAACTCGAAAATTGGAACAAAATAGTCACTTACCGCAGTAGACATTGTGATTCGTTGCGTTCGCCTGTCTGCTAAGCTCAAAACAACCGCGCCTGGCTTGACGGAGAAACCAGGAGAACAGCTATGCATATTTACGACAGTGCACTTTTACTTTCGCCCTCTGGGGGGAGCCTCGCTTGAAAATCAACACCGGTTGCATAGTATACCTTTAATAACTCCATAACATTTAAAACAGTTGAATCTTTCTAT